CAGAAAACCAAGACGGACAAAAGGCGGACGGCCCGAGAAAGAATGCTGTTCTCTTGCTTCTGTTATTCCTTTTCTCCTTCTGGGATCCTTCCTTTTCCCGCCTTCATTCGTTTTGATTCGTACGCGTGTTTTGTTCCCCCCCTCCCTCTTTTTTGCTTGATTCTTTTGGTTGATGATATTGACCTTTCCATTCATTTGTTCCGAGGAGATGCTGTGAGATGAAGAAGAGAGAGAGAAGGATATTGGACAGACGACAACGACACTCATTACAACCATACTAATTATAACTGATAACAAGAGAGCAAAAAGCAAATCGAAGCAAAGAGAAAGAAGAATCATAGCAGAGAACACAAACCATGGGTGGCGCGACGCGCGTGTTTGGGCGAGAGCCCGAGCGTGCTGATCACCCCATTGGACTGGGATGGCTGCTTGCCATTGCGCTCTGCGGCGGCATCCTGCTCTTCACGACCATCGGCCTGCTGCTGGTGTGGTGGGTGAAGAAGACGCGCTCGCCAGGGCCGCGGATGGTCTACGGATACGCGGCGGCGACGACGACGGAGACCTCCTTTATGCCGCCGACGTCGACGTCGCGCCTGATCAAGCGGCGGCTGCTGGGAGGAGGAGGAGGCTCAGGGTCGCTCAGCAAGCTGTCGAGCCGCCTATCGAGCCGGTTCTCGCTGGGGCCACCGGCTGCTGCTGCTGCTCCGTCGCTGCCGACGCACAACAACGAGGGCTTCGCGCTGCCGGAGAGGAGGCGGACGGTCTCGCGCGGGAGGAAGCGGTCGCGTAGCTGGGTGGACGAGGATGACCTGCACGGGCCGAGAATCTCGCGGAGCAAGCGCAGCGCGCGGGACTCTTGGTTCGGCGTCGTGCCGACGCTGCCCAGCGTGGAGGGCGTGCTGCTGCCCGAGGTGGCGGAGATGATGGAGGAGGAGAGCAGCAGCAGCAGCCGCCGCGTGCACGTCGTGGGAGCCGGAGTGCCTCTGCAGCATCCGCAGCCGCGCTGGATCCCGCGCAGCCAGACGGAGCCGGGGCTCATGCCGATGGCGGCGGCCTCGTCGGTGGCGGCGTATCCTGTTGAGCTGCCGACGGGGAATGTGCCGGCTGCTGCTGCTGCTGCTGCTGGGCCGGTGAGGATGCAGGCTCCTCAGGTGGCGCACATGCGACCTTCGGCGACAGATTCAAACCTGAAGGGCATCTTGCGTTCGACGGAGATGAGGCTCTCGGACAGGAACTCGCGGCCTCCGACCAAGGTGTCCAGATCGTCTGCCACCAGGGGTTCGCCCACAAAGGGTCACCGCAACAGCTTGTCAGCCAGATCGAGCAACGGCTTTCCCTTGTCAGGCAGCCCACCCAAGAATGGCCTTCCAAACACAACAAGCATGAGCTCGATTGGCAGTGCAGCCAATAGCCTCATTGCGGCGGCGACCCAGGAGCTCGAGCTTCCGGGGCGCTCGTCAAGTCCAAGCAAGGCCAAGGGCGTTCGATTCGAGGAGCAGCTATCGGCAATCGGAGACCTTGAGAAGCCTCAATACAAGACTGTCCTGTCTCAGAGTCCGCAAACACACAGCCCTCAAAGACAATTCTCGCAGATGGCGTTGATACACCACCCGTCGACGCAGTCTGTTCAGCAACACCCACCGCCCCAGAGAAGTCCTGACCATCGTATGTCGTTTGACAGCGACAAATCGAGCTCCTTATCGACCCTCTACAGCACCAACGAGCCTGAAGAAGACAGGCCCGGTCCAAGGCTTGATTACGATCCCTTTGTGGAAAAGGGGGCTCAGGGCAGGTGGCCAAACTGGCAGTCGCGGCAGCGCCTCGCACAAAGCGACTCGCAGAGGCGGGCAAAGACGCTGAGCTCGGCGTCACTGACGAGAATCATCATGGGAGAGCCCGCTGGCCCTCCGCCGTTGAGGCCCCTCTCGGCGATCTCACAGCCAGACATGGCCTACGGCGGGTTGATGTCCCCCCTGATGCTCGACTCGCAAGCCGTGTCGTTCGCTAGGGACGCCGTCACAGACGGACTCGCTCCCCCACAGACGCCATACTTGAACCAGGTGCCCTCAGAAGTCAGCTTCGTCTCCATGTCCGTGGATTCCGACGCGACAGAGGTGCCGGCAAGTGAGGTGCCCAAAGCGGATTGGCATGACAGCAGCGACTCGGCGTCGTCCAGCCCCACGACTCCAACGGGACAGTCGCGATTCCCAGACATGTCATCCTCCTCCTCGCCGTATGACGAGCGGGAGATCATGTCCCTGCTGATGGCCACGGCGCCCCCTCAGCGAGCTCTGCCGTTGCCTCCGCCTAGCATCACGGGCACAGACGGCGCCCTCGTCGCTGTCCTTTCGCCAACGCCGGGCAGTCGTCTGGCACGCCGGGGCTCCAACGCCAGCTCCGTGTATACGTTTGATACTTTTCTTGCTGAGCAGAGCACCGCCTTGGCGCCCTCACCATCTCGCCGGTCCATCATCCATCCCATCATTGATGGCCCTCGACTGAGCAGCACCATTGCCGAGCTGCGCCGCATGAACAGCGTCCTGAGCACATACAGCGTCGCCTCAATAGCTTCGACAGTCGCAGAAGGCGACTCACCCACTCTCCCCGCCTCATTGAGCGGCAGCGGCAGCGGCCTCGCAAAGTCTCGCTCCGTCCTCTTCGGCCCCGCCAGCATCGGCAGCAGACACTACCTCAACGTCGGGAACACGCGGTCCCTGGCCAGTAGCGGCAGCCGCCGCTTCGGCCCGCGAGGGTCACGGCACCGCCGCGCGGAGACTTGCTACTACGGCAAGGACAGTAGCCAGGGGCTGGGACTGGGCCTCCGCCTGGCGTGCATCGTGGACGAGACGGTCGACGCTGAACCGCAGCGGCGCACGCAGAGCCTCGTCTGCGATCCTGGCATGGAAGTCCTCGAGGGGGTTGCGCCTTTACGGACACTGATAAATCAGAAGCTTGGTCCCGTGGAGGAGCTCATTGCTGCTGAGCGTAGGTTGGACACGCACCGGGCGAGTGTCGAGAGTTTGGGGCTGTATGATAAGGATGGGTTCCTGATGAGTTCGCCTGAAAGAGATGCGAAGAGGAGAGGGTTGCGAATATGAGAGCATATGATGCTCTACTTACTTTTTCTTCATCACCTTCGTTCATTCATTCATTGACCCCTTTTTTTTTCTTTCTTACCTTGTTGTTACTTCTTATTGGGCCTGTTTGTTTTGTTGGAAGACTTGTTGGCGACTGATAATGTAATTTTTGGTTGGTAGCACGCGTCTCCCTTTTTCTTCTTGTCTTGTTGCACGATCGGAGACGAGCAAACAAAGGAGTTCATCGATAGATATGGTAATGTATATTAGCTGGTAGCCTAAGGCACTTTTAAATCTAATTTCAGTTTCCTTGTTCATCATAAACAACCCAAACTTGGTGAATGGTACTCACCTTAGTATTATTCTTCAACTTTCAAGCATCTCAAAACGATAGATGAGGAAGAAATCTTCACTCAGTGGAGATGAAATCACTCCCTGGCTGTCCGACCGTAAACGCCGTACCTCCCTCGCGCCCAACTTACGCGTCGTCCCCAGCGCTCTCGACTCTGGCCCGCTTGCTCTCCGGGTCCTCTGCTGAATCATGCCCATTGACACCCTCTCCCTTCTCAAGCTCGTCCCTTGGGCGTGTCCTACCAGCTCCCGCACCAAGCTCCTCGGGCTCTTCTCCCTCTCCCTCCTGCTCACCACCTATCCAATTGCCGTCGGCGTCAAAGTACTCGTGCACATTATCCGCCGTGATCCAGCCGCCACTACCGGGCATAGGAGGCGGCAGCCCGCCATCTGTAACACCGCGCAACACACCCGTGAATCCCTCAACGGCCTCGTGGCCCACGTTGCCCTCAAAGACGATGCGGTCGTACTCGTTCTCGTCGTCATCCTCGACTTCGGGATCGGGATGTAAATCGGAGCAGTTGGCCATGGCCTCGTAGAGCTGCTTCGCCGAGCTTGCCTCAGAAGAGGATGGGTTCTGCGGCGGGATGATGGTAAGCTCGACGGTTTGGAAGTCGGAGTCGTCGCTGCCGCCGTCGGCGAGATCGAGCTGCATCCAGACAGCCTGCTGGTTGTCGACCGTTTTGAGGGCGTGGATGGATATGGTCGGGTAGGGGATCGAGACACCAGCCTCGGCCTGGCTGCTGAAGACGATGAAGTTTCTGGGTGCAAGTTAGCAATCGCACAAAAGCTGCATTAGTCGAGGGACGAAGCGCGCACTCTGAGGTCGCAAACACATCGACAGTCTGCTCTACCAGCTCCTCCGCGGTCCCGTCCTCGTCCGCGTCGCCTCCATTTGAGGCATTGGGCGCCGCAGGAGTGTCTTGGGGGAAAATCGCCAGGCTGCCGCACTGCGACCGAGGGATCGTTGCCTTTGCGCCGGACAGATGGTAATGCAGAATCGGCTTTCCGTCTGCGAAGGACTCGGGGGTCTGCGACTGGTATTCGGCCAGAGGCGTGAAGTCAGCCTCTGCGGGCGGTGATCGAATTGTCGTTGGAAGCATCGTCTCTGTCTGGTCTCTTGGAGTAGAGCTGGGCTGATGTTGTTGGTTATGGGAGAAGAAGAACATTGAAGCTGAGACGACGATCGTGGGGTAGCTGCATGAGCTTGATGCGGCGGTTCTGCCTTATCGATACCGCCTCGAGCTGCCGGTTAGCATTCCAGCACCACTTCCAGGCAGTTTATAGCGGCCGTGGGGCTGGTGATGCTACCAGTAACCACCCAGGCTAAGACTGCATCTGGCGAACAAGGGCTCCGATGCTTCCAACTCCCCGAACCTGAACTTGTACATGTCATCACCTCGATTCATCGCAATCATCAGCCTTGCTACTCGCGGGAACTTTACTACAAACTCCCCGCATACTTTGCTAAACACTACGGACTGTCTCCGACCATCCTTACACACACTCTCTCTCATCAACGACAGCAGTGGGCTGGGTAGGACTTCGCAGCCTGTCTGCTAGTGGGAGAAGATGCATAGCAACCGTGAGTCAATTGTCATTGCTTGCCTCGAGGGCCGCAATCCGCACTCCGCAATCAAAGATGCTGACATGACATGACAAAACAGGAGCACACCATCTGCTTGAGCAGGTCCCTCTAACGGTATCACCCTTCGTCTCTCTGCCGACAGCCACCACTCTCTCGTACAACTACAAGACGCTGCCTTCCAACATCCCCCCCTCACAACTGGGCATCCCCAACGCTTCCGACGATCCTTCATCACAGCCCAAGCCGAAGTATGTCGTCTCAAACTCGGGCCATGCCGCCCATCCAGACGACATCATCGCTTCCTGTCAGGCTCTGCAGGCGCACATTGCCAAGATGCAAGAAGATGCGGAACGAGACCTCAGAGAGCTGGAGGAGCGCATAAGAGAGAGGGAACTGGCTGAGAAGAGACGGCTGGCGCCTGGGTGGCTTGATAGCGATGCGCGACTGTTGGAGCCTGAGAGAGCTGGGCCTGCGCAACAGACGGAGCCGAGTCCGCCGACTTCGAACGGGCAGAGCGATCGGGGTGGTAGTGGTGATGTTTCGAGCGATGAGGGCGCCCAGCTGGATCGGGCTTTTGGTGATATGGCGCTGAGATGAACGTGGGGGCGGTGTTGGCGCAATCTCTCTCTCTCTCTCTCTCTCTCTCTCTCTCTCTCTCTCTCTCTCTCTCTCTCTCTCTCTCTCTCTCTCTCTCTCTCTCTCTCTCTCTCTCTCTCTTCTCTTTCAATTACTGGTTGCTTGCGATGGTTTCACGGTTCAAGAACATCAACAACTTTACATATTCGCTAAAACGGGATTAGCAGACTGATCTTTTGTTATGGATGACGGGCGTTCAATATCTCGATATATCACTTGTACTTTCTTGCTGCCTCTCTACTGGCAAATAACGATTAGCTACGCGTTCAATAGGCGACGCAAATTGAGCTCACAATGGGAAATTCTATAGGTCTTTCGTACAAAAGGGCGATTGCAGTCTTTTGGAATTTCTCACAAAGCGCTCGTTTACAGCACAAAACCGGGTGAAGCCCTGACGTATCTGAGGAACTGATGATTGATGAGATGTGGCTTGATGAGATACAATTGGTCAACCATAGCATGATACATCGCAACCCGATATCTTGACGGCCTGGCATCTGATCGTCTCTTGCAACTTGAATGACAACTACCTGTCATCGACGGGCTAAACTCTCGGGAGTGATGTTGCCTTGCCTTCGGCGCAACATTCAAGAAGTATGCGAAGGTCCAACTTCACGGCTTCATCTCGGGGAATGGACTCCCCCAGGCTTGCTTGTACGAATCCACCCTGTAGATCATACTGCTTGCCATTCCACACTGGAGCAAGGCCGTATTAGAGTTAAGCCCCTTCGGCAGCAAATTCTTCTCGGTCACTGTCTGGTTGTCGGGGAAATGTGTACGCCTCACAGCACCTAGCTCACAACTTTGGCGGCGTCCTTGAATTTGAGTCTGGTATGCCATCTGGGATCCTGTCATCAGTCTGGAAGAAGGAGAAGAGGAAGAAGAAGAAGAAGAAGAAGGGCGAGGTTTGCCCCAGGCAGGAATGGTCTCCTTTTGAACATTGATATCGGATCATAAGCCACCTCCCAACGAACTTTGCGGTGCCTCTACTAGCAAACTCCCCATCTCTGTTGGCAAGCACGACGAATCAACCGATATCTACTACCAAACTCTGAGCAGAATCACCTACCTAATCGCAGATTGTGCTTAGCGAGGCTACCTCCATCGTAAAGGGGCATCATGGCAAGGAGACGAACGCCCTCGGTTCGAGAGTCGGCATTACTTGGCTAAAAATAGGGGCATTACCGTTTGAATTCAAGGCTTAACGAGCCGTCTATACCCTCTTCATCTAAAAGCATGTGCTCTCAACAAGCCTTGCCAGTCTCTTGAGGAAAGGCACGGTGCCTGCGAGAGCTGTGGCTTGTTGAGTTGAGTCAACCTTCTTTCCAAAAGCCCTCTCGTACGAATGTAACCGCTCCCCAACAATCATGATGCCCCCCTCCAATCCCCTTTCCACAGCCAGTCTCTGCGTTCACTATGGGAAAGCAATAAGTATATAATGCCCCCCCTTCTCTCCTTCTTCCCTCTCCTTCTTCCCTCTCCTCACTTTCCATCTGAATACAATCTGCTCTTTACATCTCGACACACCAACCATCTCTCCACCACCAGACGCGCGGCAACCGTCCTCTTTCAGCCGCCGCGTCTTCACCATGTTCGCACCACTTTTCCTGGTGCTCCTCCTTGTGCTGGGCCGCATGGCCTTCGCCGAGCCAACCGTTGGCGCGGCACTGTTGGGATGGCCTCCCGCGAGGCCATTCAACTATTACACCGAGAGACTTGCGCCTTGCGGAAGTCCTCTTGGGGCTGGGGAGAGAGTCGAGCTCCCCACAAGTATGTTGTTTCCCGGTCTCTTGTCCAAGAACTCATCCCGCTGTATACTGACCGATACACGACAGAGAACGCTCATGTCGCCTTCTTCGCCGAGCGAGACGTAGGTCTCAACCTGGCGATCTCATACTCTCAGGGTACGTGCCTCTCTTGTTGAAGCTCCTCCCCCACATCTTCCCTGAATCTCCTCCTATACCCCCTTTGTCCTCATCTGCTAACATGCAACGGCATAGATCCCACGTCTCAAGATGACTTCGAGACCCTGAAGTACGCCCTCCCTCCCGGCCACATCAACCTCGTCTCCGGCATCACCTGCGTCATCCTCGGCTCTCCAATTTCCGGCGCCGTCCATGGCCGCAACGCCACGCTGCAGTTCAAGTACCTGTCCAACTACGACTCTCCGGAAGAGTACAGGTACAGGTACTCCTGTGCGGACGTCACCTTCTCGGACACGGCGGACAGTTACAACGGGGACATCTGCCGTAACAAGACGCGGCCCGTTGCCTACGACAGGTTGTACGGCCCGTTCCTAGGCCCCGAGGATGAGGAGCACGACGAGGAGACGACGCCGCCGCCGCCGGACAGGGGCAACTATGTCGAAGTTGAAGTGGAGAGGCCTCCCTTTCCCGGATGGGCGATTGCGCTGATTGCTGTTGGAGCAAGTTTCTTTTGTTCAATTGTTTATCTTGTTATTTACAGGGTTTGCATTGTGCCGTGGAAGAAGCGCAAGCCTGTGCAGACGACAGGTCGGTGGGTTCCTCCTCCTGTTTGAGACGGCGTTTGAGGAGATATTTCGCGGATGGGACGGCAATGAGCCTCGGAGTTTGTTTTTTTGCTTGCAATACGACATGGATGGGCAATGGAGTTATTAGGAGTTACAGAAGCTTCATGGTTTTGGAAAAAGAGATTCGATACAGAATACCTAGATGAAGAAGGCTTACATGGAAAGGCTTACATGGAGAGCCAATTATATGTTCACGATAGATTGAGTTTATTCAGCACGTCACCAATGGAAGCAGATGCCCTCGCCTGCAGTTCAAAGCCTTAAAAGCACGTATTATGATTACCTAAACAGCATAAATCAAGTTGGTATCTTACAACGACAGGCGCAGCTCCGTATAGACTCTACGCCCAGAGATAGCAGACAGACCTGACGTCCATTCTGAGCCGTTCTCACTGTTTGACACTCGGTGAGGAAACCCTTCCCCTTTCCATGCCATTTCCCATCGTTCGCTTGTATCAGTATACCATACACGTCTAATGATGTCAACGATACTAATGGGACCAACCAAGCAGACTTTTAACGTTGCTTCGTACAGATGGAGAAGCGACAAGACAAGCCTCCTTTCAAAGGTGCGAACAAACATCAAGAAACAAACACCTATATACGTGTAAATGCATGCGTGTGCTTGTGATGTTGGTGTCATCGTCTCAAGGTGTCTTATTGAGCAACGGAGTCAAAATCTCCATTGCTCGGATCGACTGGACCCTAGATAAGATGACGGTGCCGGCGCGAGCAGTGGAGAGATAGGAGAGCTCTGAACTCTCGGTCGTGTCCGTGCCCTTGACGAGGCGGCCTGCAACGCCGCAGACGATACCAGTGGACTCGAAGGGCAGGTTGATCAGGTCGAGGAAGATGGGGATCAGGACGCCCTCGGTGTCGCCCACGAGGGAATCATCAAAGATGGGCAGCAGGGTCTTGTCAAGGAGGAGCGACGGGGGGTCATCTTGGGCGAGGGTGAGGGAGAGGAACCTGGGCTGCGAGACGAGCGCCGACACGAGGCACGTGTAGAGCTTTGTGTCGACGTGGGTGATCCAGGAGCGGCGGTGGTCGACCGAGCTCTTGCGGCTGATGGAGGGCCGGTGGCCGTAGGGGTGAGCGAGGGGGGAGGTTTCGCGGCCGGAGCACTGGACGAGTTCGAGGTCCGGCTCGATGCGGGCCTTTACGTTGCGCTTGAGGAGGAGCTCGAAGGTCCTCGACTGGAGCTCGTCGTCGTTGGAAGGGGGTGGGGTGCCGGGCGGTTTCTGTTGTGCTGCCGCCGCGTCGGCGTCTGAATTGCTGTTGTTGTTACTGCTGCTGTTGTTGTTGGGGGCGTACATGGACGGGTTGACAAAGTTGGACTGGTTCTCCGAGAGCTCGAAGCCCTTTGCGAGCAGGGCCTGGACGACTTTCTGCTTCTCCTTGGTGGGCACGAGGATGAAGTCGGAGTAGTAGGTGGTGATGAAGAAGATGGGGATCCCCGCAAAGGCGAGCGGCGAGCTGAGCTCCATGACACGGCCGCCGGGGTCCAGCCCGGCGCTTGTCACGGAGAGGATCATATAGGTGTCCTTGAAGACGGAGACGCTTTTGGAAATGTTCTTTGGCAGCGCGTTGAGGGCGGGCTCGAAGACGTTTTTTGCCCAGGAGCTGTGGCAGACGACGGAGCAGTCGATGGGGGTGATGCTGATGTTGAGGAAGCCATGCTGGTAGTCTGTCGTGAGGCCCTCGAGCTCGTACTCTGTCGAGTCGCGGGAGAAGTTGAGGCTCTGGGTCTGGGGGAGGAGGATGCGGAGGATGGGCTGGAGGAGGGTCGGGTAGAGGTCGAGGGGGATGTGGATGAGGGTGTAAGTGCCTTCCTGGGTAGGGAGATTTCGTCAGCACTGATTGAGGACGTTGTCAATTGCATCATAGGAACTTGAAATACATGAGGTCGATCTGTTAATTTAGGAGGAAGGGCAGGAGTTGCTAGGAAGAGAGCTGTGGAAGAAGAAGAAGAAGAAGAAGCTGGGTGAGTGACTGGGACTGGCGCCCACTTACAAGGAACGAGACCTGGGTATTCATGGCGAAGCTGCGCCTTTCCGCCGGCGAAGGAGAAAGAGTAGGTATTAAATAGACAATTGATGTATAAGTATGAACTGGGACGGCACGGGAGGCTATATGAGAGGAAGAAGACCGTCGGGACTTGTCGTGGACGCAGCAATTGTCGAGATGGCGCAATAACTGCCGTTATCGACGTCGGCTCTGCGGTTCCGATATGGCGGCGCGCCAAATCGAACGTAATCCTGGGACGACGAGCGAACAGCAGGGGGGGGTTGAGTGTTTCCCTGCTCGTGCAAGTGCCCAAGGCGTGGTGTTGCACAAGAGGACGAAGAGGGAGAGAGATGCTGGGGTAGTGATGAGAAAGAATATAAGGTCAAGGTGGGAAGAAACAAGAAGAAGTAAAATAGGTATGAAAGAAGTTGGTCAAGAAATAAAGAGAACAGAAGATGAAGAAGATGGGGAAAAGTTTTGGTGTCTCGCGATAGAGGGAAGTGAGATCGAGGCGGACGGGAGTCAGTCAGTCAGTTGGAGCGCCGTAAATCGGGGGAGACGGGCGCTGATAAGTGATAAGGCGGCTCACGGCTGGCGCAGGTCCCCCCATCAGTTAGTGCCTGTAGGTATGGAGATCAACCGCTCCAGCTGATAACGGCCGCTGGAATTTTGGCGCTCTCACAGTGGGGTGGACGAAAATGCCGGCCAGGTTGAAGCTGGAAGCCGAGGGGGAGCTGCTGCGTCTATATGAGGCTGCAAGGCGGATGATGGATAGACGGACGGACGGACGGACGGCATGATAGGTAGAGGGCCAGGCCATGGATGAGCTGTGCTGGACTGGACGTATGTACGTCTGGTATGACATACGAACAACTGCATGTCCAGTTCTCGACCGTGATGGACCAGGTGTCCGGCTGCCACTTATACTCTCGCCAAGGGCACACGACTTGACACTGATGTCGGCTACTGTACTAATAATGCTCTACCTAGAAGAGTCTCGCTACGGCAAAAAGGACATGGATCTCCCAAGAGTAGTGCTAAGGAGAACAAGAACAAGAACAAGAAAGACATCATACATCCAACCCGCGGGGAGGCTTAAACGCCACAGCGAGCAGGGAACAGGCCATGAACCCCCACCCAGAATAGGGAGGACCCTGGGAACGCCTCCCAGAAATCATTCGAGCATTCGTTTGCAGGGAGGCGGAAGCGGGGAGCCGTTGAAGCCCGGCCGCGATGCTGGGAAAAACCTGGGGCGCAGGGGGAGGGCGCAAGGGTTCTGTTGCTTGTACTGTATGTAAGAAGTGCGGTATGCAGGTATCTGGACGCAGAATTGCCGTTGACCAGTACTTTGGCAGTTCTCGACAGAACGACGATTTGTAGTAATAGTAGATGGAAAAGGTGCATGACACGATATAGGTGCACATTAGCTCTGCCCGGTGCTACATTAGCATCCATGATGGGACTCGTCGTGATGCTACTGAAGCACTGCATTCTGTTCCGGTGCTAGCATTTACATGTACCTTACGGGAATATGAGGTAGGTACGAATTGCGCTATCGCAGCTTTGACTCTTCCTCCTCTGATAGGGAACACGTCCTATTACCCCATCTTCCCTCCACCGAATCAACCAGCAGCAGCAACACTTCAAATACGTGGTAGTAAATGGCGCTTTGCAAGCAAGGGAGAAGAAAGACAAACCCTGCAGTTCCTAATGGCTGAAAACACCCGACACCAAAGGCGCCTACCAAGGTGCATGGCGCTGCCCGGGATATACCTAGTCATAGTCATATACATGTATTGTGAGATGTGAGAGAAACAGTTGGACTCGCTCCATGGATGACATCAAGACAAGAGCAGAAACCGGCCGGCGCAGAGCAGTCTTCCAAGGGGCTTGGACGACAACTGACTGCAACACAAGATGTGGTGATGTGATGTCAATGCAGGTGATGGGTGGCACGGTTCAGGTCTTAGCAGCTTCCTCCACGTCAACGATGCAGGACGAGGCGGCACGAGAAAAAAGGACCACGACGCCGGCTCTAGGCTCAAAGCATCAAAGCAGCGAGGCATCGTGACCTCGGCTCGGCGCCCCAGCCCGCGCGTCCATGACCAGACACAAAACAAAACGGTCTTCCAACGGCGTGTGCTGCTTAACCCGCCTGCTGCTGCTGCTGCTGTTGCTGCTGCTGCTGCTGTCTCTTGATCCTACGCTTCCGCGTTAAGGCTGACGAGGTGGTGTGGTGATCCCGATCTAAGACGCTCCTCGTTCTTGTCAGCCATCCATCCATCCATTCTTCTCTCTTTTTGCTGCCATTCCAGCGCCGTTAGCCTGGCTCATGGACATTGCGCCTCTTCACTCGACATGGCCTGTTTTCAGGCGGTCCACGAGATGCGCCACCAGCGTCACCCTAGGGGGCTGAAGCCCAAGCAGGCTTTTTTATTTCTTCCCTTTCCCCCATTCATTCTGTCTTCCCTTTTGATCATTCATTCCCCAGAAACTGCGCTGGAAGAGGGCTGATGTCAGCCTTGCGTGCGTGGTAGGCTGACTGACAGAATTTTTCCTCCTTACTCTCCGATGTTCTTTTGCTTCTGCTAATAGACTTTTCTCTTCTTTCTGTCGTATTCATGGCTATGGTGAATGGGCGGTGCGCCACGGCTATTCTGGATCTGTCCAATCCCCCTTCAGGGTCTTTCAATGTCAAATTGCCGACGCTTGAGGTGCTGCATGAAGTTTAATCCTACTACGTCCATTTGTGAACCTCGGTATTCAGTGAATTAATTAGTAATCAATAACCGCTATGACTGCGAGCCAGATGAGGTGATTCTGCCACTTTTGTCGTATGTATGTGTTGGACCACTTCATTGGTTGAGGCATCCTATTCGGGGATTTGTCTCCAACGAGTTGAAAGAGGTAACAGAGCCTCGGAAACCATGCGCTGCCTCCGCGGAGTCCGATTGTGAGAGCCGCATTATGGATGTATTCAGGAATACACCTGTTCACCTAGGGCAGAATTGGTCAAACATAGGGCATCGTGCGAATGTGAGAACAAATCACGGAGCACCATCACCTGCCTTGATCAAGATACCAGTCGTTGAGTAAGTGGATAGAACAAGACAGCTTGGAAGGGCTCTATGAATCGGTCGACGCCAAAGTAAAGAGCCTCGATATATTCCATCTGTGAATGTTGTAATCACCGCCGGTCATTCTCACCCTGACCACTTCCATCAAGCATCTTCCTTCTTGACTCCAACCACCACCAGATTCCGCGGACTCTCCCCATAGTCAAACACCGTCTCAACCCACGCATCCTTGACAACATCATGATGCTCCTTTAAAAACGTCCACCGGTCCGCCACAATGAGCGACTCCACCACCGCCGCGCTCAGCGCCATCAGCGACCAGATCACGCACAGCTCCTTCTTGCGCGGCTGGTACATGGCCTCGTACGCCTCAATCTCCGCATCCGTGATGCCCGCCATCTTGTCCCTCATCACGTCCGCGTACTGCTTGTACTCGGTGCTCGTCGTCAGCTTCTCCACGGCCCCGCGCACGTACGCCTTGAACGATGCGTAGCAGCCTTTGCGGAGCGACCCAATGACCACCGGGTTTGTGCTCATGTTGAACGGGCTCGCCTGCTCCGCGTTTTGGCCGGCCTCCTTGACGGCATCGTCGTGCCACACGCGGCTTACCACGCCGCGGTCGAGGAAGATCCGCTGCAGAACGGCGCGGAAGAAGTGTCTTGTGAAGAAGCCCTCGCTCTCGGCCCGGGTCCAGTTTTGGGTTGCTTGGCAGGCCATCATGCGGGCCGTGATGTTGAGGCGGATGCCGTCTCCTTGGTAAGTCGAGAACCTCTGGCTCATGGGGAAGCCCTGTGGATCTCGCCTCTCGGATTCGCGCACAATCCGGCCGTTGAGCGCCTGCAAGCTGGGCCGCAGGTAGGCTTGCTTGTAAGTCGGAGGCCCCAGTTTCTCCGTCAGGAGGTTGTAGCAGCAGCCGACAATGGCAACAGCCCGTATGTCGGGATTCATAATGAGAGACCGAATGCCGTAGTGTGATAGGTTGCCGCAGGAATGGATGGACACGGCCATGAGGTTGAGGTCCTTCTCAGATCCATCCTCGAGCTTCTCGCGCTCAATGTTCTCAATGACTTCTGAAAGATCACCGCTGTCCAGTCTTCCCGAGATGTATTGAACACCCCCTTTCCCTTCTTCCACGACATATTCGGCGTCCTGGATGTTCATTGGTTGGAACTCAAATTCCTCAGTCCCCTCGACCTGCTTAATAGCTTCCTGTATGGCGTCTTTGTCCTTTTGCAACTCGGGTGTGAGCGTTTCTAAAGCCTTGTTCCACATCTTTTTGTTCCTCTTCATTTTGGGCCGGATCGCCAGTTTGGACGTCAGATCGTACACCTTGGCAGCCGTGACATTATGGTCTCTGCCCTCCACAGCCACGACATGCCGGTTATAAGGCTCGCTGGCGAGGGCCCTGCCGAGATAGTTCTGACCGCTGCCAAAGTCCACAAAGTGGGATATCTCGTTTCCAGTTTGCTGACGAATGTCCTCAGAAAGAGAGTCAACATAGTCTGCAAAGTTGACGACCTCGTGGATCTTCTTGGGCTTCATTCCTACGGAGACGGTCCTCGGTAGAACTGGCAATTTCTGCACTCGTGGTGTAAAATCTCTCCTCAGAGAGAACCTCCTCAGCGCTTTGGCGTATTCAATCAGGCTCTCTGGCGGCTCTTGGCCCTTTTCAAAGCTCAGCGCATCCAGGTCATCTCGTAGGAAGAGGTCTAGAGTCTTCATGATGTCGTACGACAACAAGAAGTCTTTCCATTCGTCGGGCAGTGCTGAGTGAAAAATGCCCGGATCCGAAGTGAAGAAGTCGAGGATGTGGACGCCTCCGCAGAGGATTTGGAATATGTCTGTGTTCCAGGCGAAGTCGAGGAGAGCCTCTATGTACTCCTCCGGCGTGGAAAACTCTTCGCTGCATGGCAGCGGGCGAGAGGGTATCATGGCTGGTCTCTTGGGTCGGTGCTCGGTTTACCCTGTAAATGATAGATGGGGCTGAGCTGGATGATAGAAGTATTGTGACGCAATCTCAAATGTCTTGTTATCCTCTTGTGAATCGTGTTTCTTGTGTTTGATACGAACAGGGGCTGTGGTGTGTTGGATACTAGACGATATGGGCTTTTGAAGAAAGTTGAGGCGCTTGAAAGAGGGAAAATTTTGACTCCAAAACGGGAAATCTAGAAGCACAGCTGGTCTACGCTGCAATACTTAAAAGCGCAAAAAAAAAAACACCGGCTCCCTCAGAGTACCTCAAAATCGACCGTATCAGCAATTATATGCTTCTTCGACATCCGTTTGTAATGGACCGCTGAGAACTGAAGATGTTGATTTCAGATCTGGACGGATTCATGCAATTGGTGAGTGACACCTCTCGGTGGCTCACCGAAGATACGTACCACCACTAGCTCGGCTCACCTTGGCCACACCTTGCTTGGCTGTCGCAACATTGGCAATGCAACGTCATCCTTCAATTCCGCGACTTCAAGCAATCGGGCGGATTTGGTAATAGCGAACCTGGCTTGCGAATCTCTCTTTCCAAGTATTCGTCCTTTCTCAGCCTTAGACCGTTCTACACTTTCTTGCTTGATTCCGTCTCCCGTCCGGCTCACTAAACCCCGAGCTCATGCGTCTTGAGCCGCCTTCAGGATGATGTCCTCAACCAACGAGGAGGACCCCTTCCTCCAGGTCCAACAGTACGCCGTCTCCCCCAAATCTTCACCGGCGATACCCTTACTAAAAACTTAACTTTCTCCTATAGAGATGTCCTCAGCCAAATCTCCTCCATACGACCCCTCTTCGCGTCCTACCTCCGCATCCGCTCCCTCGCCTCCTCCTCAACCTCTCCCGAACTCACATCCGCCCGCGCCGAGCTCGAGAGCGCGCTCTCCTCCCTCGCCGAGGACCTGGCCGACCTCGTCGCCTCTGTCCAGGCCATCGAGTCCAACCCGTCCCAGTTCGGCATCTCCGACCACGAGGCCTCCCGCCGGAAGCGCCTCGTCCAGGAAGTCGGCGCCGAGATCCAGGACATGCGCGAGGAGCTCAACAAGAACATCACCGCCGCCGCCTCCTCCTCCAGAAAGGCCGGAAACGGCGCCGAGCTGCCGGATCCGAGCTCGTTTGCGATTGGCGACGGCGATGGCGCGGGCGATGCGTACAATGAGTTTGAGCAGCAGCAGCAGATGGAGATGATGCAGGAGCAGGATAGACACCTCGACGGGGTGTTTCACACGGTGGGCAACTTGCGCCGTCAGGCGGATGACATGGGCAGAGAGCTGGAAGAACAGAATGAGATGCTGGAGGTGGTGGACGATTTGGCGGACCAGGTGGGGAATCGCTTGCAGACTGGCATGGCCAAGCTGCAGTATGTGATGCGCAAGAATGAGGACCGCTTAAGCAGCTGCTGTATTGCGGTTCTGATCTTTGTTCTGATTCTGTTGCTGGTCCTTTTGTTGATCTTGTAATAGAGAGGGGGGGGGGCGCTTGATTTTGCTTGTTATATAATGTTTGATGCCTTGGGAAAACGCCTTTACGTCGAGTCGAAAAAGGAAGAGGTCTAATGGGCGAACAAACACTGGGATCAGGAGTTTTTGGCGGGATGGGCTGTGCTGATATATCAGTCGATGCAGTCACTGCATGCCTTTACAGCATGTTTCAGATATTTACGGCGCAGAAACATGCGAGATAGAACGAGAATAAGGGGGCTTGTTTTTTTTTTTTTCCATCTATGACGCCCACATCTTAGAGAAACATGATTCCATCGTCCTATTGCGCCTTGAATGCTTCATAACCAAGGGACCCCAAGGGTCTATCATATATCTCTGTATATATAAGAGTAACCGAGATTGCCAGAATCCCCCCTTAACGCCATTGCTTCAATGTATGAGACGAATACATTGTATCCTTCACGTCTTGATTCCTCAACCGATCGATAAGCTAGATGGAAGCTGCAAACGGAGCAACCAGAAAAAGAAATGAAACAAAAAGGAAAAGAAGACAAGTCCTTCAGGTAAGGACAAGTCCTTCGTTGCGAAGTAGCTCTACCATCGCCAGCAACGAATGTGCCGCGGCTGCATTGGCCGGTGCTTTCTTGGGAAATTCGATCAGGGCGAGGCGCAGCGCGGCAATCGCTGCGTTCCCATAAAAGTTCAGGAAGCGCTGTTCATGGCCCTCGATCATGGCTCTCAGGACGACATACTGCGTGTTCGAAGTCTCATTGGGCGAGGAGTTGACGATGCCGGCCAACGCCTTCCAGTAGTTGACAGGCGGGTACGGATTCGCCTTGGACGTCTTGCTGAAGTCGCGAAGGGAGATTGACGCGAAACCGGCGCCGAGACCGGTCATCCGGTCGTTGTGAGTCTGCTCAGTGACGTACCCGGGGCCATCCTTTTTCCATCCTATGGCCAGTCTGCCCCTTTCCGTCCTATCACTTCCTCTCAGCCCAAACAAGACCGGGCAGACGACTCGAAACTTGGCCATGAGGATATCAATCAGTGATTCACCGCGCCACTGGAAATCCTTCTGGGAAAATATGTGAGCGGTGAAGACGCCGATTGGATCCGCAGCTTTGGGATTCGCGCTGCACTCGTTGATGAACTGGTTGATGATGCCCTTGGCACAAATGTTCAAGAGGTAGATGAAGAGAGAAGGCAGCGTGTCCTCGTTATGCGCAGCGCCTTCAGCCGGCTGTCTTTGCCCCACGACGAACCGGCTGACTTCGATGGGAGCACTAGGCACTTTGCCGTCGAGCGCCTCTTTCAACGCCATTGTGATTTTGGCAATCTGCAATACATGTTAGTCTGATAGTCATTTACGTCAACGTCTCTGTGATGTCCTTACGGGCTGTGCGTTGGCGCCTTTCCCACCTGTAAGCTGTCCGATGGATACCCTGATTTCTCTTCGATAGGTTCCCATCTTGCCCTTCAAGGGTGACCCGGGTACTTTAGCTTCGGCCTGCAGCACCTGTCGCAACTTCTTCAACTCCTTGTGAATCTGCAGATATCGATCCGCGAGGGCGTTCTTCTGGGCTGATGCAGTAGGAGGTGCTGGGCTTCGAGTGGCGGGCGGCTGGACGGCGGGAGCAGCCTGTGCTGTTGGCGCCGCGCGATTCTCGAGCTTTGACGCGCTGTCTGCCTGAGCTGTAGATGCAAAGAGACCGCCCGCGGCTGGTTTCGTCTGCCCTCCTAGGAAGCCATTCGTCTGAGGGACAGCAGTACTCGTCACCGGCTGTTGTTTTGTCTCGAAAGGGTTCTGCTTCTTGGGCTCTGGAGCCTTTGTAGGCTCTGGCTGCTGAACTGGCGTCGGCTCGATCTTCTTGGGTGGTTCTGGAACTGGTTCGGGAGGAAGCTTTGGCACCGTCTTGGCTTTGAGCTCTCGGAGCCTTCTCTCTTCCTCAACTATCGCAGCCTCTGCCCTCAACCTTTCTTGCTCCTTGCGTTCCAACTCTAGAATTCGCTGGTGCTCTTCACGGAGCTCATGAAGTTCGTATACCCGGATGGCCGCTTCTCGTACGCGCTTGTGCTCTTCCTGAGCGGCGGCGAGAGCGCTCTGGTGGTTCAACTCATTATTCCGACCCTCGACAAGGAATCGAGAAAGGAGGCCGCTATCGGTGCTCGGCAGCAGTTGGTTCCTCGTTGGAGAGGAGGAATTGGTCATGTTCTCGAGGAGAGGATTGACAATACGTAGTCGCTATGGCGATGGCATCTGCGACTGTTGACTCGTGTGAGATGTCGCCTTTGCTGAAGGAAAGATAACGAGGAAGGAGCGTGACAATCGAAAATCCAAAGGTTTCAATCGCTTGTTGCGCGAAACACTTGACGAAAGAAAGAGGATGAAGCCTGGCCAATGCCAGTCGGTCGATGAATGTTTGCCAAATCGCTGTTTTGATATCTCCAAGATTTGAACCCTGTATCTTTGGTCTGCCCGTGAAAGAAATGCCAGGGTACGTACCGGTCGTGGTTGGTCAGACAATCGATTGATGACGCGCCGGTCCCGGTGAAATGTAATCCCGATGGATTCCGCATCGGCAGACCACAAGTACCGGTACCTGTGCCTTAAGGTCTTTCGAGCTTGGCGAGTCGCGAGCTAAAGAACCTGTCTTTAGGCCAGGGTGGTACCTTACCTTATTAATAAGGGCTGGGATCTACGATTGACGGACGCTTCGTTCTCATTTCGTCTATTGCTACTGGGATGCTTTCGCGAGGCCTGGATGCTTCGGTTGGCTGTTGCTCCAGACGTCCAAGGTTGAGATAATGTGAGATCATACAGAATCGGTACTGAGGAGAAAATGCCATGACTTGCAGCAACTTAGATACCTCTTTTTCTCGATCCCAAGACACAGAAACTGTCACTCACAATCAGTCACAGGTGACGTGGCCCTGTCCTATTCGACTCCCTCCTCGGCGATGTATGTTTCCTTGAAGAACGAGATGACAAAGCGTCAACGGCACGTAGATTGGTAGCTTGGTTACAGCTGTTATTATGGCGGGGGGAGGAGCTTGTCTTAGTTTCCGGTGGGCATCAGGGCTTCATTCTGCCCCCAGCAACAAGAACCAGGGCGCACTAGACGCTTTAGTTGTTACTCGTAGTCTTGACGTCTCCGTACGTCGTACTTGGTCAGAGGGCAAATAAAGGAGTCTGGCCTCCAACACGTTGCTTCTGTGAATGAAGCCCGACAGTTCTATACATGCTTGTAAGGTCGTACCGCCTCATTCGTGCTAGGTACATGCAGTGAGCGTCTCTGTTGCAGCGCAGGTACACGGCAAGAGGGCCAAGTCACAGCCTGTTGCATGTTACAAAGGTACATATGCCACTCGATTCGGTTATGCAATTGAGACCCGGCATTGGCGAGGCCAGGGGACCCGAGCTCTTGATCCATGCTACCCCATACTCTTGTCTTTGCCAGGATGACACTGTCGATACTCTTGAAGATAGTAATACTGCGGCATAGCAAACGGTTTGGATGTGAGCACGAGTGAAGGGCGAATCAACCGCTGCGGGAACACCCGGGCCCGTTGTATTTATACATGGCTCACGACGCTGAGAAAGGGCTCGAGTCAATGGTCGGTACAATCAGGCACAGACAGACCACCGCGACCAAACGGACCTGACTGGTGGACACGATATCATTAGCATCTGGGGCTCGTATTGATGAGGGTTGGGCGATAGCGGTTTAGTGGGAGCGTCAGGGGCGAGCAACTCTGTAGCAGGAGCAGAGCTCGTTGCTCGCTCCAATGCTGGGGACGGCTGCTGGCACTTGTGCAGAGCCGGACAAGCAAGCTTCCTCAGCTGCAAAGAAGCGCAAAAGGCGACTGCTAATACCGAGTGGTCCAGCCTAGAGCATGCGATACATGTGCAGCCGAGCTGTCTGGCCCTGCAAAGAATCCGACACTACCGTGGATCAATGATATCGCAGGTTTCCGCGGTGTCGTGTGACGACGTGATGGGTTAGAAGAGCGGGACAGGAGCGCTACGGCTGCGGCGCCAACAGCCCCAAGCAGGGGGGGGCCAAGGCTCGAATGTTGAGTTGTGATGAGCGCGGGTTTGATATCGGCCAGCCGAGCATTCTGTGTGCCTGTCTGCGCTTGTCCTCGCCAATGTCCGCCAGGCAGCCTGGAGAGGGCTCGTTGACGCGACGGCAGTGGCGGTCTCGTATCCGTGCGAGGGACTGACTCCGACCCTGGATGCTATGCCTGTCGTGCCCTGTGCTATCCTTTTCCTGCGAATCTCGTGGAGGTCGTCAACCACAGCTTGCTGGAGGAGCGATGAAGCCATGGGCAAAAATCCGAACATGTCTGGGATTACCGTCCAATGATGCCATCCGCAGAGCTGCCGAACCCCTGCGTGCTGATAGTAATAGAAAGAATCTCGACGAGAGCGACTGACCAATTGGCAATGTGAATCACGCTTCGTCGAATACAGATGTCCCCTTCCTAGATCTGTGCTGCTGCTTTCGCAATACAATCAGCGTCCAAGAAGCCTTTCGTGCCTGAGGTGACATGTCGGGTCCGGTGCAGCCCGGCGTCCAATCCAGCCGGCGCCCTGGATTGGCGATGGCACTCGCTCAATGCCTCGAGCTAGGCTGCAGCGGATGCCGTGGATGACTGGACGAATGCCCGCGCACACGTGCGGCAACTGAAGCATCAACAGCCTCGACGGCCTTGCTGCCCTCAAGGCTCAAGGGGGGGCCCGGGCTGGGTTGAAGCTGGTTCGCCGCAGCGGTCGCAGCCGCGCCGAGGTGGCGTGCGCCAGCGAGCTGCTAGCGAGTGGAGGATGGAGAGCGTCACTGCACACCCCCCCATATTTTCGCCCCCGGGCGGTAGCTCTACCTGTATCTCCCCAGCTCACAGCGCGGCCGGTCTCTATCCTCCCTCCATCTTCACTCCCACACAGCGCCTCTGCCAGGAGCTGGACTTCCCATCCGCATCCATCCTCACCTTCTCTTCTCCTCTGATTGTTTCCCCTCCGCTTCTGCTCTGCATTGCACCGCCAGCCCGCCTCCTTCCTTTCCAACGCTCCTTGGCTCTGTCGAGCTCGCTTGAACCCACTGCATCGACCCTCCTTTGGCAAAATCTGTCCTGTCCACGGGGGCCTGCCTGTCTCTTAGAGCCGAATCTTGACCACCACCCAGAACCACGACCACAACAACATCCCAACGCCCAACAGCCCTCTCCCACGGCCATTCCATCGCCAAACACCTCCTCCAGCATCGCTCACAACCAGCCCGCACCCGACGTGCACGTTTCCGCTGCCCTTTGCTTCCGCCATGGACCAGCAACAGCAGCCGCCGCAAGCTGGCCAGCATCCCGCTGGCAGCGTTCATGGGCCGGCTGGACGCAGGCTGCACATTGCGCACCGCAGGAGCCCGTCTGAACTCACGCCGCTCATGAGCATGTTTGCCAATCCAGGAAGTAAGTCATCTTTCTCCTTGTCATCTTCATCTATTCTGTTTGGCCCTTGCGAGCAGCTTTTTCCCCCCCCCTCGCTTCTTGATGCTTTGTGGCGGCTGCCCTTGTCGCCGCAAAGCTCTAGGCGCGGGGCAACCGCGTTGCCAAATCCACCACCTCTCCCCCCCTGCATCCACAACATCGAGCTGCAACTCTTCAGAATCAAGAGAGCCGAGTCTGGCACAACGGGAGACTAATCGATTTTGTGTGCCGCAGTGGAACAACTTGCCATCCAGCAGCAGATCGAGCTCCTGCAACAGCAGCAGCAGCAGATCCAGGCCACCCAGCAGCAATATGTCAACATGGGCATGTTGCCCCCGGGCCAAGCCATCGGACCCGGCGGCCCATTCAATCCTTTGCAGCCCATGGGCAATGCTTTCCAGTTCCCTAACCAGATCCCACAACAAAACATCTCGCTGGGTCCCCCGACTCAGCCACTCTCACATCGCCGTAATCAGTCGGCTCTGCCCAACATGGGCATGGGCCCGCCACCCGCGCCATCTGCAGGAGCTTCTGGATCTACCTTTGGAAACTTCGAGGCCCCGGCGAGCCACGGGCGTGAGAACGCTGGCTCCCGAGGTGGCCGTGGAGGTGCTGCCGGTGGCGGCCATCAACGACGACACTCCTTGGCTCTGGCCGATGCCAAGAAGGCTGCTGAGCTCGCCCAGCAGAAGCGAACGACTTCCGGATTCCAATTCCCCGCTGCTGGCTCTCCGGCCTCTGACAAGCCAGAGGAGGAGAACCAGGCTGCCTCGCAGCCTAGCCTCGAAGTTCCCGCATCTCAGGCATCTGGTCGTGGCGGCCGCGGTGGACATGGCCGCAGCCAGAGCATGGCTGCCCAGGGACGCGGCGGCCTGCGCAGCAGCACCTTCAACACTGCTCCTGAGGGTGGCAATGATTTCCAGCGCCGCGGTCCCGGCCACGCTCGCACTGGATCTAGGAACTATGAGGGCAACTGGCGCACCCAAGGTCAATCTCAGGACCAGCCCACCAACGTTGGTCAGACCCAGGGGTTCCAGCCCGGCCACCGTTCCCGCGGCTCCGTCAACCAGTCCATGTCTGCCATTGGAGGCTTCCAGTACAACCCCGGCCAGGCTCCCGTCCTTCCCCTTGCTGGCCAGATGATGATGCCTCAGATGTACAACCAGCAGCTTAACCCCATGCAAATCAGCCAGCTTCAGGCACTGCAAGCTGCCCAGATGAACTCACAACAATTCCAGGGCCTCCAGGGCTCCCAACACGCTGGCCAGCTGGGCGGCCCGCAACAGCAGCAGCAGCGAAAGACGCTCTTCACCCCCTATCTTCCGCAGGCTACCCTTCCCGCCTTGCTCGGAGATGGCCAACTTGTGTCGGGCATCCTCCGAGTCAACAAGAAGAACCGCAGTGATGCTTATGTCACGACGCTCGATGGTCTCTTAGATGCCGACATCTTCATTTGCGGCAGCAAAGATCGCAACCGCGCCCTCGAGGGTGATCTGGTCGCCGTCGAGCTCCTGGATGTCGATGAGGTCTGGGGTCAGAAGCGGGAGAAGGAAGAGAAGAAGAAGCGAAAGGACATTACCGACACTCGCTCAGGCTCCATCAACCAGGGCAGCCAGGCCGCTGGACAAGCCGACGAGAACAATCCTCCGGAGGGAGCCATTCGCCGCCGTGGCAGTCTCCGCCAGCGACCCACCCAGAAGAAGAATGACGACGTCGAAGTCGAGGGCCAGAGCCTCCTCCTTGTTGAGGAAGAGGAGATCAACGATGAGCAAAAGCCACTGTATGCCGGCCACGTCGTTGCTGTTATTGAGCGTGTGGCTGGCCAGATGTTTTCAGGTACTCTGGGCCTGCTTCGACCCAGTAGCCAGGCTACCAAGGAGAAGCAGGAAGCAGAGAGGGCGGCCCGAGAAGGGGGCAACTCTCGCTCGAATGACAGTCGCCAGCAGGACAAGCCCAAGATTGTTTGGTTCAAGCCGACCGACAAGCGCGTTCCCCTGATTGCCATTCCCACGGAGCAGGCGCCCCGAGACTTTGTTGAGAAGCACCAGGACTACGCCGATCGCATCTTCGTCGCGTGCATCAAGAGGTGGCCCATCACGTCCCTTCACCCCTTTGGTACACTTGTCGAGCAGTTGGGTCGTATGGGTGACCTTAAGGTGGAGACCGATGCGCTGCTTCGCGACAACAACTTCGGTTCCGATGAGTTCTCCGACGCGGTGTTGCGCAGTGTCGGCCTCCAGGACTGGTCGCTCGCTCAAGAGGACGAGGCGGCCATTGCCTCGCGCCGCGATTACCGCGATGAAAAGGTCTTTACCATTGACTTCAACGGTAGTGCCGAGCTCGGCAATGCGGTGCACGTCACGTCCCGCCCCGATGGCAAGATTGATATCGGTATCCACGTGCCTGATGTCACGCATTTTGTCAAGCCCAACTCTCTCGTGGACCGAGAGGCCAAGAAGCGCGGTACCGCCGTCCATCTCATCAACCGATTCTGCCCCTTGCTGCCTCCCAAGCTGTCTGGAGAGGTTTGCTCTCTCGTGCCAGGCGAGGAACGTCTCACCGTCAGCGTTGTCTTCACCGTGAACCCGGTCAACGGCGCCGTTGCCGAAGGCGATAGCTGGGTGGGCAAGAGCATCATCAAGTCTGGCGGCAAAGTGTCGCTGGCCGATATTGACAAGGCCCTGACCGACGCTTCCACTTATGACAACACGACGGTTCCGGTCAACACCATTCAGATTCTGCAGGCTGTGGCCCAGAAATTCCGTGAAGCGCGCCTGGGTGCCGGCAGCGAGCCCATTGCCCCCCTCCGCTTGTTGCAGCAGCTGGATGACGAGAATCAACTGGTGCAGCACAACATCTTTGACTCTACGGAAGCTCTGGAGCTTGTCGAAGAGCTCATGCACAAGGCAAACAGCTATGTGGCCCAACGTCTGGCAGAAGGCCTGCCCGACAAGGCTCTGCTGCGCCGCCAGGCCGCTCCCAACCCACGACGCCTGCAGACGTTTGTCGAGCGCATGACAGCTCTTGGATACGACATCGATGCCTCTGGAAGCGGGGCACTCCAGAACAGCCTTTTCAAGGTCGAAGATGCAGATCTTCGCAAGGGCATGGAGACTGTTCTTCTCAAGTCGATGCAGCGAGCCAAGTATTTCATTGCTGGCAAGACCCCCAAGGTCGTCTGGCCTCACTACACGCTTAACCTGCCACTGTACACACACTTTACGAACCCTACTCGCCGATACGCTGATATCATTGTCCATCGACAACTGGAAGCTGTCCTGTCCGAGGGCAAGATTGAATTTTCAGACGACATGGAGAACCTCGTTAAGACTGTCGAGCTCTGCAACACCAAGAAGGACTCGGCGCAGAACGCGCAAGAGCAGAGCATCCACATTGAATCCTGCCGCACCATGGACAAGAAGCGACAGGAAGTCAATGGCGACCTCATCGCTGAGGGCATCGTCCTCTGCGTGTATGAGTCGGCTTTCGACGTGCTGATTCCCGAGTGGGGCTTCGAGAAGAGGGTCCACTGTGATCAGCTACCGCTGAAGAAGGCTGAGTTTCGAAAGGAGAAGCGTGTCCTGGAGCTCTACTGGGAGAAGGGCGTTCCCAGCTCCGCGTATGTGCCTGAAGATGAGAGACCCAAGGCTGCGGCCTCCATGAGAATGTCCAACGCGCTCGCCGCTGCTCGACAGGCGGAAGAGGCTGAGCGAGTGAAGAAGGAGCGAGAGGAGGCTGCTCGTAAGCAGACCGTTACCGGCACGATCTCCACGGACGATGTCGACGCCCTGTTTGATGACGACGAGGACGATACTTCGGATGTGACTGAAGCCATGGCGGGAGCATCGCTGGCTGAGCGACCTACACAGAGTGTTCCGGGATCCCCGGCACGCTCAACTTCCAACGCTGGAACTCTGCACCGCACTCGATCCGATTCCAAGGTGCCCATCGCAGAGGCCGTGGAGACCCGATTGACGAACAAGGAGAAGTACCTCAAGCTGTTCACTCTACGCGAGGAGGGTGGGGACTACATCCAAGACGTGACTGAGATGACCCGGGTTCCCATTATTCTCAAGACGGACCTTACCAAGAGCCCACCGTAAGTTATACCGTGATTTGAAGCTGTTTTCGAATGATTGGTTTTGCTAACATGAAGACATCAAATAGTTGCCTTACCATTCGGTCTCTCAACCCCTATGCGTTGTAGATTGGACGGTCCCAGCCACGGAAGTGCATGTGAGGATGCAGATGGCAGAGTGATATAGCCAATGGACGTGCTCAGGCTATCGATGGGGTTTGCTTACCATAGTAGCGACGCGAGGTATATATATATTCACCTATATATTATCGGGCACGGTCGGGGAGGACGGTTTATGGCAGCATCGGTGTAATGGTTGCGAAGGCGATGCCTTTGATGTTGCGGAAGGCGATGAAGACCTGAAAAGCACACTGATGTAATTGAGGCATGAGAGCGAATCGGGCACGAGGTGAAGCAGAATGAGATATGATTGATATAGGCTGTTAGTGGACAGAGGGAGATGGAGCAATGAGCATTACGTTTACATACCCTGCCCACATGCTTGCACGTATTACCTGAGCGGTTTCCGAGCGAGTGACGGATGCACGTGCTGACTGCGATCTGATGCCGAGTGAGTGTCCGGCTGGGGGCAGTTCCGAGACAGTTGAAACATTTGATGGAAACAGTTGAAGGTGGTGGGTGCTAGGGAAGTGACTAAGGTAGGTAGGCAGGCATGGAGGCAGCCGGGTGAAGGATGCTCTGTCACTCTGCGAGACAGGAGCAGGAACAGGAACAGGGGCCGGGCAGCAGGGTGGCCTTGTCATGTACCATAGAGTAGGTATGTATGTAAGGCACACGAGGCTTAGGTAGAGCTTTGGCGTCGTTTGGTGAAGAAGTCGGAGCAGATTATGAGCAAATTTGATGATGAGCGGCATCACTGATGGTGTCCAGGGCGGCGTCTATCTGATACCAGATCGTCCCTCGTCTTGCCTCTTCGCTGATATGGATGTCCGACTAGGTAGGTACCTACCTACTACCTACCTAAGATACCTACCTAGTACCTACACAGAGTCTTGCTCATGGAATCTAACCGAAAGGTGACTTACCCAAAGCCATTTCAGGCACGAGGAGGAAATTGAGATTTCTCCGTTCTCCGTGCCTTCCTACCTGAGGTATGATGCCAACGAACGTATTGCTGTTGCAACAGAGGCAGGTGCCGATTAGTAAGGCGCCAACTTCTCTTCCTTACCTCTACACGAAGAATCACAGCTGCAGCAAGCTTCTTCCGATCAACTCTCACCCAAACAGCCTCGTAACAACGGCTCACCTGCAGTTGAATATTGCCATCTACGCCCCGCCTCAACACTACGATAAGCCGTCTCCTCCCTCCTCGACCGGCTTCACTCACGATGGCAAGTAGAAACCCGCGCACGTCCTGAGTCGTGGGACGCTCTGCAACCGGCCGCTGCCATCGTGCGACATGAGCATCCCTCCCGCGGTCATGACGCATTGCGCTAACGAAGGCCCAGAAGTGATCCGTCCCCTTGAGCTCGCAGAGCAGAGAAAGAAGATAATAATTAAAGTTAAAACGACCTGGCTGCAGCCGCCCCTCTGCAGAGGCGGAAGAGATTGGCTCCGGGGGCGCTGCTTTTGCGCGTTGTGTCAGATTCGTTTCGGACTATGGACGGGGGGTTGAGCTAGTTCAACTGGACCCTGTCGGGGGAGCAAAAGCTGGGGGTGTTAGCTTGGGATGAAGGTTCGCTTCTGGCAGCTTCCGGGCCCTTGTTTTGTCTATTAACCTTTGCCCTGTCGCTTGTTGTCTAGCAAGGGGGGAAAGTGTACGGCGCTTGAGGCCCGGGTCCGTCCATTTGGGGGGGTTTGCTGGACGTGGTGAAGCGAAGAAACGGATCCTCATGGAGCCGCCAATGGCTGTTTGTCCCACGTTGCGGTGGCCCCTGGGGGGCTTATTGTCTCTTCACTTATACCGACTTGGGCAACCCTCCACTGGCCGGACCATACAGGCAACCTCACTCCCACCCAGCTGGCTCTGGGATATAAGACTGTCGAAACGCGCTGCTTGGAGATTTGTTTCCCTTTCCCTTCTTGATCTCCATCGTTCCGCTCCGATCCGTCTCTCATTCACTTTCTTTCATCTCGTGGGTTGTCAAAAAGCCGCTGGCCTGCTTTTGCTGGTATACCCTTCGTTTATTCCATTCTCTTCGCTTGACTCGATTTTGACTACACCACTTTCCACTCTTTTCGATCCTTTTTTTGTGTAATTCTTCCGCACGGCTGGACCACTTGGTTTAACACCTGACGAGACCGACATCAAAAGAAATCAACGAAAGAGACGAAGAAACAATATCCAAGATGCCTTCCTTCAAAGCTGCTGTTGTTTCCCTGCTGGCTGCTACTGCTGCCGCTCTTCCCTCAGTGCCCAAGTTCTCTGAACGACAACTGGAGTACCATGCTGTTGCCAAGAGGCAGAATGCTGCTGCCCAGGCTCTGGGCCTCGGAGACTTTGATATTCTCCAATTGTAAGCGTTCCACTACAGTTCCAAATCTCTTTATAAGTCAACAAGTAGACTAACAAGCTCTCGCAGTGCCCTGACTCTGGAGAATCTCGAAGAGTCCTTCTACCGTGAGGGCTTCGCCAAGTTTCCCGCCTCCGACTTCAAGGCTCTGGGTCTGAGCGATGACCAGATCACGGATCTCCAGAACATTGGCTTCACAGAAGGCGAGCACGTCATCCTTCTCCAGTCCTCGCTGGCACAGAACGGCGTCAAGCCCGTCCAGCGTTGCACTTACGACTTTGGCTTCACGACTGCTGCGGCCATGGTCCAAACTGCCGCCATTCTCGAGAACGTTGGCATCTCAGCCTACCTCGGCGCCGCTCCCCTGCTGGCCTCTCCCGCCATCCTCGGCGTTGCCGGCTCGATCCTCACCATCGAGGCTCGCCACCAGAGCTCCATCCGTGTCTTCAGCGGCGAGAAGGCCGTGCCCCAGGCCTTTGACGCCCCCCTCGGCCCCAAGGCCGTCTTCTCCCTCGCTGCGCCCTTCATCAAGTCCTGCCCCAGCGACTCCAACATCAAGCTCACCGCTTTCCCCACCCTCAAGCTGGCCAACCCCAGCGATCCCACCACCGTCAACTCCGTCGTGAAGCTGCAGTCTGACGCTGCCGCCGGCGCCAAGTTCTGCGCCTTTACCTCTGGCGGCGTCGTCCCTGGCGGCACCAAGTTCACCCCCTTCTCCGCCACCGACGGCTGCACGATTCCCGAGGGTGTTGCCGGCATTACGTATCTGTCTCTCTCCAGCGCCGGGCCCCTGACGGGTGCTCTCACCGATGACATTACCCTCGCCGGCCCCATTGCCATTACTGTTTCATAGAGGAGGAAATGGATCGGTGATTTCCGGGACGGGGGAGGTTATCGGGGGTTTGTAACAAGGAAACGAAAAGAGGAGGAAAACTTCGAGTCAACGATTTATTTAATACATACAACTTCTATCTTCTTCTTCTTCTTCAACAATACTTTATTTTTCTCATGAATACGTTTGCTTCAAGTCAAAAGTGAATCTTCATACAGCAACATCATGAGGTAATTCTCCTCTTGGGGAATTCTGTTACAATAGATGATGTCTTCAGCGAATTGACGGATATAATCTAGTGTAGCGTCTTGCTCACATAGGATACAATGCGACATAAACCTGGCTCTCCATCTCCAACCTTCTTTCTTAGCCTAGTACCTGAGACAGACACTCAGAGCTTATTCTGATTCAAAATCTCTCCGGAAGCCTGCATGTGAAACATCCGTGGTGGCACTGACTTGTTTCTACCCCGTTCAAATGCCTTGTGCTGCTTGAATCAGAGAAACTGCAGGAATTGTGTCATTGTTCCACATATTGAACTTTTCGTCTTCTTGCTATTTTCTAAGTTTCTTTTGTTATATATGGTTATGTACGGAGTGCCGAGGTGGGGGGATAGGCTGAGGTTCTAGAAACCCTCCGGACCTCAGGAAAGCCCCTGAACAAGCCTCGATGCCTCCCCACCCCTACAAACATCCTCATGACCATTCCCAAGGTGACATCAGATACCACGAAGTGCTACCTGCGAGTAAACACGCTGATGGCTTGCCATCTAAGCTTCTTGGTTTGCACATACTCTCCCTCAACCCCTAAACTTTCGCCCTTCGGAAACTTCCTACCCCAACCCCAGCCCCCCATCCCCAACAGCTGCGTCTCTCCCCTTCTGGCTCCAAGCTCACAAAGAACATGCCATCGGCTATGAGTATAAAAACTTTTTAATGCCCGCCCTCCCCTTCCCTCGCAGAATCTTTTCGTTGCACAAACCGCCCTGAAATCGAGACATGAACGAACTGGGAGCACCGTCCAGAAGTATTAGTAAGTCTCTTGTCCCATCGAATCCCCCAAGAATACCTTCAACTCTATGGTGTAACTGTTTGTGGATGATCGTGGATATGTAACGCGGTGTAGGGTGGTATCTAAAGAAGCTATCCATCACATTGCAAACTGCTTCAAGTTTTTGTGGTTGATAAATTATTTGATTGCTTCCAGCGGTCTGCGAAGCGCTCAACGTTGCGTCCTTAAAATGGTCGGGCGTTGATGTAGTCTTGGGCTTTTGTCCAGGCAGCCTTCTCCTTTGCCGGGAGTGAGTTCACATCAAGCGTCTGCACGCCCTGGTTGAGGGCGCTGACGAAGTCGACGGCGATACGCAAGTCTTCTGGGAGTGCCTCGGACAGGGGAACAAAGGTGCTTGGGAACGTTTGCAGCCGAGCAGCTCGCGCTTCCTTGCTATCTTCGGCGTCGTCTTCATCGAAAAAGGTCAGGGCCGCAATGCCCAGTCCAATGTGCGGCTCTTGCGAGAAAGGTAGCCTGGACGCGGTTAGCCATCACATACCATTCAGATTCGACAAGAGGGTTGGGTCTCATACCTTTGGCTGATTTCCAGCTGGTCGTTCCTTTCGCGCTGGCACTGGCCGTACATGAACATGGATGCGACAATGGCCTCGATCAAGTCTCGATCAGCCTCGCGCACCGTGGTAGACAGAGCGCGGAAGCCCAGCAGACTCTTGTTCAGAGGACCGGTGTATCCGAACACCTGGTGCCTCAGCCTCAGCAGTGAGGCACATTGGCTGATAAGGATGACGCTTGCCTTGTCCTCGTCGGTTCCCTTGCGGGGCATACCAGGGGCACCCTCACGGTACTTGCCGCTCAGAAGCCCAAATCGAAGCAGCTCAAACGCCAACAGAGCAGCCTCATCGATGCCCGGTACTGTTTCCTCCATGGCATCCCTTATGGCAAGAAGAGTGGTTGCCAAGGCATTACCCCAGTTGGTCAGTTTGTGGGAATCGTCAACATAGCCCCTGAGGTGGAGGAATCGCCAGATGGCGACTGATACCACCATATCGGTGCTGTCGATACCGCGGATGGGCTTTCCTCTGCAAATAGTCTTCTCCACAAAGTCCTGTTTCGCCAGCGCAAGCACCTCTAGGTATATGGGACCGGCGAAGTCCGCAGGGAAGAATCGGCGCAAATCCTGCTCTTTGACGTCCCAGGTTCCCACTATTTGCGAGGGAGGCGGTTGAGCAGAGCGGTGGTTCAAGGTGTACGAGTATTTGGGATCGAACCAAACCTTCATGGTGATGTCCTTGTGGCCAATTCCTCGGTGGACCCGGGGTATGACAAGGCCGAACGTCTGCTCCTTGATGGGAAGAATTTGACTCGTCACCAGCTTCTTGTATTCATCCGAAGCGTTGCCATCCAGAGTCGGGAACACAATAATCTGACCGTGCGTTATACTGTTCAGAATACGAGCCCCAATAAGCCCCGTGTTGAGGTAGTGAAACAGTTCTGCCGGCATCTGGAGGCCGAGATACTCGTGGTTGTCCTTTGTGAGACGGTCAAAGTCGTTAACCTTGACTTCGCCGCTTTCGCTGATGTAGATGAAATGATGGACAGCCATCCTAGCCTTGCGATACTTGTCCAGCCAGTTGGGGTCCTGCGCCTGCAAGATGTCGTTGAAAGATGCGCAGGCGTTAACCACGGCCTTCTCCGACGTCCGAAGAATGTTTACGGCATCCATAATGGTAAACGGATTCGGATACATCGCTGTGTCCTGCAGTGGCGGGAATGGAGCCAGAAACGAGGTGCCTGTCATGAGCATGGCGTCGACGAACATGGGCTCACTAACCCCCAGCACGCGCATGACTTTCTTCTTGGATATGGCTGTCACTGTTCCGGCCATGAAGTCAATGTTTCGAATGACGGAATCCTGGATGGGGTACAGAAGCAGCTCCTGGGGGCCCATGACACCAGCGCACTGGTCCGAGTTGATCATCTCGAAGTAGGCAAGCTTTCCAAGTGTTAGACATTATCGCACACCGCACTGGGTCTTGGATGCAAGGCGAACCTGAGCGCAAGCGTTATAGGGAGGCACCAAAAAGTGCAACCCCCTCTCCTTCAGGATACTCTGAAGTAGCGGATACAGATTCTGGATCAGAAAAGCACCTTTTTCATAGCCAAGTTAGTGAGCCTGTCCCAGCTACAGTCAAAGGCAAGGCGAAGACCCGAGAGGGGAGGACATACCAGGGTTGGCTCCAAAGGCAGCGACGGCCTGTTCAGCCTCCGTCTGCGAATAAAGCCCCCATGCCTCATCTGTCTTCTGGTTCGCAGCTCTACCGCGTCTGAGAGTGACCTCGTCTTGTCCAACAATGGACTGGCCGTTGAAGATGAAAAAGGGGGTGATTCTGAACTTGTCCCACAAGTCAAGGTTCTGGCGAATATGGACTTGAATACCCGTCAAGCCGCCGAGTGCGGAAAGCAGGGGCTCGTGAGCAGGCTCGGTGTCTAGAAGGAGGCTCAAGTAGTACGAGGCATCGACGGCGATGGAGCAATCTTCGAGCTCGGCAATCTCATGTGTGCTAATTGACAGGCAATCAGTATCCGTCGTTCGGTACTTGGTGGGAGAAAGATCACGTACTTTGCCTGGCTATTGATCCAGGAATCCTCCACAAGGACTGTGACAAAAGTAAGTTAGTTTGGAGTGCTCCGGAAAATGTCTATCAACAGCCAGAATGGCACGAGTATGGGCATGTGACTCCCGCCGCCGCAGCGTCTCGAGAGAAGCATCGAATGCCACTGAGCAGGAGTTCAAGTTGCCAATTGGGCTGGCAAGAAGCTTCAAACAGCGAACTGTCATGGAGTCTCGACCGTACTCCCTTGGCGAGAACCATGATGGCTCCAAAGAGAGTGGCAGGCCAGTTCGAGAATGACATGTGGCGCAACAGCAGTCACGCGCAGGCGACGGGAGTGTTTCGCTGGGCTTGAGAGTGGCTCTGTGAAGGCTAAGAAGAACTTACAAGGCATCTTGGACAAGTCTTCTCGCAAAGAACGGGCGTATGGCTGTCGGTTTCGGTATGCGACTCGGAATGGCGGGGGTAGATGAGCTGTTCTGAAACGAGGCTGAACACCCGCGGTTGTCAAACGGACAGAAACGTGGGAACCAGAGCGAGCTCTGGAAACGTGCGGCTGAGTTGCGAGGAACAATCGGGCGTCGTCGACAGGCTCTTGAGAGTGTTGGACAGAGGGCAAAAATCGAGATCGAAGCGATTTGTCGTCTACCAGCGCGCAACCGGAGGTTGGTGGCGAAGAAACGAGGAAACCCAAACAAGGATCGTTGGAGAAAAAGCAAGCAGGACGCTGGCGACGAGAGGCTGCGGTAACGCTTAGCCACAGCAGGCCTTTTCCCCCCTTCCCGTGAGAGAGACAAACAGAGAGACAGGCGGTTAGAGAGGCAGCGAGACGGACAGACGATGACGTCCCCAGCAGCCGCGCCCGAGAAGGAATCGATGGATGAGTTCGGTATTCAGCCCTGCGTGAGGGAAAGCAGAGCTGGTTCAAGGAGGAATCGGAAGCGAGTCAATCAGGCAAGGTGCGGCAATGGGTACAGTGTTGAGTTGGGTTCTGCACGGTAGCATTGCAGAGGTAAGCGCCCAGTGTTTGTGTCTACTGGGGGCCATTTGGGGGGCGCTTTCCCCCCTGATCCACAGTGTTTGTGGCGCTTCATATGGGGTCCAGTAGGCACTACCTTGCCCAAACAACCAAAGAACATGTGCGAAACATAGAGAGACAGAAGCTGGGTTGTGGCTTGGTAAAGCAGCTTGATGTACGCCTTCGACTTGGCTTCTTGTTTGAAAAACCAATGGCACAATGAAGTTGTACCTTCTGGAGGACTTGAGCGTCTACCTTGTGTTTCTCAATGCCCCCTTTGGTTGCCCAGATGCTCCTCGTCTTTTGAAGTCCGTCCAGCCTGGACCTTTGACCCTACAGGGGAGCTCTCCAGTTACTAGCGGGAAGCCCCGAGCTGTGTCGACCCCGCTACATGTTCCTACAGCACAGGGCAGCCATTCCAGGCTGATGGCGGGGTCTGACCTTATCACAGTAGAGCAGCCTCGGAACAGCACCCGACCATGCTTGGAATTGTCCAGTGAGATTATACTTCAACCTGGGCTTGTCATAGGTAATATACCCCCAACTACGACTCGCTTTCTTCATGCTCTTTGCTATTGCAATCTCACTCTAGTAAAACTCTCCCCCATTAGGACGTTCAACAACACATCATGGCCGTCACGGCAGACATCCCCATCATCGACATATCAGGAGACCAAGCCGCCGTGGCCCAGCAGCTCGTCGACGCCGCTCACGAGCACGGCTTCATCTACATCAGAAACCTCGGGGCTGACATTTCCCCCGACAGCATCGATGGAGCTTTTGCATTGGTACGGCTTCCTGAAAGCTTTTGGACGAAAACATGAAGAAACTTTTACTGACCGTTGTCCTATATTCCTTCACAAGTAGTCCAAGAAGCTGTTTGATGCTCCCCTCGCTGAAAAACAGGCGTGCACCATCCAGACCAACAATCGCGGCTGGTCTGGCATGCACTCGGAGACTCTAGATCCCAAACATCAAAAGGTACACTTAACCAAATCTTGGTAACAATCATGGAGAGAGTTGACTGACGGTATCGTGCCCTCATCCCACCAGGTCGGAGACTTCAAAGAGTGAGCTCAACCTTATTCCTGCCACTGCGCGGACATATATCCCATAATGTTCTACTGACAATGATACAGAGCTTTCAACTTTGGCGAATTCGTCAATGGCAAGGCCCAACAGCCTCTCCCACCCACCATCGCCGGCGACGAGCCCCAAATCAGCGCCTTTGCAGACTCTTGTCACAAGCTCTGTCGGAAGCTGCTACACCTCCTGGGAATTGGCCTCGGAGTGAGTTCGCGCCAATAACTAATTATATTCTTGACGCATCTTGAAACTGACTCATGCCCATCAGGTCGGTGACTTCTTCTCCTCAGCACACAGCACAAACGGCGAATCCAGCTCCATCCTGCGCCTCCTCCGCTACCCACCCCCCGAGCAAACTTCCCGCTCCAGCGACGACGTCCGAGCCGGCGCCCACTCCGACTACGGCTCCATCACCCTGCTCTTCCGCCTCAAAGGCCAGGCTGGCCTGGAACTGCAAAAGAAGGACGGCTCATGGGCGCCAGTCCCCGTCTGCCCGCCGGGCTCAGAAAACGATCCCAGCCCCCCTATTCTCATCAACATCGGCGACTTGCTGTCTTACTGGACGAATGGGCTTTTCAGGAGCACCGTTCATAGGGTAGTCTTCCCTTCGGAGGATGGAGGAAGCAAGGTTGAGGGCGAGACGAGCGCGGGACCGCGGTACTCTATTGCTTTCTTTTGCCATCCGCGGGGAGCGGTGCCGCTGGAGCCGGTGCCGAGCGATAGGGTGAGGAATTATGTTCCGGATGCGAGCGCACCGAATGAGAATCCGTATGCGGAGAGGAAGGTTATGACGGCGAGTGAGCATCTGTTTATGAGATTGAAGGCTAGCTATGGGACGTTGTATGATGAGAAGAAGGATACGTAAGGGTTATATATTGATAAAATCTAGAAGTTGGATATCTCTCATAAACGCCAAATGTTTGATGGTTGTAACCGAAATATGTTCTCATACCAACCCAGAGTACCAACGCCGCCAAGGATCATGAAAACCATCGTAATATTTCTTCGTAGTCTCTGCGTCCTCAAATATGGCGAGGTGATGCAGAACTCGCCAGTCAAAGACGCTTATCCATTCCCGTCTCTCTTCCGAGATGCTTTCGCGGACATCTTCCAGTTTCGAAAGTAGAGCCTTCGTTTCTGCCTCTTTGTTAACCGTATCGACAAACAGAATCTTGTTACGACCCGTTTGACTGTTTGCCAGCGGGCAAGTATCCACTGCGTCGTTTTGGATCCAGGCTTCGGCGTCTCTGATGATATTCGCAAGTCCATGTGCCCGGAATAGGGGCTCCACATCCTTGAGATCCGAGAAGTAGTTGGGGAGTAAGATGAGACGATCGGTCAGCTGGCATTCAAGGCCAGCATACTTACATTGGTCCTTCGGTTGCTGGGATGTCTGATCTAGATGCTTGTCTTCAGCATCGCTTTTGCGCTGCCCGCGATGTGTGCAGGGTGAAGGCGGGGTATCATTATCGCTGTCAGCCTCGTCTTCACCCTCGCTATCTGCTATGATGATAGCACTGTCGTGTAATGGCGGAAGAGAAGATGACGACTCCAACAGCTGCTCGACAGCAAGCTCAACACTTGTAGAGCCCCCCTTCTGCTTCTGACACTGCGCAGACCCGGAATCGACTGTTGGATTCTCGTCATCGGGCAGACGAACGGCAGGGGCTGGCGCTAACGTCCGCAGCTGTTGCGTACATGTAGAATTACCATCAATTTCCCCCAAGGGACGCCGTTTTGGCGACTCGGACTCAAGCTCGGGTCCCAGTAAAAATGGCTTCGACTCATTATGCCCATAATCCATGCGGGATTTCTTTGCTGGGGGGAACAGAGCCGCCGAAAATGCAGGCCGCTTCGGTTTGTGAGTATCAGACAGGCCGGCTTTCGACAGATCTGTGACGGGAGATGGCTGTGAAGCAGCCAGTTTATGGGGAGGCGGAGGCATCGCATCTACCGAGCCTACCGATCGTTCCAGAAAGCCGTCGGTAAGATGTCTGATCAGCGGCTGGGAACCCGAAGAGTTATGAGAGGCTCGTCTCGGCGACGGGGTTGGCATGGTCGTTGCCGTCAACTGCGTAGCAGCGTCAACGGCCAGTCCCCTTGGATCAGCCTGCTCCAGCCTGGCGATCCACGCAAGGTTCTCCTGGCTGTCTTCTACGTCGCGGGCAGATGTGGCGCCCTCGGCAATCTTCTGTAGCTCGTCAAAGGACAGCACATCAGAGAAATCCCGGTCGAAGTGAATCTTGGCGACAGACGGAAACCGTAAGCTCCACCAGTTAGTGCTAGATGCTCTTTCAAAGCTGAAGCATCGCATATCGAACACGGGCGGATTTGTGAATGCCATGGCCATCGCTACTGGCTGGGCTCCGGCGGCGTGCTTCACCTTGGTGTCGACATTCTCCTCCACAGGCACTGAATTCGGGTTCGCATAGAGTAGGAATGACTTGAGCATGGTCTCGTTGAGCTCAACGACATTGACGGCAGTAAACTCCGGAATTGCATTCCATCGCTTGACTTCCTCCCTGTTGTCAAGGCAGCCAACATAGAAGTGCGTCCACTTGAGATTGTCGATACTGTATGACCTCGCCTTGGCCGCATCGAATCCGGCCCCGACTACGGCGAAATCACCAACCTCACCAAAGCGGCCGATGTAGTCCTTTTTGAGCTTGATGCAGCGGTTTGTGAATGGCTGCGCATCATTCTCAAAGTTGAAATAGGGCTGGTCTGCCTTGAGAACTAAGCCTTCGCCCCTTTCTCTGATAACTTTGGCAAATGCATTTCGCAAGTCTGAAGCTGCCATGGGGTGATTGGTGTTGATGAGTTGCCGCTGTACGAGTTCGGCTTGTCCTCTGTCGCAGTGAACGATCTTCTCCAATAACCTGAACCGTTCAGAGTGCCGAGTGTTTAGTAGTGATTGGCCGTCGAGAAGTAGGACATCATAGTAGACAATCATCAGGTGCTCATAGGACCTCGGACTGGTGCTATTAGGATACAGGTATCTTCCCATCGGCCATCGCAACTACAGAAGGGACTTACGGCGAATCTTGCTCTGTGTTCATGAACCAACCGCGACGGGTGACGTGTTTTCGAATATGATGAAAGGGTAGAATTTTCTTCTCCTGCAAGCACGATGTTAGCCATAAAATTGTCACATTCTTTTGACTATGCCGGCAGCTCACCAATTCGCTATATACTACCAGTTCACCTTCCAGTATGCACTCTGTCTTGACATGACATCTGGCGTTGCCTATCGCCAACGACTTCATGATGGCCCTGTATCACTGATCAGCTTCCGCTCTCTTGATGATACATCTTCAAATGTAATTACCCGATCAGCCCGGCTCTGTCTTCGGTGCTGTCTTTGCCGCTCTTGGAGAAGATTTGAATACCGCGTCTGCCCTTACTAACGTCGACATGGATTTGGCAGTATTCTCCATCCACCTTTGCTTCCACGCTCATCAAGCCCTTGCACATCTGGAGGCAATGCTTCATGCTGCGGGCCTTGTGCCATTGCTGTCTCCCTACCTTTACCGACAATTGTGGCTTGACAGAGGATAGAGACTTTCGATCAGCATATGACGTGCCAGGTCTCGGAGAGGGCATTTCTTCCTTGAGCCGCTGCAGAGTATTGATAGCGGTAGTAAAGTCTTCACGAACTTTCAGGATCAACGGTAACAGGGGATCAAAAGAGCGGTAGAGCGCATATTCATCGAAGACGAGAGGCTGGAAGTCCTTGAGAATCAGCCGCGTGAGCCACTTGGCTTCTTTCGCAGAGAGTCGCCTATATAATGCCTCTAAGCCTTCACGGCCTGGCGTTTCAACAAGACTGGCCTCTGAAGATCGTATCGATGGCGAGCTCCATTTGACCTTGGCCGCAACGGAATGCAGAGTCTCGTCAATCTCTTCGACAGTGACTTGAAGTCCTTCTGCAAGAGTTGGGTTCGGCTAGAAATGGATCAGATGCCCGTCTTCATTGTCGAGCCGGTTGAAGCATAGTGTAGCTTACAGTGACAGTCAAGATACGCTCTACACAATCGGCAAGATCCAAATCCAGGCCGGGTTGTTTATAAAGTGCGAGTTCCTTGAGTCGAGAGGCGCCGAGCATCAAGCTGCGTCCGATGAGCTTCTCAAGACCGTTTGCTCGTATACAGTACACCCTGTCCGTCCTCTTTTCGGGCAGCAGGGTGGACAACAACGCCGCAAGGTTGGTGTCCGACGCATTTATACGGCTGCAATGCCGAGAGCACCAGACAGCGACAGTTTTAGCAGTTGGCTTGCGATCTATTGCTCGTGCGTAGGATGCATCTAACAAGTCGCAGACCAGGGAGAACGGCAGCGGCATATCGTCGTGATGTCGACGCGTGACATGTCACAATATATCCTTCGATACCTTGTGCGCAAATGATAAATCAACGAGTAGAACGATCGGGCGAGTCGAAACGGTAGGAACAGCCAGCTGCTACCTCAGCTCCCCTTCGGGCGAGGCTGGATCGGCAAGGCTGTGAGACAAGCTCATCGGCTCGTAAATCTAGCAGATGGCCCCATGCAAAGAGAGAAGATGCCCGTGATCACGATCTGCATCTGGGGAAAATCAGCGCTTTGGGCAGCGCAATAGGACATCAGCTGCCGAGCGAGCGAGAGGGTGTGCGCGATCTCCACCCACATGGAAGCGACAGGCCAGAGGCGTGACAAGGATCTCGAGGCACGCGACGCGAGACTCACGGGAAGTCACATGAACGGCCTGCACGTGAGACGGGCTGCAGCCCTCCGACGCTCTGGGGAGAGCAGGCTGGTGGAGAAGGCAGAAAGCTTGTTCGAGGCGCGGGACCAGCGCAAAAGAAACGAGTCACAAAGCCGAGAGAAAGGCGGGCATGATCGTGACAATCTCGAAGGTTATTGCAGGAGATGCAGGGAAGTGCATGCGAAACACGGCAGCGCCGCGCGTCCAGGCTGGCGAGAGGATCATATTATTGCGCGGAGATTTGAGGCCTGTTCCAAGGTTGTTCCATGGCGAGAACAAGCACAAAACTGCCGGGCTGTTGTTATGCGGCCATCGAGCGGCGAGCAGATGCTTCGTACTAGTACCGATCATGGAGCAGTGAGCGGTACGTCATTGCCGGTACAGTGTACTCCGAGATTGCTACCGGCGACATCCAGGGCCATCCCATCGGCTGTTCCAAGGGTGTCGACAGAACAGCCGGCGAAGCGGGCAGAGTGAGGTGCTCATGTACAGGGCCAATCGAGCCACTAAACGTGGGAGCTTAGCGGGCATGATGGTGAGCTTACCCGCTAACGCCCAGTGGCACAAGCGCCTCAAGCACCACCTGGGCACCTCACGGCTGCGCCCCCCACCCCGCCAGCCCCTGAGAGCAACCACCACACCTCAGTCGATCCACTGCAGATGCACCACTTTGGGCGGGTTTGGCGGCTTCGGGTTCCAGCGTGCAAGTCAGTTGACGCCTCCGCAAGGGAGCCCGATTGTCTGACCTTGGGCGAGTACAAGTACGACTATGTATGCATCCGAGCGGCTATATGGAACCTGGACGAAGAGGTCTGAGGTAAGGTAGTGACAAAGGAAGGACGACCTGGACATCATTTGCAGCCTCTTCTTCTGTGACTTACATTCCACGACTTGTGCCACCGTGACACCGGTACCCTTGGATTCATCGTGCAGCCACGGTCTGGTATCACAGACGCATCTCCGACAGGGCTCAACTCTCACCAGGGCTGCGACACGACACTCTGCGGTTCCGCTTCTCGCCAACGAATCTCGCCTGGCCTTTTGTTGAGACACAGCTTTGGGTTTCCCCCCTCTTGGCCGAGGGCAGCAGAAGCGGATCTCTTGAGCCAGCGTCATCAGCAAGGGAACAACAAACCCCCTCACCTCTCTCTCTCTCTTTCTTGGGCATCCAAAGCGCCGCCAGCCCGCCAGCAAATCCATCACCTGTTCGCCCTTTCGTCGACCCGCATACATAATACGACTTCCCTGTGTTTACACACGATCAGGCCCAGCCTCTGTTTACTTTACCTCACACATACCTACCTACCTACCTACATATACCTTACTATCGCCCACCGCCACATCTGCTGGGGGACCCGACGACTAGAGCCACCAAGCACGCCAGCCTAGCTGCAGACAGCACCAGCACCGCCGTCTGTTGACAAAAAGGCTCCCGGTCCACGTCGACGAAGCACCCCCTGTCGCGTCCCCGGGCTTCTTTCTGGGTAAGGCGACCCCGGCTGCTCGCTGGCCGTCCAATCGACGGGCCTCCCTTGAAACGAAACGGCACCCACAGCGCCCAGTCCTCGCATCTGCCCCCCAAAGGACTGGACAAGGACTGGACAAGGCCTGGCCAGGGCTCCGCAGCCGGTGCGATTATGAGAGCGGGAGCGTCCGATTTTCCTTCTCCTTATCAGCATCGGCTGCCCCATGAGCGGCCTGCACCTTGGAATCTGCATCGTCGACCGCAGCGCTCGCCCTCTCCTCGATGAATACCAGCTGCTAAGCCAGGACCACCACAGAGCGCTCCTTGTCCGAGTAGCCGTCGTCTTCGTTCACTATCGGTGCCTCAGGGCTCCAGCCACTCATTTCGACACCCGCCGTCCCGTTGATGGCAGCCGTTCTCTTCCTCTGCTCCAAGTAGTCGTCCTGTCTTTACGAGCCCGCATCAACCTGCCGACATATCTGGTCATGGCCTCGCAGCAGCAGCAGCACGAGATCCGCCTTCGCTCGTCTGCGGCCGGCAGCCCTGTGCCCGAGTCCAGGTCCGCCGCACGCGCCAGGACGGCCACCTTCGCTTCCTCCTCCTCCTCCCCTGGCATCTCACGATCGCACAGTGCGTCCAGTACCTCGTCCGTCTTTGACGACTCGGCGCACGCAATGCCTCCGCCACCTCTTCCCCGGAGCGATTCCTTCACGCGCGGTCGCTCCCGCGCCTCCCCCTCCGTCTCCCGCCACAAGAACCGCCTCTCGCTTACGCTCCCGGTCGCCCTGCCGCTGGGCGATGGCCCGAGGCTGGCCGATTCACCGGCCATCATGACGGCGTCCGCCATTACCGCCTCGTCGGTCCCGCAGACGCCATTGGAGACTCCTGCCAGCATCGCAGCCTCGCCTTCGAATACAAACGAATTCATCATAGCAATTGCGGCCCAGGAGCGGCGAGTCTTGGAATTGAAGGAAGAGCTCGCACAGGCCGAGACGGAATTGGCACGGCTGAAGAAGCAATGGGCATCCGAAGAGGTCTACCGCAAGCGGAGCGACAGCTACAGAAGCGACCCCTTCGGCAACTCACAGGCCGGCATTGATGACGATGCATTGGTGGCATCACGACGCAGCGTCGAATTGGATCGTCGGAAGCACATTCTCCAGGGCCAGGGCCAGACCACTCCGGCACAGGCCCGTCGCAAGGTTATCCGTGGCGGACACGCCCGCACCCTCTCCCTGCTCTCTCCCGTCCGGACGGAGAGCGTCTTCTCCCTTAACGAAGCCACACAAGCAGATCCGATCACGCTCCCGTCCGTGGAACAAAGAGTGGCCCAACTCACCGACCCAACCCTGGCGAAGCGATCCTCCTGGCAGCCGCGATCACAGCAGAGCGTCGCATCCGTTGTTGGCGTCCCCTCCATCGTCGAAGACTTTAAGCTAGGATTCCGCGCCTTCGTGGAGGACATTCGCCAGATTACCGTGGGAGACGAACCGGTGACGGGCCAGTCGCAGAGGACCATGTCGACCGCCATCGCCAATGCTCGTGAGCAAGATACGAGTAAGCCGAACCATGCCACCACCCACGCTAGGACCAGCAGTAATGAAGGTTCCAGTACGGCCGCGCCGACCACATCCCAAGCTAACAGAACCCCCGAGCTGAAGCCAAAGACTGGGACTGGGAGAGGGAAAAATTACTCCTGGACACCGCTTGGTTTCGACTCTGTTGACGACTCTGACTGGCTCAACTGGGATTCGCCCGTCTCCACCAAGTCTGCCCGCTGGAGTGGTTCTACCGTTAATAGCAGTGGCATTGATGACATTCCCGAGAAGGAGGACGAGGAGGATGCCAAACCGTAAGGGATTGCCGGTGCTTCCATGGACTCTGTGCAGAAATGGATCGGCTAACTTGCTATCGTCTAGGGCGAGGAAAGCCGATGCATCTATTCTTTCTCCGGCGCTTGAGGATCTACTTCCTAGCGTGGTTCATCATCTATCCCCACGCAACCTCAAGAGGACGGCCACCAACCTGATGGACGAGTGGGAAAAGTCGCTGGTGGCTCCCGAGGCCCGGAACAAGGAGACGACCGCCTAGAGCAGGCTCATTACGCGGCTTCCATCTCCTTGCTTCACAAAATACTATAAGTTCTTTGCACCCAGCCTGTGCACACGTCCCTGCAGGGACACACGATACTCACACCAACGAAGAGGCTTGCTTCTTCATAGCAATGGCACAGCGACAAGCGGCCACAAGAAGTCGGTACATCTCACAACCACAATCTTCGACGATTTGGATGAGAGGGGAAAAAAAAAAAAGACCTTGAAGAGAGATGGTACCGCAAGTTGTTATAGAGATTGTCTGGAAAGCATGCCTGTTTTGTCCTTTGGTGGTTTTATCTTGCTTTTCGCTTTTACTTTTCTTCTTCCCACAACTGTTCCAGATGAGGATTGTCGGGATAACGATGGCAATGAAACATGACGCATGATGAGAGAGACAGAGAGTGAGAGAATTCTCGCAGATTTACAAAAAATGAAAGAAGGCAACATACAAAATTGCTCGTATTCATCGTGAACCATTGTCAGCATAGTCAAGTTGTAGATGGGTTACTTACTTGAAAGGACATGGATCGAGGTATGCTTTTCAACACCATCACGCCACTTCCAGATCCCACCGTCAACAAGAGAAAGGACGATATATCCATCTATCCAATGCCGCTATAGAGTAGTATATAAAGATTGTCACAACTTAAAGCCGCCACCACTATTTACAAGTCAAACATATCCCAACATCCAACATCTCTCCCCCCCCCCCCCCCCTCTCTTCCTCACCACCAACATCATCGCCACACCCCCTCACTTCCCCTTCCTCCCCCCCTTCTCCTTATCCCTCCCATCCCCAAACCCAGCCTTGACAAGCCCATCCCTCGCAACGCCATTAATCAAAGCAAACCTCCTCGGCCCCAGCTTCACCCCGCCATACCACCTACTCACCACAACCATGCCATCCCACACCTCCATCAGCTGCAGCAGATGCAACAGCCTGCCCCCCGCCGCGTCCTCCCCGTCGTCGTCGCAATCCGAGTAACTCGTCGCCCCCGGCCCGCGGATCCTCCACGCGCTAATGTTGTGCGTGGCCGCCCTGATCCGTCGATCCGACCACAGGAGGTGCTGCAGGAAGAGCTTCGCCTGCGCCGGCGACGAAACGCGCGCCACGTGCGCGACAAACGTCGACTTGTTCTCCACGACAACATCCGAGACGGTCCAGGGGGGAGGTTCCATGGAGGCGAAATCAATCTGCTCTGCGCCGCCGCCGCTGAGCGCCCTCTCGCCTCGAGCCGCATTCACACCTTCTTCACCACCACCACCGGGCTCCTCGTTATCATCATCATGCTGCTGCTGCTCTTGGCGAAGTAATTCCTCCCGCTCCCGCTCCTCCTCAATCCTCCTCGAAAACTCCTCCACCGCATCAAACAGGCACACGCTCCCCGGCTGGAACACCGTCCCCAGAGCTTCCCTAAAGACTCCCAGGTCCCTCGCTCCAGCGCCCCTCTTGCCCCCCGAGCTGTGCTGCGTGCCCACCACCGTCGGCGGCTCGGCGGGATACGAATGCGGGAATTGGAGCCTTAGCGATGAGGCTTCTTCGCCGGGCAGCTGGAGGATGTATGTCGTTGATGCGCTGTCGTCTTGGTCCTCGGACAGGGAGAGGCAGCCCTCGCCGTAGATGGAGTTGAGAGCTTCTACCTCATCGCGGAGGTCTTCGGACATTGTTGGAATTGAGACTGAAGTCAACGGGATATGAAACGACTGTTTCTTAATTGTTCTGGAAGCCGGACGCACTCATCAAGTATTAACCTATGAGATGGTGATATTCATCCGATACAGGTGTGTGGCTCAATTGATGATTTTCGCACAGTGCTGTCCGAGGTCATCATACCCCAGTCGCACTGTATTCTCAATGAACTACAGTGGTCACAGCCATGTCTTGCTTGACACGTTCGAGAAGAAACCGGGATAAATTGTCAAAGGATCAATAAAGAAGCATAAGCTTATCGGCATTAAGCCAGTACAAGATTAGGCGGCGGCTCACAGTCTTCCGGCTGTCTTCTACCCTCCTGCATTTCCGACTTGTATAACAGTACTCCAGGGCCCAAGCTGCACCAAACATTTATACGCGCAACATCTACAAAACAACCGAAGAGAAACAAATACATCGAGGCATCCCCTTACTCGTCAGCAACCGATGCAAACTTGTCCAGCATCTCTTGTTGGATAGCCTCGTACTAAAAGGACACAGACATTAGCAGCGGTTTCAACAACGGACGACTTTGCGAATCGCAGCAAGCCTAGCACGAACCTTCTTGACAATGACGTCCTCGCCCTCGGTGGGCACCTCAAACTTGAGCTGACGCAGCTTGGCCTGCAGGTCGCTCGTCGACTCGCGGACCTTTGCCCAGCTCTGGCCCTGAGCAATGGCCTTTTGCGCTTCATCGTAAAAGCCAATCATGAGCTTCATCATCCACTCCGTCTTCCAGAGCGGGCAGAACTGGTCGTAGTCGGAGTAACCGTTCTGCTGCAGGAAATCTTCCTTGACGAGGACGGCAAGATCAAGCGTAATCTTGTCGTTGTCGGACAGCGCGCTCTTGCCGACCAGCTGCACGACCTGATCCAGCTCTTCCGAATCGGAAATCAACTGCTTGACGCGCTCGCGCAGCCTGGGGAAATCGGGGTTGTTCTGCTCGTACCACTTGTCGAGTGCATTGGTATACTTGCTGTAGGAGACGCTAGTGTTGATTGAAGGGAAGTGCTTTCGCTGAGCGAGCTTCTTGTCCAGACCCCAGAAGACCTGGACAATGTTGAGCGTGGAGGTGGTGACGGGGTCGGAAAAGTCACCGCCGGGAGGGCTGACGGCACCGACGATGCTGACACTGCCGCTCCGCTCGGGCGATCCCAGAGTCTGGGCTCGGCCGGCTCGCTCGTAGAAGGAAGCGAGCTTGGCACCCAGGTAGGCGGGGAAACCCTGATCAGCAGGCATTTCTCCCAAACGACCAGAGATTTCACGCAACGCCTCGGCCCATCGAGAAGACGAATCAGCCATCATGGCGACGTTGAGGCCCTGGTCACGGAAGTATTCGGCCACCGTAATGCCGGTGTAGATGGAGGCCTCACGAGCAGCGACGGGCATGTTGGAGGTGTTGGCGATGAGGCAGGTTCGCTTCATGATGGGTTCTTTGCGGCCGTCGACGTCAATGGTGAGCTCGGGGAAGTCCTTCAGAACTTCGGCCATTTCGTTGCCACGTTCGCCGCAGCCAACGTACACGATGATGTCGCTGTTGGAGAACTTGGACACGGACTGACTAATGACAGTCTTGCCGCAGCCGAAAGCACCGGGGATGGCAACGGTACCACCCTGAACACTGGGGAAGAGGGCATCCAGAACTCGCTGGCCGACGACGAAGGGCTGATCGGCGGTCAAGCGCTCGGAGGTGGGACGGGGAACTCGGACGGGCCAGCTCTGCATCATGGGATACTCCGTCTTCTTGCCATCGAACTCGACCTCGAGAATCTTCTCGACGACAGTATATTCGCCCTTGGGGGCAATTCTCGTGATGACACCTCGCGCTCGCGGGGAGAACAAGATCTTGTGGACAGCCAAGAAGGAGTTTTCAAACACGGTTCCCCAGACATCGCCGCCAGAGATGTGGTCGCCAACCTTGAGCTGAGGGGTGAACTCCCACTTCTTTTCTCGATCGAGGGCCGGGACGGCAACACCGCGAGGGATATAGATGGACTTGGCCATCTTGGAGATGCTTTCGAGGGGTCGCTGGATACCGTCGTAGATGCTGTTGAGCAGGCCGGGGCCCAGTTCAACGGACAAGGGCTTGCCCGTTCGCGCAACAGGATCGCCAACCTTGACACCGGCTAAGGGAGCTTGATTAGTATGCATTCTTGTATCCTTCGCATCGGCCTCGCTACGTGTAAGGGATGAAGGAAAGAGAGCTCGTCGCCATACCGGTTTCCTCGTAGACCTGAATGGTGGCTTGGTCGCCATTGATTCGAATGACCTCACCGACGAGGTTGTCGTGACCAACTTTAACCTTTGGACTCGGTTAGCTCACTGGGGCGGGACAGCGTGGCTGAAGTAGGTTGCTTCCTCACCAGCTCGTACATGGCAACACCGATCATGTCTTCGGCGACAATGACGGGACTGCGGTCTAATTAGCCAAGGGGTTCATTGTGATGCCAGGTCTGTCGAGGTAGCCAACCCTGAGATGGAGTAGATCTTGCCTGCGCAAGCTTGTCAGCAACTCTGCCTCTCTATATACCGCTCGAGCATCGCATCCTTACCATAATGAACGGCATCGCCATCTGGCTGTGTCGTCTTCTGTGACGCCAATCAAGTCAGCTTCGTGAGTGATTGACGTAGCGGGGCATCAGCCTCGTCGTCTGCCCCCAGCTGGCCAACAGCTGCGGCTCGACTGTCTGCGCCAAGTGCCAGAGCCCGAGGCTGGTGACGGCGCTGAGAACCCGGCGGGCGACGGGGGATGGAGGGGCACATACAGAAGGCATCGTGCGAGATTGGGGAGGAGAGGCGTCGTCGTCGTCGTGCTCTGTGTCGGCAGAGGCAGGAGAAGCGTCGGGGGATGAGGGCGGAGGAGAGACAGATGCAGATGCAGGTGGAGAGTCGGGCAGAGGAAGCTCGACAGCAGTTGGAGGCAACAGCACAGGGCTCGGGGGTGGAGGCGATGATGTAGCGCTGCCAGTCCCACCAGCCCGGGCGAGCCCGCTAACATGGACAGAGCCCCCAAAACTGGCCCCCGAGGCGGCGGCGCCTCCAGCGGACGCAGCGGTGCCGTTAGCAGCTGGAGGGCCTGTGGCTGCACCCGCAGGCTGCTGGAGGCCAGGGGACCGGGCGCTGTCGCCCTCTCCCTCGCTCTCGCTGTCACTGCTGGCCTCGCCGTCGCTGGAGCCCTTGATGCTGCCCTCGCGAATCAGATCCAGCAGAGAAGGCCGCGCCTTGAGCCGTGGCCGCAGTCCCAGCATGCGGGCGTGATGCAAGCAAACATCAAAGGAAAGGGCCAACGACAGACGCGCGGCTGGTGTTGGGGAAAGCGGTTCCAATGAGGGAAGAAAGAGTGACGATTGCTGAGAACTGGGGCATTAATGGAATGGGATGGAGAAGGATAGGTGGGAATGACCTCAAATTTCAGGTTAGGTAGACTGCCTGGGCACGGTGAATACCTGGAGGTGCGGTACTGGTACATTCACAGCTGCCAGACAGCCGAGCGTTTCACAGGGAGCCACGAGTTTACCGGGTAGTGGTACGTCATCATTCACAGGACTCGGACCATGTCATATCGCAATAGACCGGACGTTGCTGAACTCCTGCGAGCAACTCCTGTGATTTCATTGCAGAACGATAATTGAGCAATTGAGCCGCAATTGCCTGTCAACGAATGCGAGCACTGTACTTTGGGCTATCGCTCGAATGCAGGCAAAAACATGCAATCAGGCGGTACAGCGACATCGTGCTCGTTCGCATCAGCGGCCTCCATTATTAGACTCCGGCTTCACCTTCTTTCATCTGGAATTCGCTGAAGCTTGGACAGTTTTCGCTCCAACGTTGTACACTCCAGCACGACCGGGATTCAACGACTTGGAATGAGCGGCATAGGGCAAACTCCAAGGCAAAAACGCAATGGTTGCATCCGAGGTGGTCTATGTACACTCAAGCACAGTCATCTGATTAACAGATGCGGCCTTCATGCCGAAGTCGCAGCCTTGGCCTTGAACTCGTTATACTTGGTCTCCAACTCATCCAGCAGATCCTTCCTCACGGCCAACGAGCTCAGCACCTTCATACCGGCCGACATGCCGCACTCGTGGTCGTGCTCCTGGTGGCCATGGCCGTGGTCGTGACCGTGGCCTCGCAGCTCGTCCGACGACCTCTTGCTGAGGTGAAGACCAGGCGAAACAACCACGCAGTTGTTCTCGCTGCGCGCAGCCCTCAGCTTGCAGAGCTCCAGCGTCTTGCACTCGCCAGTGCACGGCTCGACGCTCCATCCGCGGCTCTTGAGCGAGATGTACTTGTCGAACAAGTCCGAGCTCGATTCGAACAGGGCCGTCACATTATGCCAGAACGCGGGCGTCAGTTCGGCGCCGGGGTCGGTCACGGGGGGACTCAGCCTGGAGCCATACGTCTCCTTGGCGGAGTAGGACTTCTTCCACACGGGGCCAGTCGTCTGGAAGGCGGTGTCGGTCATGTCGGCAATGTACGTCGTGGTGTCGAGCACGGCAAACGTCTCCGGGTCGACGTCGTAGACGCGGAACGAGGGCATGCCCGAGGTGGGCGTCAGCGAGGGACAAATATACGACGTCATGACGGCGTGGGACGCGTCTCGGCTGTTGTAGTCGGAGTAGCTGATCTCGAAGTGGTCAACGTGCGTGTGGCCGAAGAACATGGCGGCAATGGTCGTCGAGTAGCGGTTGACGACCTGGTCGATGTAGTTGGAACCTGCGTGGAAGGCGTCGCCTTCGCCAGGAGGCATGTGTCCGATGATGTAGACTCTCTCGCCCGCCTTCTCTGCGGCGTCAAGCTCGTTAACGAGCCACTGAACCTGGCCATCGGGGTCCCGCTCAAGCTCCTCCTGATAGAGCCAAAAGTTCATGCGGTAGTAGAAGTTGGTGTTGAGGGAAATGATCCTCAGGTTGCCGCTGGGATACCTGGTCGAGTAGGCACCAATGCTTTGTATCTGAGATTCAGCCGCAACGCCCACCCAGCGCGTCCACTCGTCAGACAGCGCATCGTATACCCATTGCGAGGAGTTGCTGATGGACTTGGGAGGAAAGGCATTGGTGGGATTGGCCTCGTGGTTACCGGCCGTACCGTAGACAAGACCAAGGTACTGGCTCATGTGCCCGTAGGCGTCAGAGACTGTGGAGGAAAAGGAGAGGCATCAATGTTAGCCAGCCATGCCACAGTTATGCAACAGGTATCAGGAGGAAATGGGACCAACTCTGCTTCTCATTGTACGGCTGCGAAGTGTTCCAGATGGCATGGTCGACAATATCGCCCGTGAACAGGGTGAGGGCTGCATCCGGCACGGTCTCTTTGATGGCCTGATACATGCTCAATTCCAAGCTGAGGGGAGTGTCGCACTTGTGGTCTCCATTGGGGCCAGCAGGCGTGGTCGAAGTGCCAGGCTCGTCAGCATCGGTATAGGGTCTTCTCATGATGCATCGTCAGTCCCATCTCTTCGAATTCTCGCCGTAAGTCTTGCTGTTCAGCGTCGACTCACCTGCAGCAGATGGGCTTGGTGCAGTTTGTGGTAGAACCCGCCACATATAGAGGATCAATGTGGATGTCTGAGTATTGGACAACCTTGAGAGGCTTCTTCCCACTCGGCGCAGGACGACCAGTCTGTGGCTTTGGCGAAGGAAATGGTATCTTCCACTGAGGAACGGCTGGCTCAGGGCAGAGTCCGAGGAACGAGCCGCAAAACAGTTGCGATGTCGTGGAGCCGAGATCCATGTTCCGAATGGACTTGGCAATGATGGGACCCTCGAGCGCAATGGTGCCCTCACAGACATCGTCATCTTCGACCTGAGGACTTGCATTAGCCAGGACAATACATGTATGTATGAATGCAAGAGGAGCTTGTCCCTCTGTACTGACATTTGCAAGCTTGCAGACAGCAGTGGTCACGTCAACGAAGGCTCCGTCTCCGAAGACGGCAAGCCCCTTGAGAAGAACGAGAATGCCCTGAAGCCATCCATGTCAGTATCAAGCCTGCTGTAAAGGAGAGTTGGACGGTGATTCCAACCTGGCAGGCGGTGCAGGTAGCTGCATTCTTGATCTGATTCCAGATATCCTCCGCCAATCCCCTAGCCTCAAGCGCTCTCTCGAAGTGTGTGATGTCTCGCGGAGAGAGACTGCTATCCTCAGGAGAGCCCGCAGCCCGAGCGACCAAGCCCAGGGCCAGTAGTCGAAGCGCCGAGCTGGCACGCATTGTTGAGAATAGATGCGAACCTAGCCTGACTTAAGTTGATGGTAGGCGGGAATTCAGAGAGCATAGAACCGGAGAGTCCCCTTGGGCTAAGCCGAGGAGGGCTTCCATTCTATATATAATACGGCCATGCCCAGCCAGTCCAAGGGTAATGGACTGCCAATCCAGGCACATGTAGGTACCTTATGGTTGGTGTCTGCATCGACGGGTAGCATCGCAACATCAAGACAGCCGGAGCAGAGCTTCTCCGCTCGGCCATACATGTACGGATTCTTGGAGTTCTTCGCAAGCCTCCAGATCACACAGAACACGCCCTGTACGTCGCCAAGAATGCTCCCCGGGGCGGATGACCTGCCGGACTCTCGTCTTGCTCCATCTGCAATACCACGCTGAGAGATACCAAGACCGAGGCATCAGCCAGTCAGAACCTCGCAAAGGTGTCCCCTCCGGAGCCATCCAAGGACGCAGGGCCGAAGGAAAAGATCCAATCAGACACATCTCCCTTACACATGTTGCGGGACGGACCAGCTCATTAGAGGGAGATGGGTATCATGCAGTCCGGCAGATCAGGAGGCGGGGAAGGCTGGCTGGCGACTGATTTGCTTGGAAGAAGAGGAGTAAGTGGTTGCTCAAGTTGATGACCAGACCCAATCCATGTCATGTAATGGGCATAATTGCATGCATGAGCATGCCGACTTCACATTGAGAGATTGTGTCGATTACACGTACTAACCCAACATGAAGTGCCTGAAGAAGGCATCTACACAGGGAAATCGTATATACATGTGAAATCCAGATCTAACGAATCGAAGAGAGTTATAGTCTTGTCCAAATTTAAAGGGACTCATTTGTACAGACACAAAACCAGTCTCTTTCACTAGTCCCTATGCACCGTCAATTGACGCTCACCTCTCGGTTACACGCCGCATCACGAGCCAAGGACGCAGGAATACCACCACCGACAGCTCATGCTCCAGCCAAGCCCAGCCCCCTTGCCTGCAGAATTGAGTTATTTGCCAACATGGACCTTTCTCTCCTCCTTGACAGCCTCGGTCACCCAACTGAGCAAGCCGCACATTAGTACCTCCCGAGTGGAATGCGTGAGGGGAACCGGCCGAGCAAGCATATGGATTGACTCGTTCTCTGCCATGTGAAAGGGCTGGGCTTGATTGCGGTTTGTAGCACTCGACTTTCCCCCCAAGGGAGATGGTCAAAACTTGGCGCATGGGCTTTGCATTTCTGTTCGTAATTATGACTTGCCTGTCTTGGTAACTCGTACACAACTCCTCAAGCCTCATTCTCGTATAATACTACCACCTAAGTACATACAAACATTGCCCAGCTCCTCTCAACCCGTTGATTCCACCATGCTTCTCCGAGTAATATAACAATGTATCTCCTTGTTTTCCGAATGCAAAGTCTGAACATCCCTATCATACACAAGAGCAATTCCCTGCCCACTGCCACCGAAACAGTAATTGTACAATCATCATTTGTCTTCCTCGCCACCTCCGCTAGCAGGCTTAGAGGCATCCGGAGGAAGAGCCGATCGCTCCCACGCAACATGCACCGGCCCGCCTGCTTCCTGTTGTGTGCGAAGTTCCCTGAAACGCTCTCCCTTCTTCGCCAGCGCCGGCAGCTTCCCCTGGAACATCTTGTACCAATCCCATCCTTCTGAAGACTGCGGCGTAAGGACCTTTCTCCGCCGCTGCTTGATCTTGGAGTAGATTTTCCGCGCCCTCTTATCGGGCAACTCGGTAATGCTGTATTCGACCGACCAGTCAAAGTCGTCCTCCTTGTTGATGCCCGTTGGTCGCTCGACGTACTCGCCATTCACCTGGTTGCGAATCGTGACGTACATGCCCAATAGCTCGCGATCCTTTTGCTCTGGTTCATCGGCATCGCCGTCGTCTTCTTCCTCGTCGGCTAGCTCATCTTCGTTCGACTCTTCGTCTGCAGATGGTGTCTGTCCTCTCCTTTCGCTGGACCTGGTGTTGTCGGGCTGCTTGGACTCTACAGCCAGATCAGCAAACATGCGTTGGAACGTCTTTAGGTTGCGAGCCCTGTTGTCGATTCCCTCTGTGGCCCTTATGATCAAGTCTGCCAAAGAAGTATTCTCCGTCTCCGACTCGTCTCCGGTAGCGCCATGCTCTGAGGTTCGCACATCATCTGCCGTCGACTCTTCCTCTTCACTGAGGTCATCCTCCGCGTTACGCTTCGTAGCTCGCTCTGTAATCTGGCCGGGCTCGTCTGATCTGTCTCTCAATTCCTTAATCTTTGAAGAGTGTGCTGTGAGCGATGCCACCATAGCATCCAGAGACTGCTCAATTTCCAATTCCGTTTTGTTGTTCAGAAGACCGCTCTGCTCGAGAGCCTCCTGGACAGCCTCTCGGACAGAGCCAATACCCAAGGACTCGTCTTCCACTGTCTCTTCAACCTTCGACATCATGGCATCCCAGGCGGCTTCGTTGGGCGAGTCCTTGAGGGATGACTCGTCAGGGAGCTGCTCTGCTTCCTCGTCGAACTGCTCCGGTTCGACCTGCGCAGTCCGGTCGGCGTCCTCAGCGACCTCGGCGTCTTCTGCGTTTTCAGTCTCGCTGAGGTTAAGAAGCTCACGCTCCAGTTCTTCCACAGAGGATTTGCCAGCTTCCTGAGTGTTCGTCATCTCTTCCTCCGTCACCGGCTCCACGAAAAAGTAGGTCAGAGGCACCTTGGTGGGCCGTGTCTCGACGTGCAGTCGCAGTGTCCGCCCCGGGTACCTTTTAGTAGCCCTATCCATGAGGTCATTCAACAGTGCGATGCTTGCCTTGAACTCTTGATCACCCAGACGTCGATCGGATGTCCCGTGAAGCGCGACATCTATCTCATCCAAGCTGATGTACTGGAAGCCAAATATTCGCTGCGTGTTATGGTATGCGACGAAGATGCCATCCATGCGGCCCATCCGCACCTGCAGAGAGTATTTCAAAAACACGGTTCGGATCATGTCGTAGTACTCTCGCTCGAAGGATTCCCACTGGCCAAATCTCTTCCGGATCTCATAGCCAGCCCCCTTCTCATATCCCTTGACGTCCATCCTGACGGCGACTACCGCTCTCGTCTTCAGGTCAAACATGCCGGAGCCGGGTAGGCGAGGATCGTACGCGTCCAACTGAGACCGCATCATAAAGTCTCCCAAAGTCGTGTAGTGAAAGGAGTCCTGCGCATTCCTCTCTTCATCCGACAACTGGTGGGATTTTGATCGCCGATACTTTTCGAAGTCGTCTCTGGGTAGGGTCAAGAGCTTTTCCATCGATTTTCCCAATAAACTCAGGATATTCTCCGTATCGTATTCTTTGTCGGAATCAAACGCGTAGGTGCCATCTTTGAAGTGTGCAAAAGCAGCAGCGGGGCCACGACTCAATGCTGTGAAGTTGTATGACTCGGGCTCTATTGACCGCGACAAGAACGCAAAGTTAGGTCTTCTCCAAGCGGAGAGCAGGTAATGGAAATGGGAAAGGATTGAAGTCATGCTGGATGTTGAGCCGCAGTACTTCATTCCATATGAGGCGCTGAGCTGTCGCAGCTTGACATCCTTGGACGATGTAACATATCTCCTGAGAGCGTCAAAGTCAAATTCCTTGACGGGCATGATGGAAGCAAGGTAGGGGTCGAAGTTGTACACGTGGGACCTGCCATCCTGCATCTGATAAACGCCCGGGTTGAACAGCACACGATCCAGGTTATGACAGAGCTGCGGAACCGGCACTAGGGAGTCTTCCTCAACCGGACATAGCTGGAGATGCTGAGGTCTTATGGTCTTAACATTCAGCCCTCGTTTGACCTTGAATCGTTTTCCCTTTTCGGGTCGTCCGTCCGGAGATGTCTTCTCAGCAGTTGAGCGCGCTGGTGCGGTTGGCCTCTCAGCGTCACGCTTCACTACATCCACCTCCTCCTCTTCAGTTTCAAATTCCTCGGCATTCTTTGTTCTCCTATTCAGAGCCGGCGATTGGAGGCGAGATTTCAGTGACGTCCATACTCCCCCAGATGGCGGCGCCCCGGCAGCATGAGATTCTCCGGCAAGCTTTTGCGCTTCTTCATTTCTGTGACCCGGGGCAAGTTTCCCTGCTATTCCAGTTTCTCCAGATTCCGCATGACCGGGCGGCGTATCCTTTGACTTCTTTTCGCTCTTCGGCTTGTGAAGGTACGATCCTTTTGCTTTCGCTTTTGCTTGTGCTTTCAATTCACGCCGACGCTTTATGCGCTCCTTCTTCGATAATTTCTCATCGGGCCCCTGGGTTGCTGCGAAGTTTCTTGCGCCAATGCTGATGAGAGGCTGCCGGCGAATGGTCCACAGAGCAGCCGGACGAGCCAGCGGTCTGGCAAGGAGAAATGGTTGAAGCATCTCAGATGTTGTGACAGCGTGCTCTTACAAGAGGCAGCAGGAGCGCGGCCTATTTGTTCGGTTCCGAAGTGAAGAGCATCCTTGCAGTAACTCGGGCGTATATCGAGCACCACTGGAGTTGCAATGGAATGAACTCACATGCTACGCGAATGAAGCACAATGAAGGGCAACTCGACTTTCATCATCGAAACTTTTCTTATCGATTAGATACGGACGGCTGCATTAGAGCCGGCAATACCGCGGGACAGGGATCGCCTGCGCCACACGTGATCCGCCCTGCAGTTCATGGGCAGCTGATGACGAACTCCCCTGCGAAGCTTCATCGTGGATCTCCAGAAGCTCCAGTCGGCTTTGGTACGTCATCTCAAACAGTCAGCAGGGCGCGAGGCCTTGTGCTGCAGAAATGGGTGCCAGCGACTCCAAAATCGGCTTCAAGCAGGGCATTTTCAGGCTGTCAGAGGAGCGCAACATTGCGGCGCACGATCCTTACTGGACCTCGGTGCGTGGTGCTCTTGATCCCGAATCCCACAATATGCTGCAAGGCTGCGGATGGTGATGCTTGATGCTGGCACCGATGCTGATGCTGATGGATGCTTAGTTCTGGGAACTCCCTGAGTCGTCCGAGGACGTGTTCAGCCTCTTCTCGCCCAACGACATCCGCCGAACTCGCGATAATGCCCTAGAGAACATCGAGACGTTGATCCAAGCCTTGATAGCGCGAATCCTCAGTTTACGTCATCATCCGTCCTTTCCAGATCCCGAGCAAGCTCCAGAACGCGATATCCTCAACTGCATCAGAGTCCTGACCCGTATACTGCCCTATCTCTACGAGAAAGAGAGCCTAGGGCCTTGGGAAGAACGGTTTTTATGGACTCCACGAGAGGGAAAGGGCCGAATCCCGACTAAGGATGAAGTGTTGTTCGATGAAGCACAGGAGGGCAAGGAACAGTCACAACCCGCGGCGGAGATCCAAGAGACCTTGAAGCCTCTGGCGGAAGAGCTGATTGACATCTTGATTGATCTTCTATTCTTCTCTGGCTTCACTCTCCCTCGGCAACCGGATGGCCATTCCAAGGTCACGTATGCCATATGGCAGAGCGGGGTGGGATGCAATACCGCCGTGGCAACGACAAAGGAGTTCGAAAGCAACAGATGCGAAATCCTTCGGCTGCTCATGACCCTTGCTGGTCAAAGCATGTACATGACTGCTGGAGTGCTGCCGCAGCGTGGGGTGCGGACTCTGACTTACCTGTGCACGTCGTCTGACAAGCAGGTCGTGCTCTCGGTATTATGCTCTCTTCTCAACACTGTGAGTACCCTCGAGAGATCCCTTCCTCTCCATCAAGATCTTTTTCCAACTAACTGCTGTCCCGCAGACATTGAAATACAATCCAGCCAGCTGGCGGGTGCCATACAACACTTTGGTGTTTAGAGACACCAAGCAGGTCCTTGTCACTTACTCTATACACTTTCTGTTAGCGATGCTCATATACCCCATACCCGAAGATGCAAGTTCAACCTCGCACAAGAACTATTTTCGTCATTTCCTTGGTCGGATCCATCGCCCGCAAGACTTCCAATTCATCGTTGATGGGATGACCCGCATTCTCAACCAGCCGCTTCAAGAGAAGACTTCATACATTCCCGGCGCCCAATCCTCCTCGAATCTTGCGCCGGAGGTCTTGATGCTTTTCTGGGAGCTGATTCAATGCAATAAACGGTTTCGATCCTTTATCATCGACACCGACAGGGCGCATGACTCTGTTGTGCTCTCTCTATTCTATGCTCTGGAATACAGAAACGAGGCGTCGAAGCAGGGCGTTGTGCGCATGTGCGCATTTCTCCTACAAACACTGAGTGTCGAAGCGAGCTTTGGCTCTCACCTGAACAAGGCTTTTGAAGGCCAGGAAAGCCTTCCCCCGAGCATCAGGATCAACGGATTCAGGGGTACCTATGCCGACTTTCTTCTGCACTCAATCTATACCTTGATTACTACGAGCCAGGGAAATTTTGCGCCAGTCTATCCCGCGCTTCTAGCAATCATCAACAACATAGCTCCGCATGTGGAAGGCTTGAGTGCCTCAACCAGCTCTCAGCTCATGCATTTGTTTTCATTAATGGCATCCCCGTCCTTCCTACTTGCCAATGAGACGAACCACGTCCTTCTACAGTCTCTGTTGGAGTCACTCAACGCAATTCTTGAAAACAAATACCGCCAGAATCCAGAGCTGATATTGGCCATTCTGAGAAACAAGAAGCGGATCGAGGCACTTCGATCGTTTACTCTGGAAAGCGGCCAAGAGGAGATTGAAAAGATCAACAGGAGAAGAAAAGAGACGGGAAACCACTCCGGGCTGTTTGATGACGGATCTCGACGGAGCTCAGCCGATAGCGTACGGAGTCCAACGAGTGCTCTGTCCCGAAGCCATTCGTTGGACGAAGCCCCAGCGGACAGCGCATTCGCTGTGGGAGACGACGAAGATGACGACAGCGATGGAGAGCCTCAGGCAACGCCGGCCGCGTCGACCGCTAGCGAAAACCCGTCGCAGGCGTCATCGGTAACCAACGTCGAAGACGCAGTGCCTGTGCAGCTGCGAGGGATGTCAGAAAAGGCGCGCGGCAAGATGCCGGCCAATGTCCAGTCCTTTTCCCGACAGAATAGCTCAACAAGCCTTGGCGCATACTCAACCAGCAATTCGGCGTTTGGTGGCAGTTTTGAACCAACAGGGTCTTGGATCGACAGTTGGTTGCCAGAGCTCCCTCTGCACACAATGTTGACCATCATCCAGCAAGCAACAGCTATTCTCCCACGACAGGCATTAGCCCGAGAAGCCGCGCCCGACACGCTGCGTCGGATTCAAAAGATTGAATTCCTCGGCCTCGAGCCGTCTCCCATACGGATTCACTCCTTTGAATGGTCGTCGCTGGCACTGGGATGGTACGAGTCCCTGCTCTGGGGCGTCATCTTCGCCAGCGAGATGCAGATTGCAAGAGGCACCATGGGCATATGGAACGGAACAGCCATCAAGCTCTTTCGGGTCCAGGAGACGGCACCGGCAGGCCCCACCCTGACCTCACCCAGAGGGGCTGTGGATGCCGTCGGAAGCAATATTGTTTCACGAATCGGCCAGATGAATCTTCGCGGCGCGTCGGCACCATCGAACTCTGCACCGAGCAGGGGGGGTTCATGATCGTTTCATCCGTATGTACTGCCATGACGCTCCAGAGATCCGGCGCATGGAAGAGCGACAAAATGGAGCCTAGAACAATCGAAAGCACCAATGTGCAATACTAATAGCCTGCTGGGATATGGATCAAACGACTGATATGGCATTACGAGATCTTTCCCAGCAGGCGGATATCATGGCAATTCCCGTCCTGCCCGTACGAGTACGCACCGCTATCGGCAAAAGCCCAATCGACCCGCCTAAGTCTCAAACCCCCCTGAAACTCCGACAGCTTGGAGGTACACATCCCTGTGTGCGCGCGTGTCTTCACACAGACAATTACTACTACGTAGTCACAAAGAAGAGCGCAGCACAACTCAGGACAGACACCACATGGGTTGACAACCTTGGTCACACCCATTCTTCCTTCAGCCCGGCCCTCGTTAGCCAATCAGAAAACCCGACGTGGCTCGAGAGGAGGCAGCAAATCCCCAGTGACGCCCGCGACAGGGGGAAGAGCTGGAATGGCATCCGTGGATACCTATACCTTGGTTGCTTGGGTAGGCAGGTAAGGTAGTACAGTATACGGTGGATGGGCACCAAGCATCAGGTGTGGCTGGACTGGAGATTGGGCAGCATACATGTACAGGTAGGTATCTGCCGTGGCTGGAGAGAACGATTGCTATGAATACCTACCTACCTTAGGTACCTTGCCTTGTGTTGATGAACCGCGAGCACGCATACATACATTTTATTTAGGCCGAGGCAGCGTCGGCGATTCTGCAATGCATCAATCTAATGTATTGTGTTTTAACGTTTGAAGGCGCCAACATTATGTAGGTACCTAGGTATAATAATTGACGGCGGTCTTGGCTGACGCTGACTGAGTCCGCCATCGCGATGCACTCACTGTATTAGTACCTACCTAGGTAAGGTAGGTATGTTATTGCGGTTGACGGGAACCTAATACATGTCCACGTCGAGTACCTTACGTTACCAACGGGGCAAGCGGTTGATTCCGCATCTGGTACAGATGTAACATGCATCTGGGAGTACATCCCTACCTACCTACCAAATGAGAGCACCGATTCGAGATGAAATGATATCAGCGTACATGTGTCAAATGCACCGGAGGCACAATGCATGCCAGCTGGTTTCTGCCCGCACAGCCACCGAGGACTTGGCCCGGGCAGCTGAGTCGCGACTCTCCACGGCGGGTGGAAGCGAAGGCCCAGCACAAGCCACAGGCCAGGCCAGTGGTGGAGGCTGATGGATGTGATTCAGTGGGATCCATCCACTATCCAGCGCTGAGGTGCCCGTAAATGACGGATGGGAGCGCTACACTTGCCCCGTAGAGGCACGCTAGCCGCTAGCCGCCGTTTCTGCCAGGACTGCCACGATGAACGCAGCGAAGCTGAGCCAAGCTGCCCTTAATAAAGCAGTCGGAGAGCGTCCCGTCGTGATTCTCCCGTCTTCTCTCCCTCTCACAAACGCCATACACGCGCCGTTTCCCGCCTCCGAGAGCCTGCGTCGCTGCGCGAGTTGCCGCTGCGATGAATCCTGGCCTCCACTGATGCCATCGACGTGCACCGAGGCCCATCGTCACCCAACAGAAACAGCGAGCGCCGTTCGCCCGCCATGGCTCAATCCGCCGGCGAGCCAGCAAATGCTGCGGCTGACGGGGAGATTCGAGAGTACAAGATCCACGTAAGTCCTCGGCAACCTCGTCTCTCGTTTCCCTCCTTCTTTTGTTTTTAACAGTCATGCAAGCATAATGAAGCGGCGCAGCTAATCAAGATGTCGTATGCGAAAAGGCGTCGACCAAGTACATGGAATTGACGCGGCAGAAGCTGGAGCTGGCTCGGCTGCCTCGCGAGATTCCCGACGCGAACTCGAGGACGTGGTGGAATCCCAAGCCAGCCCTCGAGCCGCTCATTGACTACTGGTAAGTGAGCACTCATTGTCTATTCTCACCTTGACTACCTAGCACTACTAGGTTCTCGATGACAAATCGACTAATGCAATCGCAGGCTTGAGCACTTTCGCTGGAAAGAGCATGAGAGGGAGATCAACCAGTCCGTGCCGCAGTTCAAGATCAGCTTCCAGATCTCTACCGCGGAAGGCCCTACAAAGTTACACTTCATCCACGCCCGGTCGCGGCATTCACACGCCGTGCCTCTGCTCTTGATACCGCCGTTCCCCTTTAGCAACCTATCCTTCCGCCACATCACCGATGTCTTTACGAATCCCAGCGATGCGACCGCCGACCAGCCCTTTCACCTCGTCATGCCGTCGCTTCCCGGCGTGGGCTTCAGCGATTCTCTGCCGGACGGCACGCCCGTCATCCCCAAGACATCCGAGATGTTCGATACTCTCATGAAGCGACTTGGGTACGCGCATTACCTCGCGACCAACTGCGGGTCGTCCATCACGCCCGACGGCGGCGTCGACTGGAAGGTCATCAACCACTTGGCTGCCACTTATCAGAATTCCTGCCTCGGCGTCCATTTGATCTCGCCGCCGTTGAAAGCACCCAAGGCGTTGAAGTCGCCCGTCGAATGGATGAAATTGACGCTGGCAAAGACGCTGCAAACACCCATTGGCGGCTATACAAAGGAGGATATTGTGGCTCTTCAGAAGAACGAGCGAGAAAGACACAACAAGACGTCTTCTACAGATCTTCTCCCGCTAGGGCCGTTCGGTGCCGGTGCCTACGATCCCAATACGCTAGCTTTCGCGCTCTGCGACTCTCCAACCGGACTGCTGGTGTTTTTCCTCGCCGTCTTCAGGGCGTTGGATCCTGAAAAAGAGTACACCTCCTTGGAGCTCGTCCAGACAACCAAGCTAACTTGGCTTCCGGGCCCGGAGGGCACACTCCGATTGCTGGCGGACAGCTACCTTTCAGGGGAGGACGTGATACCTAGAGCCTCGCGAAAGCCCAAAGCATCCATTACAGTGTTTTTGGCCGATGAAGGGGCGGGACAGGACGCCTCAGGTTCGGCTCAGCAGAGCGCTTCCTCAAGGTCGACCAGTCCGTATGCGTGCCCCAGCTGGGGCAAGCAGCACTACGACGTCGTCTGGACTGGCCGAGCACGTGGCAAGCAAGGACTGTTGGCCTGGGAGCGACCACAGGTGATTGCAGATGGCGCGAGAAACCTCGCCAAGGCCGTGATGGCCGTGGACAAGAGGCTCCAGGCACCTGTGAACGGAGCTGCTTAGCTGGACGGTTGGTGAAGCAAAAGGGGTTGTCCTCTTTAATGAATTCTATGTAATTATACTCCAGTTGATCTGGTCATCATTTGTTCTGAGTAATAGGATATGTTTTTTTTTTTTTTTTCTGTTATTTTTTCCTTTTTTTCTGTACGTTGGAGAAGTTTATACTACCATATCTCAAAACGTTGTTGCACCGGATGTCACCCATTCGGCGGATGCATGTGAAGATGGTTTGATTTTTGCTGAGGCGTCAGGCCTCTTCCCGGCATATGTTACGGCAGCGAGAGCATGTAAGAGCACGCAGCCATCTAGCAAGCATTGTAATTATAATCAAACTTCAAATGCCTCTGCATGTCTCTTGCGAGGCCGCATATTCGTGCTCTTTCTGGAGGTCCAAATAATAAGTCAGCTTGAAGCTTTGGCGGGGTTTCACGGCCTGGGCTTTTAAGGTAGAGACAGGCCTGTAGCTGCGAGCTGGTCTGTGCGTGCTACTGCAGACCCCGAGCCGAACCTCAGGGTCAACCTCCCGCCAACAGCTTCCAGACTCTTGAATCAACACCAGCTCACCAGCTTGCAATCCGCCGCTCTTCTCCGTACATATTCTTCCCAGTACAAGACACACAAGTTCTCGACACCGAGCAGCTACACGAACCCAAGCTCTGGGCTGTGGCCACGCCAATTCCTCCGTCCCCCACGGCCGACGACGATGCTCGCTGCTGACCCCCTCTGGTGACAACTCGACTCGACGGCACCATGTCCAACGGCTACGGCAGCTCGAAGCGCGGCGGCGACGGATACGGCAACTTCGGCAGGTCGACCGACGACTACGATCCGTATGGCGACAGCAACTACCGCGGCGAGCGCTACAACGCCCAGGCCGCCGCGCCGCAGAGCCTCCGCAACATGCCCTCGCGGCCACGCGTCCAGGAGACGAGCGCCGAGCGGCAGATTGCCCAGGTGCTGGACCACATCAAGAGCGAGTGGCCGTCCATGTGCCGGGAGGACTGCGTGCCCGTGCAGCTCGCGCTCCAGCTGCTGGACAACAGCTCCGTCGGCCGCGCGCACGACTATCGCAAGTTCCAGACGACGCACAAGTACCTCCAGGAGTCGCTGAAGAACATTGTGCATGAGCACCACCAGGGCTTCAACAGCTCCATCGGCACGTTTCACAAGATTCAGAGCAGCATCCAGGTCTCGCAGAAGCGGGTCCGCGCCCTCAAAGAGTCTCTGGCGCAGGCCAAGACGAGCCTGTGCGCGACGGATCCAGGGCTGAAGATCCTCTCCGAGGAATCCAAGGAGTACGACGAGCTCTTGCAGACGCTGAACGAACTGGACGACCTTCGGGCTGTGCCTGACCAACTGGAGGCCCGGATATCCGAGAAGCGGTTCCTCACGGCCGTCGACGTGCTGCAGACGGCCTTGCGGAAACTGAGGAAGCCTGAGCTAGATAACATCGGTGCCCTTAGCGATCTGCGAAGCTATCTTGCCAACCAGGAGACTGTTCTGATGGATATCCTGGTCGAAGAGCTGCACGAACACCTCTACCTCAAGTCGCCGTACTGCCAGCAAAGGTGGTCAAGTCTGGCCAAGAACCGAGGCGGGCTCAACGAGAGCAACCACAACGGCGCAAATCCACCCGTCACCCCATTCTACTTGATATTAGACTCGATGGACTTTGAGAGGCCGGTACTGGAGGATCCTATGAAGAATCCAGAGGCAGACACGTTCTACTACGTGACCCTGCTAGTAGAGGCGTTGAACAAGCTCGGCAGGTTGCAAAATGCTGTAGAAACTCTGAAGCAAAGGCTGCCGGTGGAGCTGTTTGGTGTCGTCAATGAGACCATTAACGAGGTTGAACAGCGACACCCAACCTCGTTCCGCTCCGCCGTGGGCAAACTGGATGGTGTGCAGATATACAGTGCCAGAGAGCTTCAGATGCGAGCAGATGTCATTTACGATCTCCTCTGGACGCTCTACGGCAAATTTGAGGCTATTGGAGAAGGACAGCGTGTCTTCCACGAGTCCATCAAGGCTCTGATACGCCGTGAGGGCTCTGGCAATAACATTGCCCTGCTCGGCAGCTTCAAGGAGCTATGGCACCTTTACCAGAACGAGATTCGCTCCCTTTTGCACAACTACGTAACGACGGATGCCGACGTTTACCAGTTCGATTCCCCTACTCCAGGAGCAGGCGCTGGTGGAAAAGACGGCATGCGAGAGCACCTGTTCAAGTTCTCGGAGACCGACACCAAGTCCACGGAGGTGACTGCGGAGTTTGATGCGCTGGAGAGTATCATTCAAGCTACGGTTCCCGGCTTGACGAGCGGTTCCCGAAAGCAAGGCTCCGAGAACAAGAGAAACAGGTCGACGGCTGATGAACTCGGCTCCCGCCGAAGTGCCGGCTACGGTGTGAATCGACAGGCGCAGGGCTCTTACAAGTCACTTGTCGAGCCGAGCGTTTTCAACATGAGTCTTCTCCTCCCACCTACACTCATCTTCCTGCAGCGGCTAAAGACCATTGTTCCCCCTGGTTCTGATCTCGCCACGAGCACCCTTACCACATTCCTCGACAATTTCCTGGTCAATGTCTTCCAGCCGCAACTGGACGAAACGCTGGGTAAACTGTGTGATGCCGTCTTTGGCGAAGCCGACTCCTTCTTACAGGATCCTGACTGGAACCACTGCTCTCAGCGGCCCATATTCAAGGGCGCTACCGCCTTCTTCCAGGTTGTCACGGCATTCTGCCGAATGCTGGGAACCATTCCTCCGGACCAGGCTCTGAGCTCTCTTATTGTAACGCAGATGATGCGCTACTACGATCGCTGCTTCAGCTGGTTCCAATCACTCGTGACTAAGAGGCACGACCAGCCAGCCGACTCGACCAATCTGCGGGCGTCTGCGCGCTTTTCAGTTCAATCTAGCGAGGTAAACGAGGTAGCGCAGAAGCTTTGGGCTTCGGAGGAGTTGGACAGCGCATTGATGAGGAGAGAGGTGCAGCTCCTAATCCAGAAGACGAACAGCCAGCGGCTCGAGGCAAACGACGTGATCCAGGACCGAGACACAATCTCCGCATTGTGCCTCTTATACACCAGCATGAGGTGGCTGGCTGCGAAGATCCAGAGCTTGAAGTACATAACAGCGCATGACACGGATTCATCACGGCAGCACCTCCCACGCCAGTCAAGCCAACGGTGGACGTTGAACGATTTGAGTAAGACTTCAGGACAGAATTCAGTACAGCTTCCACTTACGGCAGAGACGGCTCAGTAAGTTATCCTATGAGAATCTGGCAGGCTTCGCATCCCCCCAGCTAATCGTGATCCTTCCCCTGACAGAACATTTGACACGATTGTGTCGTCCTTTGAAGAGCTGGCTGCCACGGCGCTGCTCACCTTGCACATGGAAGTGCGCTGCCGAGTCATCTACTCGTTGCGCAACACCTTGTCACCAGATTCGGCTCCGTACGTTCTGGAGCAGGATGTGAGAGAGCCCGACCCGCTTATCATCAGCCTGAACCAGGAGCTGGTCCTCCTGGACGAGACCATTGTGGAGTTTTTGAGAGAAAAGGAAATCGTCTTTATAAGAACCGGGCTAGGCATTCTCATCAACAACTTCCTGGTTCAAAATGCCCGCTTGGCCTCTCCGATGAACGACAAGGGGTGTCATCGCATGCAGCTCAACATCCTCGTTCTCCAGCAGAACCTCAAGAACATTGAGGACGGAGTCGACCTGGCCAAGGCAACGAGCTACTTCCAGCTCTTTGAGAGGGGCCCTGAGGCGATTGTTGAAAAGGCGCGAGAGTACAAGGACAGGCATGGCATGGGCACGCTGGCGATTGATCTGAACAGCTTCTCGTACGATGAGCTCCGGGCTCTGGTGGAGCTTTGCTACAGTGAGCAGTTGGCGAATCCGGAGAGGGGCATTACGGCGGCTGCGAGGAGGCAGATGGATAATAAGTTTGCAAAGTTGAGCGAGTTTAAGTGGGAATAATGGCTTGTGCATTGGGAAGGCGTACTGGGAGTTGACGGATGCTTATGAGGAAGATTAGAGGGGGGATTGTTGAGGACCATGATCATGTTTGGTTGCCAGCAATAGACGAGGAACTCCATGTGCATTTCACATCTCAGTTGTTCTTGTCGTGATCAAAGCAGATGAATGGTTCAAGGACGGGTCTTTGCATTTTCATTCCAGGGCTCCTTTGATATACCTAGAAGGCGTTGTGTGTTGGTGAAAACTGCTAGCGGAAATTCATTGAAGCCAACTGTTGCTGAGCAAAACTGTCATTATCAAGTCGTCCAAGCACCGCAGTCGTGAGTAGTAGAGATTATAAGCAAGCCAAGAGACAAAAGAAAAAAAAAAGAAAAGAAGAAAAAAAAAAGGTCCATCCATTAAGCCAACGATCTTTAGGTCCTCGGAGTCCTCATATTCGCCAGCACCCGCGCAAGCAACTCCTCCCGGGTATCACGCTTATGCGGAAAGAGGTTCCTCTAGAAAGCAACACAGCCTCGAGCAGTCAGCAAACTTCATCCGACATTGACCATGACTGCCTCTGGTTAAAGAAAAAAAAAAAAAGACTGATGTATGATGGAGCTTACCGAGGCGAGCCATCTGCGCAACTCTTCTCGCGTCCACGTTTCGGGGTCTCCTGTGGGATCGGGCTGGGCGGGAAACATGTCGCCTCCGAAGATGGACCAGGCTGCGGCTGCGACTACGACGCCTCCAAAGGCTTTTCGAACGGTGGTCAGTGTACAGTCACTTTCTGATGTGAGAGGTGGTACGTTATGTACCGAGCAGTAAGTTCTGTGGCATGTATTTGGTTAACCCAAGGTGATTGTAAGAATGCTCCTTGTGGACTCCGAGGCTGGCTTACTTTGGACTTCATCGCGCTGTCCAGACCGGTGTTGGCCATCTTGAGAAAGAAAGAAAGGCACGCCTTGGATGTGGTAGATGATCGAGACTTAGGCAGAGGGGCTTCGATATATAAAAGATATCTGATGCTGAGATATTGTCAAGCAGCCGCTTTGCATTGATGAGATGTGTTTTCTTCTTGATCCTGCTTCGTACAAGCACAGGCAAAGCCACTTACAAAGCCTCAAGTGTATGACGAACACGCACGCACGCACGCACAAGCTACAGCGCCACACCAACCAGCCACACTGACCAAAACTGTGGCGGCCCTGCTACTACTCTAATACTGTACCCAAAGAGAGGTGGTCCGTGCGTCCCCGCCCCGCGAAGCTGGAGCGCACAAAAACAATTTGTCCCGAAAAAAATCCACCATATCTCTCGAATCGTCAATCTCGTCGTACCTTTTCCCGTCGTCTGTCCCCCAACTCATTCTCTCTTCGTCTCACCGAGCCGATCAAATACCGCCAAAATGCCCAAGGAGGTCGCTGACATCAAGAAGGTGAGGAAACGACATGGAAGAGAATCAATCGAAATTCTGGCGTATTGGGCTTTTGCTAACATTTGTTTTCTTCTGTGACAGTTCATCGAGATCTGCCGTCGGAAGGACGCTTCCTGTATGTACAGTCGACGCAGCTAGCCGAAGGGCTGCCACCCTCCTCCTTTCCCTTATCTCTTTACGAAATTGCGAAAACAAAAAGGAGAAGCGAGGAAGAATGAGGGATTGAATGGAGGGATCGAACAAAGAAGGAATTGAGGTCGTAACTAACGGTTACAATTTTGCAGCCGCGCGGATCAAGAAGAACAAGAAGGCCCACAACATCAAGTTCAAGGTCCGATGCCAGAAGAACCTCTACACTCTGGTGCTCAAGGACAATGACAAGGCCGAGAAGCTGAAGCAGAGCCTTCCTCCCAGTATGTCATTCTGACCTCCCTCCCGGATTTCCCAGTCCACCAGCCGCGGCTGGCGAGAAAAGACAACGACGAAAGAGCCACAAGACAGAAAAAAAGCTGACGAACCCTTTTCCACTACAGACCTGCAGATCGCAGAGGTCCCCCGAAAGAACTAAGGGAATTGCATTGGTACAAAAAGGGAATCGGAAAATAGGGAGCAGGTCGTCTCGGTGCAAGACAGGAGAAAGACTGCCTAGTGCTGGTAGATCTTTTTTTCCCCTCTGCCAAAGGGACATGTCCTATTGAGGCGATGCCGGAAAGGGTCGAATTATAGATATAGTTTTCCATGTTTGTCTTTTTCCAGCTTTGTTTGATTGCCATGACTGAGAGATACAAATAGTGGGAAAGCAAACAAAAATCAAGATACCTAGCATCGCAGGCGGCGTTCTCTGCCCAACTCTGTGTGAATCCTTCTCTCCCAAAACACACATACCAAAAAAAGGGTATTTTCTCACGCTGGTTGAACTTGCAGTCCTGGGTTGCTGCTGCTGCTGCTGCTGCTGCTGCTGCGTGTACTCGAGAAGCGGGCCGTGTTACACGACGTGTCTGAAGCGACGATGGTCCTTCTTGACGGCCAGACTCGCCAATCCTTCCAGTCGTTTCCTCGGAACGTCGCTCGCCCAGAACACAACGAGATCCTCCTTGTCCTCCTCGCCGGGGGCCTTTTCGATCCTCCAGCCCGCCCATATGCTCTTCTCCAGCCCCTCGGCGCGCAGCTCATCCTCGAGCGTCCGGTACCGCTTCTGCATCTCCTCCCGCTGATGCGCATGCACCGTCACGCGACACACGTCAAAGACGTCGCTGCTGTCCTTGTGCTGGAACGCCTCCCGCATCTGCGGCCTCGCGCCCGCGGGCTCCATGTGGAACAGCAGCACCGAGTCGCAGCCGGGGGCCGCGAACTCGCTCAGGCTGCCGTTGGCCGTCCGGTTCTCGGGGCTCTGGATCCATTCGAGGTGCGCCTCGGGCGAGTCCCAGGGCGCGGTGATGAGCAGCGTCGACTGGTCCGTGGCGTCGGTGTACATGCTGCTGAGGTTGGCGCCGGGGCTCAGGTTGCACGGCTGGTTGCGGCGGACCCAGTCGTCCTGGATCTCCTGGCACGTCATGAGCGTCTCGAGGAGCTCGAGGGCGTCGTAGTTGGGCCGGAGCTTGATGATGGCGAATTCGGTGACGGGCATGTTTGGGGTGGGGGGGAGCTGAGAGGTCGATGAATGATTGCTTGTTCTGGTTCTTCTCTGATTCGTTGACTAGTATCTGGAGGTTAGGTACCGACGCAATCGTTTACTGTGTGTGTTTATATGACGCTGGATGATGGATCTCAATTAGGCAGACCTGTGGTGACGATGACTCTCCAGCGGATATGATATCGTGTGGTTTGCGTATGATGGTGGTCACCTAGTAGGAGCATTTCCAGCCAATTTCCAAACCATCAGGCGCCTCACACTTTACTTATAGAAATCACCAAGCAGCCCGAAGGAAACAAAACAAGTTCAAGCCACAGATCGGCTCAGCCCACCGAACAAACAACGTGACCGGTTCGGAGTACGCGTCGCACCGAAACGACAGAATCACGGGGGAATCGCTCTAACAGCTCGGGATTGCTGAATACTAGTAGGTAGTTTTCTATCTTGTGAGGCTGGTGGAGGGGGGGTTGTCGTCATCGCCCCCGCGCCATCACTTGCGGACGACAGCAGCCAAAGGAGAGCCGCGCAGTGACAGGATGGCGGTGGCATTGGCGGGAATCGGAGGCCTTGGGGGACTCGGTCTCTGCGGTTTGTTAGGGTTTTGGGCTTTTTTGGAGATTTGGTCGGGGGTGTGGCGCTGGGATGGAGGAGCTGGGGGGAGCTGAAGACGGAGGCTTGGCAGGGACTTGGGTTGATGAGGTTGGGGATCTGTCATGGTTCGGTTGCAATTGGACAATTGCAGCATGATGGCTACCTGATGGATGCCCGTGAGTGCTTTGGGTAGAAAGTTGGGAGCTAAGGTAGTCGACTTCATGGTCGGCTTGCAAGGAGGATGGATCGGATGGGCGTATTAGAGTGCTTATAAGCGTCACCCTATCTTGTGGAAATCCCGTGGTTCTGAAATGATATGCAGGGACTTGGCCAGGCCATGCCACTGGGTATTGGCGAGTCTTGATGGGCTCTATTTGGTGTGACCAGGTATTAGATATCGCAAAATGTCCTACAGTTGTGACTGAGTGAGATGGCTAATGGGGGTGGCCGGTAAAGATGAGCTCTCTTATAGTTTCGTCCAACCAAGGAGAGTGAGGCTGATGGACGCAACAACCGTTGGATGCGCCAAGGAGCTCTGCTCGGAGATGGATGCAATTGATTCGGCCATGCCGACAGTTCTGGCCTTGTTCGAGTCGGCCATCGTCGTTCAGACAGCCACAGCCGCGGAGATGGGCAATGGCGTGGCCTCGATGTCATCAGGTTCTGGTGACGTCCAGCGTCGAACAAGACGTTCTACCTACCTACATGTACCGTAGATACGTTGTACAGTGCCTGAGTACCTGTAAGAACACATCAAAGGCAACTCCCGATTCGTCAATCAGCGCCTTATCAGCGTCCTTCCCTTGTTCCTTCAGATTTGGCGGAGCTGATAGCAAAGACAAAGAGCTGCTTGTACTAGTAGTATGTAGATATGTATGACCCCCAAACTCGGCCAGCAGCAAACAAACAAAAAGCCGAAACACGGCTGAGAGGCGGCCACAGCAGGTCAATACGAATACGCAGCGACATCCCACCTTCGACTGCTGGCAACCCGAACCCACACCCAAAAAGGGCTCTAGCTGTTGGCTCCAGCAAATGGGCGTCCACCCAACTGGTAATGGATTTCTTCCAATTGGCGCTGTGCGCGCCCACCAAGTCATCCTCCATGCTTGCTGCTTGTACCCGCACGCACAAATATGGCCGAGAGGTACTCCTGGGTCTACTAGGTCTCTGTCTTTGTGGGCGGCTAATGCAGGCTCGCGGCTTGCGGCATCGTGGCAGCAGCGAGACGGACGGACCTCGTACGCGCATTCGTGTAAGAGTCCAGGTTTGCGAGATGCGTGTTGATATGCCCATGTACTGCAACCACCGACTCGGCAGTTTTCTCCTCACGCTGGGCCATTGCCATCAGCTGCACACATAAGCAATAGCATAGCCTTCTTGATACTAAACAACAGTATATTGATCTCTTTGACGTTGGTTGGGCATATTTACCAACTGGTACCGTTCTGGACAGATTGTGGAAAAGGCCTGAGAACTTGGGCGAGACGGACCTCAAGAACCCACCACCCAACTCACAAGTACCACGTGCGCAGGGTCCTTTTTCTTGCACTTCATCTAGCAAGGCTGGGTCGCGCTACTACCGAGTAGCTCCCGCTTGCTGAGCAGCGCCGGCGCTTTCCGCACTGTATCCGGTACATGTCCATTACATTACATCCCACGATTGCTCCCACGTTGGACAAAGCCTCTCTCCATCGCCCACCTCCTTTCTCCAACCGCAAACATCGAGCCGTTGGCAGCTGTCCAGGTCACCTGTCGCGCCACTGTTGCACGCAATCCGTACGACGACTGCTCCGCGCGACAGAAGGACAGATACGCTCCAGCCCCAGCATTCTGCCTCCCCTGGCTGCTATCCTGGCCTGACCTCAAAAACGACCCCTCTGCCCCTCGCGTCGTGGGCAGATTGCCAGATCACCCACTCGACATCCAGACTATTCACCAAGTCAAACGGCTGCCAGAAGAAGCTCAGATGTCTGACGGCACAGAGGCCCCCAGTGTCTCCTTCGAGGAGGCCAAGCCGGCCGTCAATGGCGGTGGAGCGTCGCTGCTTGGGCACCAGCGCAACATGTCGCTGCGTCGTCCGTCCGCTCCCATGGCGCCGGCCTTTATGGTGTCTGCGCCGGGCAAGGTGATTGTCTTTGGAGAGCACTCGGTTGTCTATGGAAAGGTGCGAAATGCTCATTGCTGCGATACGGCTGTTCAATGGCTGACTGATCTCTCTCGTTCTTTGCCTTGTTCAGGCTGCCATTGCTGCTGCCATCTCCCTCCGATCATACCTCCATGTCACAACGCTGTCGAAATCGAAACACACCGTCTCGCTCCGTTTCCCCGACATCGACCTCACACATACCTGGGACATTGACAGTCTCCCATGGGCAGCGTTCCACCATCCAGACAAGAAGAAGTCGTACTATTCCTTGGTCACGTCGCTCGACGAGGAGCTGCTGGCCGCCCTGCAGCCACACATCGACGAGGTCTCTGCGGACAGACCTGAAGACATTCGAAAAGTCCACCGCAGCTCCGCCACCGCCTTCCTCTACCTCTTCCTCTCCCTGGGATCGCCGCGCTTCCCAGGATCCCTCTACACCCTGCGCTCCACAATTCCCATCTCCGCTGGCCTGGGCAGCAGTGCTTCCATATCTGTCTGCTTGGCCGCCTCCCTCCTTCTGCAGCTGCGGACACTCTCTGGTCCTCATCCGGACCAGCCTTCGGAAGAGGCCCGCCTCCAAGTCGAGCGCATCAACCGCTGGGCCTTTGTCTCCGAGATGTGCATTCACGGAAATCCTTCGGGAGTCGACAACACGGTCGCATCACAGGGCAAGGCTGTGGTATTCCAGCGAACAGACTATAGCAAGCCACCGTCAGTCCGTCCGCTATGGGACTTCCCTGAGCTGCCTCTGCTTCTCGTGGACACAAAACAGGCCAAGTCGACGGCACACGAGGTGGCCAAGGTTGGAAAGCTGAACAAGACGCACCCCAAACTCGTCGGCACGATTCTCGACGCCATGCACAACGTTACCGATGCCGCCTCGGAGCTCATCGAAGACAAATCCTTTGATCCCAAGGAGGAGGAGAGCCTTCGCAAGGTCGGCGAACTCATGACGATCAACCATGGCCTACTAAACTCGCTGGGTGTGTCTCACCCTAGACTGGAAAGAGTTCGCGAGTTAGTCGATCACGAGGGTATCGGATGGACCAAGCTTACGGGCGCTGGCGGCGGCGGCTGCTCCATCACGCTGCTGAGGCCAAACGTGCCAAAGGAGAAGCTCACCAAGCTGGATGGCCAGTTCGAGGCGGAGGGTTATCAAAAGTTCAGCACCACTCTCGGCGGCGACGGCGTGGGTGTCCTTTGGCCGGCTGTGCTGAAGAATGGTCTCCACGAGGACGAGGACGGCATGGAGATTGACGTGGACCTGTTTCTCAACGCACAGGGGACCGAGGGTGTCGAACGGCTCGTCGGCGTCCACGGCGATGGTGGCGAGAGAGAAGGCTGGAAGTTTTGGCGAGTGGAAAGCGAGCATTAGGACCAGATATGACCTGCTGTGCGATGCAGACGGACGTGAGCGTCTGATCCCCTGTTTGAGCCCTCTACAAAAGAGAGATAATGCGAGGGAAGAAGACAATGTTACCGAGTCTGGCGTTAGGTATCAATGGCGATGGGGGCAAATCAACATAGCATGCGGTTTTGGGCATTCGGAGCGAAAGGAAGGAAGGGGGATAAAAAGGGTCTCTCAGCATCGGCGTCTACTTTCTACGCATTGAGCACTTGGTCGCTTGTTGGGCGTTTTAAGGGAACCGTTTACGCTTTATGACATGATTAGCCTAATAATGAAAACATTGCTAATGAGCACCTGGATGGGATTGTGCTAGATTTGAGAGTAAATCATGGCCACGTCTAAACAAGATTTGCCATATACACAGTTCTAGCAAGGTCGGATATGCCACGCTACCTAGGTATGCTACCTACTAGGTACTCTACTTGAGCTCTGCCAAACGGTACTTCCAGTATCCCTCTCGCACAGGATCCCACTTGTCCGACAGCCGCTGCAGGCACAGCCTGGCCTTTTCGACGTCTCCCTGCTTGTGGTACACTTCCGACATAAGGTCCAGCGCATGCGAGCTCCGGACACTCTCCCCTTGGCCTCCCAGGTCCGAAAAGAACTGCTCGGCAAAGTCGCCCACCGTCTCGAGGCCGCGCCCGCCCTTGACCAGCACGCCGCGCAGGTAATGCCACGCAGACTGATTCTGCGGCGCAAGCAGGATCTTTTCCTTTGCGTACTCGGCCTCCCTGTCGATGATGGCGTCGGGGACCTTGGGGTCGTGCTCGGTGGGCGCGGAGCCGGGGGTCGAGACGGACGGGTCCGAGAAGACGATGAAGAAGCGGTGCGACCAGGCCGAGTTGTTGCGCAGGTCGTCTTCGATCATGCTCTGCGTGGTGGCGAGCTCAAAGGGGCTCCAGTAGCTGAGCTTGGTGACGAGATACTGCCTGTACGACCAGACGTGGTAGTTCTTGGTGTCCTCGGCGAGGATCCTGGAGATGAAGTCGGTCTCGGACTTTGCAAACTGCTTGGCGGCCTCGGGGTCGGCGGACAGCGTCGCGGCGAAGTGGTGGTCCAGGAGGAGCTGGCGGTGGTGCCAGATCTGGTAGTTCTTGAGGTTGTCGAGGGCGACGCCGTTGAGCCACTGGATCTCGTCGAGGACCGGGAGCGACAGGGCGGAGACGATCTTGAAGCGGTACAGCCAGACGGTGTAGTGGGCTGGGTTCATGGCGATGACGCGCTCGGTGAGGCGGAGGCAGCGGGGGGAGTATTCCTCTGCGGCCATGACGGCGCGGAGGTACGACACGGCTGTTGGAGTGTAAGTCAGTCAGGGACACAGCTCCCCCCCCAATGTCGTTTGATATAGATTCTCAGGAGAAGGTTTCCATACCCTCGGCGTATTCATCTGGATAGGCAATCTTGGCCAGCGCATCCTCGGGCTCCGTCTGCGGAATGGGAACAACATCATCCCACTCGGGGTCGCTCGCCAGCGGCCCCGGAATCTCCCCATACAGCTCTCTTTTCAGCTCGGCCATTTCCTTTCGCCTCTTCTTTTCTTCGTCGACTTCCTCGGGCGATATCTCGCCGCCTTCGCTCCGCGCAGCCTCTCGCCTGGTCAGGAACTGGCGGTGCAGCACGTCGAGCGCCGTCAGCCTCGCCTGGGACAGCGTCCGCTTCTTGAGCTCGTCGAGGCGGTACGTGCCAATGTCGCGGCCGTGCTTGTCCTCGCCCCAGCGGTAGGCGTGCTTGCTGAGCCGGCGGCAGGGCAGGCCTTCCTTGGCGACGTGCTTCCAGTACTCGCGGTCGGTCTTGTTGGAGAGCGACACGATGCGGTTGGCCACGGGGAGGATCAGGTTGGCGTGCGCGTACGTCTTCTTCTCGGCCGGCGTCAGGCCTGGGAAACCGACCTCTTCGAAGCGCTTCTGGACGGGGTTCGTCTGGTAGAAGCGCTGCTGGGAGCGCTCGCCGACGGTCTCGGGGGTCGCTTCGGGGGTGGCTGCGGAAGAAAACGGGGGAGTCAGATGGGGTGTTGTTTTGACCTTTCCCTTTGCTAATCAGGGGGTTTATATCTGGGCCTCAGCAGCAGCTGATTGATATTGCAATACCTTTGGGATCCGGGGTGGCAGCCTTTGCAGCGGCCTTGGCCTTTGGCGGCATGTTGGATGCTGGGAGGTGTGAATGGCGGGGCTTTTTTGGGGACTGTTGGAGAAGCTTTGTGAAATGTTTGAAGCTGAGGTTCCGTCTGCCACCAACAGGCTGGAGCCTCCCCGCGATTGGCTGAGGCTGGCTGATGCCTTGGAGAACAATGGGAACAACAATCAGATGCACGAGGCGCTCGACTTTTGGATTCTTTGACGCTGTTTACATTGTGAACCCGATTGACTGCCTTTGCCTTTGCCGATGTAGTAGTAGTTTTGTACTCTGACTGTTTCTTGATGTAGTTGCGCACTCCGAGCTATGACTTTCCATTGCTGCATGCCATTTCGGCTTAGAGCAGTCTAAGAACCGGATATCGCAAGTTGGTCCTGATGCTTGCTCAATCTTCCATATTATCACCTGGATGCAACGAGCTTGCGTGTTTATCCAACCGATCGTGAGATTCTCTTAGTTCCCCAATCCTCAGCACGACGGCTGCATACAGGTCTCCGACGCCTACATGGGACTGATTCGTTCTCCTGGATTGACTTCCTGATGCGAGATTGGCCCAACATATTGCGCTCAACAACAAAGCATCACCTAAACAATGCCTGATACCTTCATCTGACTGTTTCCTGAATCGGCCTTGTCGTATATATTGGTGTATAGGGTATCATATAGCTTGTAGTATTTGGGAAAAAAAAAAAAAAAGGTCGTCACAGGGCGCGAAAGTTTTGCGACATGATGAGCCACCTCTTCAGCCCCCTCGCCGGATTCCTCGCCATGGCATCCCAGTTGGGCACCAGCACAAACGTCTCGTTGAACATCTTCTGCGGCGCTTCCCGCCCCTTGCCGAACCGGACCTTGCCCATGGTGGTGACGACGATGCTCATCTTGCGCCCGCTCTTCTCGTTCTTCTCGCTGTCGTACACATTCTCGGGGGCGCCGTACTGGAACGAAGGGTTGATGATGTGGGTGTCGAGCGATTCGATCTCGTACAGCACGTTCTCGCCCTGCGTCTCGAGGAGCTTGGAGTACTCGGCCGGCGTGGGCACGACGGAGCCGTTGATGGAGATGTCGGCCGGGATGTTGTAGCGCGTTGACGAGTTGATGTAGAAGGTCTCGAGCTTGGCGCGGCTGTTGATGGCCTGGTAGTAGCTGCTCACAAAGTTCTCGGCAGCTGTTTTACACGTTCCCAAGTTAGCGACTGAAGTCCTGTCTGGGTTCATGTATGTACAGTAGGTAGATCTGCTGGAGACGACGCGCCTTCGCTGGAAGCTCTGACTTCCGTGTCCGCATCTGGCAGTGTCATGATGCCTCTGTCTCTGGCAGCATCGGTGCCGGGTTCTAAGTAGTACACAGTTGATGCTCTTCTTCGACTCCTGCTGGCAAAGGGCAGAGAGCAGCAAGTTATCCTCGTCCTCGCAAAAGGCAAAAAGGAAAAGTCGCCCTTTTCCTCCCATGACGTGCAGAAGAATGCCCCGCATATCGTACAGTTATCGCTGGGGCCAATTCGTACTATCAGCACTGTATCATGCAATTTCATGATCCATCTCGACGTCTCACTCCGACTCAAAAGCTCGTCACAAAACAATGCTTTCCCTCAGACCGCGGGCCCTTGCCGGGCTGCGGCGGGCTCAGTCACGGCTGGACTCGCCGCCCGGCTGGATCTGCCCCGGCTGCAGAACGGGCTTCGCTGCTGTGCGACGCTGGAACAGCTCCCAGAAGCCTGCGGGGTCTGGCGAGAAGCCGTATTATATCACGACACCCATCTTCTATGTCAATGCTGGTAAATATCTCCTGCAGTGTTTCTCTCGACGGGGTGGCTGATACTTAATTTTCCCAAAAAAAGCTCCCCACATTGGCCATCTCTATACCATGGTCCTCGCGGACGTGGTCAAGCGATGGCAGCAGATCAAAGGCAAGGAAGCCTACTTGTGTACGGGCACGGATGAGCACGGTATGAAGATCCAGAGAGCCGCCAGCAAACATGGAATGGAGCCGAAGGAGTTCTGTGACGGCAACTCGATCAAGTTTCGAGAACTGGCGGCTGCGGCCAATATCTCCAATGACTTTTTCATCCGGACCACCGACCAGGAGCACAAGGACGCCGTATCACAGTTCTGGTTGCATCTCAAGCATGCGACGCCCGAAAGCCTGGGGCTGTATAAAGGCGTTCACGAAGGATGGTACTGTGTCAGCGATGAGTGCTTCTATCCTGCAGACCTAGTGCAGCCCAGTATCGTGCCTCAGACGGGGAGGAAGATTATGGTCAGCACCGAGACGGATAACGAAGTGGAGTGGGTAAAGGAAGAGACCTGGTTCTTTCCTCTGACGAAGTACAAGGATGCTTTGCTGAAGCTCTATGATGAGAATCCTGACTGGATCAAGCCGGCTCATCGAATGGCGGAAGCGAGAGACTGGATCGAGAACCATCTTGAAGATTTGTCTGTCACCAGGCCCGCCTCCAGGCTCAGCTGGGGTATACCAGACCCCGAGGATCCCAGTCAGACCATCTATGTCTGGGTTGATGCTCTCATCAACTACATTACAAAGGCGGGATACGGCAGCAAGTGGCACTCGGCAAAGGACGACATGGGCATCTGGCCGGCCGATCTACAGGTCATTGGAAAAGACATTCTGCGCTTTCATACAATCTACTGGCCGGCCCTGCTCATGGCACTGGGCCTGCCTGTTTCAAAGGGGTTCCTCTGTCACAACCACTGGACCATGTCCAACCGCAAAATGTCCAAGTCACTAGGCAACGTCGTCAACCCCTTTTTCGCCGTCCAGCGATGGGGCATCGACCCCCTGCGATACTTCCTCATGCGCAATGCCAGCCTGAACAAGGATATGAGCTACTCCAACCAGCAGATTGGTGCCGTCTACGTGAAAGAGCTGCAGGCAAACATTGGCAATCTCTTTTACAGAATTGCAAAGCCGAAGGCGTCCGTCAGATGGTCGACTCTCGAAGCCCTGGCGGCCTACCGCAATGGGGAATTCGATGCCTGGATCGAGAACAATGCCACAAGTGACGTTGATGCGACCTACTTTAGCTTGGAAGGTCACTTGGCTGAGAGCCCTGCGGCCATCTGCAGAGAAATGGACGACTACAACACGAGCGGCGCGATACGGGAGATTTTCGAGCTGCTGAGAGAGGTATGAACTCTTGATTTCCCCTGGGACTTTCAATATCAGTGCCGGATACTAACTCGCCGGTGCATTAGACGAACCGCTACGTTACAGATGCCAAGCCATGGGACATTGTCAAGCTTCAGGGTGCAGAGTCCCGCACCCTGCTGAACTGGGTCATCTTCAACTGCGCAGAAGCCCTGCGTATTGCCGGCATCTTACTTCAGCCCATCATGCCAACAAAGGCATCGGAATTGCTGGATGCCTTGGGTGTTCGCCCTGATAGACGCACCGTTGAGTTTGCAGCCAAGGGAAAGGATGCCGATTACGGTACCGAGTCCAAGCCAGTCGAGCCAGCGCCCCGAATGAGCAAATGGGACACCTTGTTCCCACCGACACCGAGTGCAGAGCTGTCGGATGATGAGCTTACGGAACACTTGAGGGTGGCTCTGCTGGACAAGACAAGGAACAAGATGAACCAGATGGCCGAGCTGCTGGCTATGGAGGCGCGGATGGGCGAGGAAGCAGTCGCCAAATTTCTGGCAGACGTTCATGCAGCCAAGACCTCAACTCCGTAGATCAAGGGCCATGGAGTAGTAGGAGCGCATGGGCGTTGTAGGATACCTGTACGATATGGATGGACGGGATAAAGGGATCGGATCAAACAAGGTCGCCACTAAGTAGCATGTCCTCTGGAAAAGCATGTTTATAGATGAGGCTTTAAATCTTTGCAAGTGAAGAATGATCGGATATCTAGAGACTGCGTTGTGGAAGTTCTGTTGACAGCAAACCGTGGAAGTCGAGCTCTTAGTTTTAGTCTGGCAAATGCGCTCAAGCCCACCAAACGCCTATTTTCCCTCTTACAACCCAGTGCCCTCAACATACGAGTCGCCCTTTGCCAAGAGCGAATACTTCACAATGAAAGTCAATGAGAAAACATGTATATTTGCACTCTTCCAACTTCTGAGATGTTAACTTTGCTAACACAATGGGCAGCCATCTCGACGAGCAAAGTTTTGCTGGTGCCATACGAAGCCCACCATGTGCTCACCTACCACGACTGGATGCAGGACCCGGTACCTAATATGAAATTCCGTCGCCTTGTCTCTCCTGGTGGATGGCTGACAGGTCGAAAATCAACAGGCCATTCAGGAAGCAACTGCTTCAGAGCCCATGACGCTGGAAGAAGAATACGAGAACCAGCTGTCGTGGCGGACGTCGCATGACAAATTGACGTTTATCGTGTGCGAGCCGTTAAGCGGGGAGCATCATCACAATGTCACGGCTCAAAGCGACGATGCACCTGATAAGATGAGAGGGGATATCAATTTCTTCTTATATCTAGATGATGACGACGACGATGATGGTGAGGAAGCTTTTGGATCGAAGGAGAGCAATGCGATACGCTTGAGAGGCGAAGTAGACGTCATGATAGCACGAACGCAGCACCGCGGGAAAGGGTTCGGCGAAGCCGCCGTGCGATCGATATTGGGATACATACGGCGCCATCTGTTAGACATACTGGGGGAATACGCAAAGGGGGAGGGCTTGGATGAGCAAAAGGTGCAGCTGGTTGGGTTGATGGCCAAGATCAAGGAGGACAACAAGGGGAGTAGGGCGCTGTTTGGGAAGTTGGGCTTCAAGCAGGAGGGCGAGGCGAATTACTTTGGCGAGGTGAAGATGGTGATGGATTGGGAGGAGGATACGATGACGGAGATGGTGGAGGGGCTGGAGTATCGGGAGTTGGAGTATGTGATTTGAGTCTTGTTGATATAGATCTCATGATGTTATCTTTTTGGTTGTCGTGGTGGGATAGGCATCTATAGAGGCTGTTTTCTCTCTACCCTGTCTGGCAGATTCTTCTTTCCTTATGGCCTCTCTCTCTCTCTATAGACATCACTGCTTCATCACAGCTTTCCAGATATTCCATTTGAGCCATGATTAGTTCACGATATCGAGGCTGAATCGAGCCATTTTGTATGATTCACCAATAGACGGAAAGCCTCTCGTCGCCAGCTTCACACAGTACCAGTTCCCTCGTACCCACAACAACCACACAGCCCAACCAATCCGAAGCCCCCAAAAATTCCAACACCAAGAACAAACCAACACTCTCTCAACTCTCTCAACCATCATCACCAGCAGCTCCCTCCCAATCGGTTCACCACTCCGCGACCCCGGCAAATCTCCTCCCAAGCAGCGCTCGACAAAACGCCATACTGCTCTCGCTCTCTCTCTCTCTCCCGCCCAACAATGAACTCCATCATCCGCCTCGCGCGGCCTCTCCTCGCCCCGCGCATCGCCCCTCTGTCCCAACGGTAAATCCATCCAATCCTCCCATTCTCTTAAACTACACCCACAACCCCCAAATCGCAAAGCTAACAAATTTGTCTCATCCTTTGTTCCTAGGACATATACATGCCTCTCCCCCCTCCGACCAACCCTGTCATCAACCTTTCGTCCCACCACCGCAACCTCCTCCTCCTTCACACCCTCTCCCACAACAACATCATCATCAGAAGCCTCAGCAGACGTCGTGCCCGCCACGGCAGTCTCCGCGCATCCCGCCCTGCAGGGCATGCAGCTGCGCTTTGGGCCGCGAAACACCATGAACGGACACACGAGGCTCGTGCAGAAGCGGAGACACGGCTGGCTCAAGAGGACGCGGAGTAAGACTGGGCGGCGCATCTTGCAGCGGAGGAAGCTCAAGGGGAGGAGGCATGTTGCGTGGTGAGGGGAAGGAGGAGTATGCTTGCTCAACTTGATTGATGAGCGGGAATTTGAGGGGAGGAGAAAGGATGGTTTCGGGCAGGAAGAAAGAAAAGGGGAATTCCTGTGGATGGGTTTGAGTGCGTTTTGGAGGTGGGATGGGACGTGTATCAAAAGGCAATGGGCACCTACTAGATACCTAGGTATAGAGGTGTGTTGCAGTGTACTATTACTTGTCGCGAAGAAATTGGAAGCAAAAAAGTCAAACACTCAGAAAAAGGTCGTTCATATGCCACAAACGACTGGCTCTAGCATGCTAATCAGACATATACCTACCTACACAGGCCCAACAACACCAGTCTCACACTCCAACGTATCCGTATGACATACAATACTTAACGAATCACTGGCATCCCCAATCCACACCTTATACCCTCCGTCAACCGCAGGAACCTTCCAATCCTGCGCCACCACGTCCCACACACTGACGTCCTTGCGTGTAAGAGTCAGCGTCACAGTCGTCGTCTCCCCCGGCTTTAGCTCCTTTGTCTTTTCAAAGTCACGGAGCTGAATGATTGGCGTATCGTAGTCGATATCGTCCGGGAATTGGAGATATGCCTGCACGGAGGCCTTGCCAGCATACTCATCGCCCGTATTCTGCACCGTCACCGTGAGGCTGTACGCAACGTCCCAGAGCGCGGGGTTGCCTCCCTCGCCGCCGCCAGCGCGAGCGCCGGGCTTCTGGGTGGTAGAGTAGCCGTCGGGATACGGATACTTGCCCGTCTTGCCGTCTGAAATGGCCCGGTTGGCATCGCCCTGCGACAGCCAAGAGTAGATGTAGCGGGGGATCTTGCCGAAGCCTGACGGCGCAACGGCTTCGCTTGCGGATGGAATGGATTGCGCAAAATCGGGGGTGCTGCCCTTGGCTGGGCGAGCCGGCGGGTATGCGCTCAGCCTGGCGACCTGTTTGATGGATGCTGCCTTGAAGGTGAAGTTTGTGTAGCTCAGACCGTGGCCAAAGGCGTAGCGAGGCTTGGTCTTGTTCTTGTTGAGCCAGCGGTAGTCAATGTACAGACCCTCTGTGTATGTGTCTTGGGGCTGGTTGAGGAACTCCGAGTCAATGAGCGTAGTGACGCTTTTGGGAAGGTCGTCCTCCTCTTTCGTGATGGAATAAGGCAAGTGTCCGCACGGCGAGGCGTGTCCAAAGAGGACGTTTGTAAGAGACTTGCCGGCTTCCTGGCCGGGCAGATGTGCGACGAGCACCGCCTTGACGGATGGCAGATCGATCCACTTCTCGAGGATCAGGGGGCCAACAGTGTGTATCACGACAATGACGTTGCTGAACTTGCTCGCGGCGTCCTGCACAAGCTTATCGCCGTCGTGCCATGCGTACAAGCCGGATTTGTCACGGTCGCCGTGGTTGCCTTCCACGGTGTAGGTGTTTTCGCCAGCATCCGAGTTGACAAAGACGATGGCGACGTCGCTATCTGATACTTCGCCGACAGAAGGGAACTTGTCCGTGTTGTAAAACGTGACATTGTCGGCCTCTGCAGTGATAGCTGAGATGGGATCGTCCAAATAGGGGTAATCGACAGTTCCCGAGCCCCATCCTTGGCCCAGAGTTCCCTTGTTGCAATTGCGATCTGTGCATGAATTGATGCCGTCTGGGTTTTTCTGAGCATCGGTGCCGAAAACCTTGAGGTGCTGCGAAGGCGATAGAGGGAGGATGTCGCCGTCGTTCTTCAACAGGGTGATTGCTTCCTGAGAAATTTGGCGAGCAATTACGTCGTGATCGTCTTGGACCGGTACAAACTCGTTTGTGATGCCAAATGGCGAAAGTGGCAGCGCGGCAGGATACAGCGGGTTGAAGGCAGCACGAGAGTTGGTGTCGAAATTCGTCGCGGGGAATCCCTTGTCCTGGCCCATCTTGTACCACGCAGCGGCTATGCGTGTAGCCGCGTCGTTGATGCGATCCATGGGAACCGAACCATTAAGAGCAGACCGAGTGAGCTCATACATCCAGTATGAGCCGCCGAAGAAGGGAATCTGAACGTCGCCAGGCATGTCCATATCCAGGCCGGCAATGGCAGAAGCGACGCCAGACATGTGAGCGAGCCAGTCGGTCATGATGAAGCCTTGAAAGCCCATCTCATCCTTGAGAAGGGCACTCATAAGATATGGGTGTTGAGAGCACGCAGTCCCGTTCACCTGGCGGGAGAAAAGCAATTAGCTGCTGGACAATCAAGCCACTCGTCTCAGAATCACTTACAGCATTGTAAGCCATCATGACGGCGCCAACACCCGCTCGGATGCCCTCGGCGAATGGCCAGGCATATACTTCATGCAGCGTCCTATCGTCTTTTACCCGTCAACTCATTGTCAGCATCTTATCTCACTTTTACTCTTCATTCCGCTGGAAACACGTACCAATATTTGAGCTGTATGCGTATTGAAAGGGATTGTACATGCGGTACATCTCCTGCTCGTTGCCGATAAAGTGTTTGATAGTCGCAATGACCCCCTGCTCTTGAACGCCCTTGATCGTCTCTCGAGCACCGACGGCCTGGAGCACAGGATCAGCACCGAAGCCTTCCCAGTTGCGGCCGCCCTTTGGCTTGCGGCCTATCGGCCCAACAGTTGGTCCCAGCCAGACATTGACGCCCTTTCCGCGGTTCTCCTTTCCAATGGCCACGCCGCGCTTGTACATGAGGGCCTTGTCGAACGTTGCGCCGACGGTGATTCCGTCAGGAAAAGCTGTTACATTGTCCGCATGTCGGACACCCGCCGGGCTGTCGTTGAGACACAGCTGGGGAAAGGAAACTCGAAACGCAGAGCCTGTGTTTCCGGCACATCGCCTTGATCAGTGTTAGTTTATAATCTCTCAATGGGTTATCATCATCCCAGCATATGGTGTACAAGACCCGTTTGCTGAAGTTCTGACAAAAGCCTTTCATCCCTTGAAGAGGCTTCGGTCTGTACGTTGGCAAGGCTCCAAATAACTCACCCTGTTCTCGCTGGTTAGCATACAATTACTCGCTCATCCACACACAGTCTGAAACTGCCTCTCATCCTCAAGGAAGCCACCACTCACCCATATAGATGCCAGTTCCTGCAGTGATATTGGTCTTTTCTGCCAGAGTCATGGAATCGACCAGAGCCTTGGCCTTGGTATAACTCTCTTGCCAATCCTCCACCCATCCACCGTACGGCGCAGGATAATACGGCGGCACATAGTAGCCATCTGGAACCCAGGCTTGGGCAGCCGCAGCCGCCGCTACTTGTGCATTTGCCGACGCAGCAGTAGGTCCGGCACTTCCTAGAGCCACCAAGCCGGACAGGACACACGTCACAGTGGACAACTTGACGCCGTCGTGAAACGAGGTCATGACGCCAATGGCCCAGATTATAAACAGACAAGAGAGCGCGGCTGATGCGTATATAGATAGTTTAGAAGCGCGTACCCCTAGTCTCGCGTGCTCAAGACGAGCATGATCGTGCTTTGCAGGCAAAGGTCAGCGCGTTTCCAGTTGACCGGGGACGGACAATGGAGACAACATCGTATATTTACCTCTAATCGCTTCCCCATCTTGGTTGAACCCTGTTAAGGCCTGGTGCCCGAGGGATGAGGAAATCATGCATGAGGACCACACCCGCCAGCCTCGTGTTCGCGGTGAGACATCTGTGACCCCCTCCTGCTGGCCAGCCAAGACCCAAGGGAGAGGGCCGTGGCAATGAGAGTGACCCATTTCCCGGTTGATTTTCTTGCTTTCTCCTGGTAGACCAATACTACTGCCTCTGTCTGTGCTTCACGCCCACAGTGGCTCTTGGCCGGCAGTCAATCACCACTCCATCCGTACTGTGCATTGTATCGTCCCAAAGACGGGCATTGTACTAGCAGGAGGTGTAGACACTCGGACGGCAGAGAGGCCCCCGTTGGAGAAGTGCAGAGCCAACGAGGCCAATCAGGCGCCAGCATCCCCTCTCTTTTCTGTCCCATTCTTCGCCTGCTTTTCTTCTCCGTTTCTCCAGCCAAGAGCTGAATGCTTGACATGTGGTTGCACTGGCATCATGACCTGCCCGCAGAAGCTACTGTGCTCGTAGCATCACCAAGAACCTAGGCGGCCATGAAGTCAGACGACGATCCCACGTCACCGCCTCCGGCTTGCAGATGCACGAGCTGGCCGCCAGCCCTGAACTGGGAAACGTCACCATTGCGCTTGTCAGGCTTGCGCATTCAGGCATCAAGCGTCGGCCTCGGTGCAATGTCTCGAAAAGGCCACTGGCGGTGGAGCGGCGCCTGGTCCTGGTTTCCTCGTGTTGTCCAAGCGTATTGACCGTACGGCGTAGCGGCGGGGTTATCCAGCATGGCTGCGACAATGGCAGCGAGCGGCAACAATAGCAGAGAGCATGCATGTGGTATGAACGAACCAGGTTGCAGGGGGGGTCCGAGAACGAGATAGTCTAGACTGGAGAAGCAGATCGATGGCGTGGCTTTGGCGGAGAAACGCAGGCATCGCGTGGAGCAGCAGCCGCGGTATGATGCGGTGCTGATAAGGTCAACTGCTGTTCGAGGCTGATCGAGCACTTTCGCAGACTGACTTGATCTGGAGGAATCACGAGGATTGATAGTCAACAGCGCCATGAGACAAGAGGCGGGTGGCGCTCAGCTCGAGGCCATCGATCTAGAACTCTTCTGGTCAACTCGAGGACGACGTATTATCCTTAGCGTCCTGCATGGCGATGGGAATGTTGTGCAAGTCGTAATAGTTTGCTTCATCAGAGTAGTGGCAAGTGGTGGGTGCCATGAGATATAGAGACCTTGACACCAATGTAACAATGGACGGCCCCTCGTGATGCCTTTCCTTTGATGGCTGCTGGCTGTTGATTTGTTGATTCTGCATCTCGCAGCCGCGGTATCGCGATTCGATAGTTCGTGTCAATCGGGACAATTGCGTCTCACGGCTGAGGAACATGGATTGATGTGTGATGAAGGGATTTGGATGCTTCTGACACAATGCACTGGAGATGGGAGACGTAACAAGGATGATCCGGCAGTACGTGCTTGTACTTCGTAGGTACCTACTTCGCCTTGATCATTGCACTGCTAAAGCTTGGAGTCGTACAGCTACCTAGGTAACCATACCTACCCTAGAATGACCAGGTCAATGCCTACAATTGAGCTTTGGATGGATGCAGACTTTGGCCATTGACGGGCGGAAGCCTCCTGAATTTGAGATTGGTGCTTCACTGGCCCTGGTATGGCCGCGGGTCGGCTTTTCGTTTCATAGTGGCATACAGAGTGCGTCCTCAAAGAGCGATGCTAAGCAGTCCGGTTGTTGCTTTTGCAGCAAGATGGCAGCAAATACACTCAATTTCATCTCAAATGGCCACAGCCGAACTGCATATTTCCACTTATGATACTCTTTCAAAGACTGTGACTGACCAGAAGATTCTATCTTACCTAGGTAGCGCATGTGGCATGACTTTTCCAGTGAAGCTGCCTGTTTAAGCGTTGATAGAGGAGTCACTGCAACACCATGAACACTTTTTGCGAGCTGTCACTTGGGAGACATTGCCCAAGATCAGCTGGCCGCAATTTGCGATTAAATGTGTCACAATACAGGAAACGTATAAAGAGGCTTTATCAAATTACTTAGCTTAAGCCGTATTCGAGTAGAAGAGGGGGGAAATCGGGTAGAGAGGGAGACATAAGGAGTCCTGTAGCAAGCCTGTCGCCAGCTTGTTCGTAGCCATAGAGGTACCCTGAGTAACCGTCGGAAAACGTTGATAATGTCAAGATTAGGTATACTTCTGAATCAGATTTGGATATTATTGAGTTAGGGTAGATGAGGGAGTCTGATGAAACGGATTCAAAGATAAATGAGAGAAGAAACATTCTGCCCAACTCTCTGTCTTCAGATGTGCAAGTCGATCGATACCTAGTAATTGCCGCTCCCCCGCAACCCTGAGCAGAAATCCTCTCCATCTGCCGATCGAGCCGTCAATACCACCTGCTAGCACTGGCATGTCCGCCGAAGATCCTCAAGACGAACAATGTCGGAGGGCATTCGGCCGAGAAACGAAGTTGGGGTTGCAACAGCGAGAACGAACATGATCGTGAGCAATGTGCACGACGTCGAAGCGCAGAGTTGACTTACACGGACAGTCCCCTCAAATCCTACATACGCCATGGGTCTGCCTTCACACCTCTCTCTATTTCTCGCCCCCGGACGTTGCTCCAGATGTCAAACGACTTTGCACGGCCCTTTGCCCTCCGTCGCTCTGTATGTACCATCGCTTTGAATCTGAAACCATCCACAAAGGTCCGAGTCTGGCAAGTCAACCCTATCGGCCACCGAAAGTAACGCCATCTCCTCCGTCCCCCCCCTGTCGACCTCAACCTGTCAAACCCTGGATCCCTGAGCACATCCCCCACGACCCTTTATTATGTAAGTTGCGTTGCGTTTTTCCATTCGCAAGGTAGTAGTAGTAAAGTAGGCGCCAAAGCGCCGTCTCCCGATCTTTGGTCACCTTATCAACAGCAGAAAGTAGCCGTAATTCCACAAGCCACCAATCGTCTTTTACAAACGCCTTCCGAGTTTCCTATTCCGCAACATTCTGCTTCTCTCTCATCTACACAGTCCTCCCGATATTTTTCAGAGTCCAATCAGTCGGATAGTTTCTAACACCCATTCCGCATAGCCAAGCCTATCCAGTTTCTATTTCGGGCTTCGGCTCCGCTGCCCGCGTTTCTTCCTGAGTCGCATTCATGCAAAAAATTGGGCGTCTAAGCCACCATCCGTAGAAGAAGTGAACAGAAGACTATGGGAGCCCTCACACATGAAGCAGCCGCGTTTCAGTGGTATCAAGACAGAAGTGAGATGCTTGCTCCATATCATCCCGAAGCTGCCTGTTGCCTAGTGGTAAAGCATGGGAAGGTAGCTCTAGAGATAGGTCGGTTCAATGTTGCATCAAGGGGCGGACGGACTGTCCGAGTCTGTGTGCTGTCTCACATTTGCCATGCGGAAAAGTCGTCGTGCGAAAATATATAAGTCCATGCAAATGCACAACAACATGTAAGAGTCGGTTGAATTCGTGATTGGTGATATTGCAAACGGTCCTGGTGGCGTTACTTCTCGTTCGTGTCATTTCCATTGCGAGTCTGTGTATAGTTTGGCTTCATCGCCGACCTTGACGTCAAACTCCTTTGAGATTCGATTATTTTGCTTCTTCTCCTTCTGTTCATATACCACATCATTTAATTTTCAAAATGAAGTGCTGGCAACTTCTCTCCCTTGTTGCTGTTGTAGCTGGCAGCCCGGTGTCGCCTATTCAGGAGAATACCCAGATGCTCAGCGCTCGACGTAACTCTTCCCCCTCAGCCCCCCTATTACACCACAACTCATCTGCTAACATATTTGAAGAGGCCGATAGCAAAAGCTTCACAGCTACACAAACAGATCTCACCGACTTCCAATTCTTCGTCCAATACGCCGGAGCCGCCTACTGCAACAGCCAGACACCCGCCGGCCAGCCCATCGTTTGCGCCAACGATGCCTGTCCCGGAGTCGCAGCAACCGTCATCGATTCCTTCGAGTACGTTCCGCCAATCTCACACTTGTCCACCAATCAAGAATCTAACCATAGTCTTTGTTTTTTCCAATATAGAGGCTCCTTGACCGGCATCGGAGGCTTCGTCGCCGTCGACGCCGCCCACCAGCAAATCATCCTCGCCATCCGCGGCACCAAGAACATCCGCAACTTCGTCACCGACATCGCCTTCGCCTTCGAGGACTGCGCGTTCGCCCCGGGCTGCCAGGTTCACGATGGCTTCAGCAAGGCTTGGGATGAAATCGCCGACGCCGCCACCGCCGCCGTCACCCAGGCTGTCGCCGCCAACCCGTCCTTTGGCATCATCGCCACGGGTCACTCCCTGGGTGGTGCCGTCGCCACGCTCGGGGCCACGGTCCTGCGCGGCCAGGGGTTTCCCATTGACATCTACACGTACGGATCGCCGCGCGTCGGCAACGACGTGTTTGCCAACTTTGTCACCAGCCAGCCTGGTGCTGAGTTCCGCGTTACGCATGTTGATGACCCCGTGCCTCGTCTGCCTCCCATCATCCTGGACTACCGCCACGTTTCGCCCGAGTTCTGGCTCTCTACTGGCGACGGAGATACTGTATCTTATGCTGTCGCTGATGTTGCCGTCTGCACTGGTATCGACAACGTGGATTGCAACGGCGGTACCTCTGGCATAGATCTCACTGCACACTCCTTTTACTTTGAGAAGGTCTCGGGCTGCGCTCCCTCCGGTTTGCAGTTCAAGCGTGACGACAATTCGACCGCCTCAGGCATTGATCAGTTTGCCCTGGATCGAATGGCTCAGTGGAGCCTCGAGGATCAGGCGTTTGTTGCTTCCATCAAGGCATAGGTGGATAAATTGTCATTTGCTTTGTGTTTCGCACGGCGTTATGATACCGGCTTCGATATCTGTGGTACTGCACACCATTCGGTTTAATGGACAAGACAGACAGGATGATTGACATTGAAGTCAAGACTGGGTTTCAAGACTTACTGGGCTTCATTGCGTCTATATGTGTACATATGTACCTTACAGATGATGAGCTTTAAGATCTCAAAGCATCCTGCACACATATAATCATAATGAAAGATGGGGATGTCACATTTATGCCTCGAGAATGACTCTGCTATACGTAAGGTAGTGGATTATTCGTGTTATCACCTGCGATGTATGGTTGCAGAAGAGTCGTGTCGTTCATCTATGTTAGAACCATATCAACCATAGCCCGCTTGTCGGGCGCCGCGTCTGGATCGTGAAAGGAAAACAAAGAGAAAATCAAGGAGTAATGAGACTCAGTCAGTGCCCTCCGTTATCATTCCCTGAGCGTTTGGTACACCAATCAAAATCACACCCCGTGGCACTCGGACCTCCTTGACCTTCATGCAGCCAAAGACATTCACCTCCTTGATGTTCGGGCAGGCTCGGAATATGCAGCCGAGGATAAAGTCCGTGACCTCTTCGCAGAAGCTAATCTCGAGATGTCGCAGCTCGGGATACTGCTTCGTCTCGCTAAAGGCCTCTTCAAAGGCTTCGCGAGAAATGTTCCGGCAAGCATGAACATTGACATGTCGTAATGTACGCCCAGAGTGGTTCATCAGCGCCTTGAAACCCTCGCTGCAAAGTCCGATATTCTTGGGGTTCTCCCTCGGATGAGCGGCATCCAGTTGCCGGCATTTCTGAAAGTCCACAAACTCTAATGGTAGGTTTTCCCAGTTGGTGAAGAGCTGGGCGAAGCCGTTGTCTGTCATCACCTCGCTTTCAGTGATGCGAAGCTTGGCTAGCGAACGGCAATTATTGTGTATAGCATCCAGGACGCTGTCATCAGCATCTGGTACCCTCTTGACCGACAACGTCCTGAGATCGCTCCCAATCTGGGTGATACAGGATTTGAGAGCTTCTGGAGAAAGGTCATGCAGGAGCTCCAGACTGAGATGTCGAAGGCTCGAAAGCTGCCCAATCGCAGTTACTCCTGCATCTGTGACCTTTTGATTGTGGCAGACTTTTAGGCGGGTCAGCTGGGGGCAGCATCCCTTCAAAAGCTGTAGAGTTTCGTCTCCGAAATGCCTATCCGTGAAGTAAACCTGAAGTTCCTTCAGAGACTTCCCCTTGGTGGTCAGAAACTCGTGCCATTTTTCCTCGCTCAGGAGATTGGCACCATGCAAGTAGAAACTCTCGAGCATGATATCTCTCGAGAGTAAGTAGTCCATAACCTCGTCTTTGAACTGGACCGCACACCGAACTTTGAACTTTCTCAGATTTGACGCCACTTGAAAAATGCTGATGAACTCTTGGTGACCGAGCTTGGCACCGTCGTAGATGTGCAGGACTTCGGTGGAAGGCTGCGTGAACAAGGGCAAGGTATCTGGCTTCAATAGACGCCTCTTGGAGAAGATTCGAGCAATCTTGTCGACGAGATGTTCCGGTAGGTCGCCCAAGCTTTCTGCCAGATCCACGTTCTTCGCCAATGTCTGCACGCAAAGTGTAGCAAGGCTTTTCGTGCCCACGTCTCCATCGAGCATGCGACTCTGGATTGTGCGTCGTGAGCCCACGCCGCCCGTCTGCTTCCGAGGTTTCTTTTTTGGCTGTCCCTCTCGCTCTTTGGCTATCTCACGGCCACAGGGAGCGCACAGCAGGCCCCCATCTGGCCCAGCCACGGAATACGGTGTGACGGTAAAGCGTTTTCCGCATATTTCGCAGTTCTCCATTTGGCCGGGAAGCGGCGCTCGCCTCTCCTCGAAGATGGCGAGAGCTATGTCGTCATCGTCGTCATCATCGTCGGCCATCTTCTTGCGTTTCTTAAAAGCCTTGCTCGCTTTGATCTTGTCCAAGGCTGCGGTGTTGCGACCTCTTGTTGTCCGGCTCGATGAGGTTGCCTCCACCGCGACTGAGACGGTCTCAACGGTTTCAACAACTTCCGAAGCATTGTTCTCTGTCGATTCGCCTGCTTGTTGTCTTCGCCGGTCCGCCTCAACTCTGATTTGAGCAGCAGAGATATTGTGAGACTAACAACTGTATCAGCGAAAGTGTTCGAGGACATTGACGTGCAGTGCAGACATACCGCAAGGAAATCAGTCAACGCAGATTGGCTGCAAGGTGACGGTCAGCTTGGACCGGCTCGGAAATCCAGGATATGACTAAAGGCACTTACGGCCCAGTAATGTTACGACTTGGCCGCCCATTCTGATTCTCATCATATCGTCGTGAACGAGTCCTGAAACGAAAGCTTGGTTAGCCATTGCTTCAAGGTACTGATGCAGGGGTTGGGCAAGACTTGGGAGACAAACATGGTGAGGACGTTGCGCCCGGAGGATTCTCCCGATGATCCTGTTTTCGGGCAGTAAAGATTGGTGATGGAAGCAGACGAAAGATCCTTGCGCTCTGCTTTGGACGCTGGAAAATTTTCTCTGATCTTGCAGAGCAGCACGAGAGAACGAAGGCGTGCAGCAGGTTGTTCTTTCCGCCGTTCGTTAGCACAGTGCCAAATGACTCAAGCGTGTTGCCACTGTCGCTGAGATAGCATGGTGTCACGTGAATTTGATTCGAGCTGATCTCTCAATTCACACTGTCTGGCTTCACCATCATGCCGCAGTACCCAGACTGAGGATGAACTGAGAAGTACAGTGCCTTCACAGTGCTCGATGCTCAATTAAACGCGGCTTATCGTCGCACGTGCTTTCGCGTAAAGTGGCAAGCGCGTCCCGCTGCCGCAGCAGACACTGTGAATCGGCATGGCCGCTACACTTTAGGTAGTCACGGCTGATGAGGCGAGTTGCGGCCAACTTTTCATCCAGTCACCTCAGCCCAACCTTTTCCTTAGCCTCTTCTGTTTTTCTTCCCTCTTCATCAGATTGAAGCGACCGGGACCGGCTTCGTTCTCTTGCTGCTCGGTGCAAAAGGCTGCGATACCAGCGGCCATTCATCCGGCAGTCACTTGGAGCCTCTCCCAGCGCTGAATCTGTTAAGCAAGTCGAAGGCTTACTTATCAGGCTGGTGAACCCCCTTCCTAGCTGCAGCCCAATTCACGACCCTCGTTTCCGTCGAAGCGAAACCCATCTTTCCATCTTTGCGGGCTCACTGCGGGCGACGTCTGCTCCTCTTCTTTTCAATCCATCTGCGACCTCTTCAAGATCTATAATTTAAGCGGCATCGTTGCAGGTGAAGCGTCGCAATGCCTCGTCGCCCCTCTTTGAAGGCATCGGCCACCCCTGTGCCCAAGGCTTCTGGTATGATACCTATGAAATCTCAATTTGTCACCATGACTACCCGCCTATTTCATTCCTGACACATCATAGATCCTGAAACCGGCTCTGGCTCTGGCACTTCAACTGGCCGCCTGACCCGCGCGAGATCTGCGAGGAACTCTGGAGTTTTCTCTACAGCAGATGAGCTGTCCCTACCGCCACCAGAGACCAAGGCGTCACTGTCAAGGTCTCTCCGGGGTAGATCATCCAATGCATTCATTGCACAAGGCGATGATAGTCTGACTACTGAGTCTACCTCTTCGGCCCTCACGCCATTTGGACAGACCTCGGAAAGCGGTTACTCCACGCCTGGAACTAGTAAACTCCCGAGCCCTGCTGAAGGATCTACCGCGACTGGTAAAACAACCCGTTCTGCCCTGGAAGTACGCATTCCTGCAAAGAGCAGACTGCAAGGACCAGATGGGGATGAGCGAGCATTGCGACGCAGCATCTACTCTCTGAACTCGACTGTTAAGAGCAAGAGAGTGACAGAGATCGCAGACTCTGAGGAAGAAGATGATGATCTTTCAGGAAATGGTCGCGATGTCAAGGTCGCTCGTCGGCTGCAAAATGAAGAATACCGTGGAGCCGGCATGAGACCTCGTCGCTTCAAGGCTACTGATGCACAATCAATTGTCACGACCGAAGCTTTGGGGAAACGATCCAGATCTCTCATTAGCCCCTCTACAACCCACAAGCGGCCAGCGAAAAAGAGCAGAGTCATTCCAGATTCTGACGACGATGTGGACATGGATGCCGAAATCGCTGCCGGCCTTGCACTGAGCGATGATCAATCAGATGGCGACGAATTTCTCTTGGACGAAGACCTTGATGACGAAGAGGAAATCCCGGCTTCAAGTGATGACGAAGCTCCAAAGCCTCGGAAGCAGAAGAAGTCGCCTGCCAAGAAGCGCGCTGCAGCTACTCGGCCGCCTGCTGATGCTGCTAGACCCGCCACACCCGTTTTGGAACCTGGACGACGTTCACTCCCTGTTTGGGACGACGATGATGATGACTTCTTAGGTCCCATGTATCATTACAGCTCGAGCTCTGAATCGGTTAGTGACCTCGACGAAATCGAGGCTGTTCGCCTATACCTGCCACTTCCCGATCATTTGCGGGAAGCTGCAGCCAGACGCCGTGCATATAGAAGGAACAAGAGCGAGAGCCGTACTACAAAGGAACGGAATCGTCTCGAGAAGCATCACCCAGAACTCAAAACCATGTGGACAGATTTGGAGAAGATGCCCGTGATGAAGGCTGGCAAGATAGACCAGCCAGCGAGCATTTCCAGACAGCTCAAGCCGTTTCAGCTCGAGGGCGTTGCTTGGATGAAGGCAATGGAGAAATTGGAGTGGAAGGGAGGTCTTTTGGGTGATGAAATGGGACTCGGCAAGACTATCCAGGCAGTGTCTCTCATCATGTCCGATTACCCAGCCAAACAGCCCACTCTGGTCCTCGTCCCTCCTGTTGCTCTCATGCAATGGCAATCGGAGATCAAATCCTACACAGACGGCACTCTCAAGACCTTCGTGTTCCACGGCACCAACCAAAAGGCGAAAAACATCACTGTTAAGGAACTCAAGAAATTCGACGTGATCATGATGTCCTACAACAGTCTCGAGTCCATGTATCGGAAGCAGGAAAAAGGCTTCAAGCGAAAAGACGGCATCTACAAGGAAAAGAGTGTCATCCATGCCATCACTTTCCATCGCGCCATACTCGACGAAGCACACTGCATCAAAACGAGAACTACAATGACCGCCAAAGCCTGCTTCGCGCTGAAGACAGAATATCGTTGGTGCTTGAGCGGTACACCTCTACAGAATCGAATCGGAGAGCTCTTCTCCCTGGTGAGGTTTCTCAACATCAAGCCCTTTGCGTCTTATCTTTGCAAGCAATGCACTTGCTCGACGCTCGAGTGGTCTATGGACGAAAACAGTCGCTGCTCCGACTGTGGGCATGCGGGCATGCAACATGTATCCGTCTTCAACCAAGAGCTGCTCAACCCTATTCAGAAGTTCGGTAATTTGGGACCTGGCAGAGAAGCATTCAAGAAGTTGCGATTGATGACAGACCGCATCATGCTACGGCGACTCAAAAAAGACCACACCAACTCCATGGAACTTCCTGTGAAGGAAGTGCATGTCGACCGTCAATTCTTTGGAGAAGAGGAGAACGACTTTGCCAACAGCATCATGACCAATGGACAGCGCAAGTTTGATACCTATGTCGCGCAGGGCGTCCTCCTGAACAACTATGCCAACATTTTTGGTCTCATCATGCAAATGAGGCAGGTCGCCGACCATCCTGACCTGATTCTGAAGAAGAATGCTGAAGGGGGTCAAAACATCCTGGTTTGCTGTATCTGCGATGAGCCAGCAGAGGACACCATCAAGAGCCGTTGCAAGCACGACTTTTGCAGGGCGTGTGTCTCCAGCTATATCAAGTCGACAGATGAGCCAGACTGCCCACGATGCCACATTGGCCTGGTCATTGACCTTGAGCAGCCAGAAATCGAGCAAGATGAAGCCTTGGTCAAGAAGTCCTCTATCGTCAATCGCATCAAGATGGAGAACTGGACATCCTCGTCTAAAATCGAACTCCTTGTTCACGAACTTCACAAGCTGCGTTCCGACAATGCAACGCACAAGTCAATCATCTTCTCCCAGTTTACTACGATGCTGCAGCTGATTGAGTGGCGACTTCGGAGAGCTGGAATCACCACTGTCATGCTCGATGGTAGCATGACCCCGGCCCAGCGACAGGCGTCGATCGAGCACTTCATGAACAACATTGACGTGGAATGCTTTCTGGTATCGCTCAAGGCTGGCGGTGTTGCACTCAACCTCACTGAGGCATCCCGAGTATTCATTGTAGACCCGTAAGTACAATTCTTGTAGCCATTGTACTGAGATCCCTAGCTAACATTGCCTTGCCAGTTGGTGGAACCCGGCGGCTGAGTGGCAGTCTGCTGATCGCTGCCATCGCATTGGACAAACACGACCATGCATCATCACGCGCCTTTGCATCGAAGACTCTGTCGAAAGCCGAATGGTGCTGATTCAGGAAAAGAAGACGAGCATGATCCATTCCACCGTCAATGCCGATGACAAGGCGATGGATACCTTGAGCCCCGAAGACATGCAATTCCTTTTCCGCGGTTCTTAGACGCGGCTAGACTTCGGCGGGACTGAGATGGTCTGTCGGCCTCGACATGGCCGATTGGGCATGGAACGCAGTATCATGAGTATCATGTCGGTCATTATTCTTAAAGGTCAGGCGTTGGGGGTTTGATTGTTCACAATGTCCGATGTGAAGATTTTGGGAGTTACTATTGTAGATCCTCGCGATACACTAGTGCCGATACATAATAAACCTTGCTTTGCTGTATGTGTTGAAAGTATCGCCATGTGCCGATTTGACAATCAGAGGCTCGCTACGAACGACGCAAATGGAGTGGGCAGACAAGAAGGGGATTCGCATATCCTCACATGAACTCGGCATGTTGTGTGAACAAATCTTGTCAAATCTACCTACACTCGAGAATCTCAGAAGACTCTCACTTTGTATGCTATAGAACTCTTTATATAAGAGGCCGCCAAGTCATGGGGCCAGAATGCGTGTAGTCAAAAAAAAGACTAATGCCAAGAAAGTAATCCGCTCCCACCATTCCATCTCTCCTTTTTGTTGTTCAAGTGCATGCCACAAAAACACAGGGCATGTCGACCTAATGACATCGTACCATCATTTAGAGGTCCAAGAGAGCCTTGGCGCCAGACTCGCTGTAGACATAGATGGTATCGTGGGCGTTGGGGAAGCCATTGAACTGGGTGGCGGAGCACTTGGTGTAGGCTCCCATGTTCTCAAAGTAGAGCCAGTCGCCAACGTCGAGGATGCGGTTGAAGCGAGTGCTCTGGCTGATGAGATCGATGCCATCGCAAGTGGGACCCCAGATGGAGTACTCGACACCCTCGTCACCGGGGCACGGCTCAGCGGCGTAGGTGTTGTAGAGGGTCTGGCCGCCGGCGTGGAGGATCTTGGCCACGGGGTGTTGGTGATCGAACATGATGCTCGAGAAGTTGCCATAGACGCCGTCATTGATGTAAGCCATGTAGCTGGTGGTCTGGGCCGAGGGGTCATCGACGGTGCGGCGAGCGATGATGTTGCAGGCAATGGTGAAGGCGGTGGCCACGTAGAAGCGGCCAGGCTCGGCAATGATATCAACACCGCAGCCAGAGGGGAAATACTCGGCCAGGGCATCGTCGAGAACGCCAGCCATGGTCTCAAAGGTCTCGCCGGAGAAGCCACCGCCGACATCGAGGACGCGCAGATGGTATCCATAGGTGAGGGCCTGCTGGAAGACGGTGTGTGCGTCAACAACGGCCTTGCGGAAGGCGGCGGGGTCGGAGGCGCCAGATCCCACGTGGAAGCTCACACCGACGATGTTGAGTCCCAGCTCCTTGGCAAGAGCAAGGAGGCTCTCGGTGGTGTCCATGGGGGCGCCAAACTTCATGCTGAGGCGGCACAAGCTGGAGGTGTCGTCGGTCATGATGCGGAGGAAGAGCTCGGCGCCAGGGAAGAGCTTGGCGATCTTGTGGAGCTCATCGGCATTGTCAAAGGTCATCTGCTTGACACCAACCGACTTGACGTAGCGGACGTAGGAGTTGGTCTTGCAGGGTTGGGCGTAGATGATGTGGTCGGGGCTGACGCCGAGGCCCAGGACCTGTTCAATCTCTCCCTTGGAGGCGCAATCAAAGCCGGTGCCGAGGGCAGCAAGGAGCTGGAGGACCTTGGGGTCCGGGTTGCACTTGACGGCATAGAAGGGCTTGATGCGGGGGAGGTTCTTCTTCCAGCGGAGGTGCTGGCGGTAAACCTCACCGAGGTCTGCGACGAAGAAGGTGTCTTCCTCACCGGGATCGCAGAGCTCATGGTTGACGGCCCCCACACGTTGGTGGAAGGCCTCACCGATCAATTGCTTCGGATCGACAGCAACATTGTGTTGAAGAGCACCCAGATACTGGGGTTTCTTCTTCACAACATGATTATGGATGACATTGGGGACGTAGTTGTCGAGGACAGCTGTTGCCATAACCATATCCCACGAGGTTGCCGGGGGTGGACGTTGATTCTGTGAAGAAAAGAGAAGTGTTGGTTCGTAGGATCAAGTCCGAAGCTGTTTTCCGAAGAAAAACGAGGAACTGTGCAGCTAGATAGCGGAGCGGTTGTTAGGGTGGTCGAAAGCGATAGCAGACTGTTCCCTCAGTGATCTGGCGAGGCCTCCTCGACTCTTCCTCGGCGAGAGGAAGAACCGCAGAACTCCTCCTATGCGGCAGCTGACGGGTGTCGTCCAACGACGGAGACGGGGTCTGGTGACGATGGGGCACGTCGAAGAGCAAGAAGTCGTCGAGGCGCTTAGAGTGACCAAGCGGCAGGTGGAGGGATGGTGTTGATGATGTGAGGTATCTTTCGAGCGCAGAAATCTTTGTCAGTCACGGCCTGGGGAGCCGTGATGGGAGAGGGTGAGTGCCTTTGTGAAGACCAAAGGCACCGAAGACGGTATTGAAGAAAGGGGAGATTGAGAGTTCTATGGAAGCAGAGAGAAGTATGTTAGCTTGGTGGACCGTTGAGGTAGCCAGACAATTGATGCGCGTGGTTGAGCCTGTCGCTTCACAACCATTCCGTCCTGCCGAAGCCAATCTTGAGCGACGACAGTCGCAAGTTACAGCAGGTGAGCCGTGACTGGACAGGCGATGGGAGTCATTCGGCGTGTCTGTGGCGGTGACGTCCGCAGCAGCACAATCTGCGCAAGGAGATGCGCCCGTGAGGCCACGCAACTGGGAAAGGAGTCCGCGCAGAAGAGGATGGGAAAGGCAAAACAAGCACCTACCTAGAAAATTGAGATTCTAGAACCGGCGATTGCAGTAGCGAAAGCAGCGAGACGAGAGTCTGTAGCGATGCGAGGGCGCAGCAAGCGAAGAAGGAGAATATTGACAGCAAAAAAAGGAGGATTGCGGTCGAAAAGTTGTGGTTGTTGACGAGGGGTCGAGCTAGGTTTTATCCCGGTTTTTTTAACCTGCGTCAGTGGAAAGAAAGAAAAAAAAAAATTATTAAGAAGCGCAAGGAATATTACTGCAGCCTGCTGGTACAGTACAGTACAGTTCAGACAAGCAGGTACGTACCTGCGTGCGGGAACCGGGAACGGCTTGGTGCCGCCCACAAAATGGGCGAAATTTTGCGTTTTGGGGCGCTTCAAGGTTGTTTAGTGGCAGCTGGGGGCGGGATTTAGCGGGTGCTGCTGGGCGGCCAGGGCCAATTGGAGGTCCCGGGGGGAGAGAAGCTTGGGGCAGAGAGCTAGAGGGCTTGGTGGACGGCCAAGCAGCGACTCAGGGAGACGTTGATTACGACCATGTACACGTATTTGACGCAAGAGCTGCAGCTGTTTTCTATGTCATCAGCTATGTAACTCGATGATGCTTCCAGGGGTTGAGTCGTGTGTCGTGTATGTGTGTGTGTGTGTGTGTGTATGCAGCAAATGACGGGAAAACTGCAGTGGTGGGTGGGTGGGTGGCACAGCTTCTGGTATCATCGCATATGATCAGGCACAGCCATCAGGCGCCTGTTGATGCACAGGCACCGGGGCTGGCAGACATCGACGATCGCCACCGAGCTGCCCCTGTCGATACCTCGTGCTGGTCAGTGCCGCTTGTTGGTAGACTCCCATTACTGACAGCGCATTCCCTGCTTGCCTGTACAGTAATAGCTCGCTTGAAACGACAACCGTGGACCGGTGATGCAACCTCAATATCCACCACTAACAGCACAGCCAAGCTAAGTCGCGTATATGTACCAAATACTGTGCCAGCTACTACATACAGTCGAGTCGTCATCTGTAATGAATATCTGCTCAAAAGATTCGGGCAGCTTTCTCCGTCATGGTGCCTCTGCTTCTTGCGGCCGTCTCACCTGGCATTGATGCTCTACCTACCTATGTACATACCGAAGCAGAATGCTCAGTCCGTGGAAGATCCAGTCAGAGAGCTGCTCTGCCCATTGTTCTTCTTTGTAATCCCGCGGGCTGCCTCCAGAAGTGGTCCAGTTCTTTGCTACCTACCTAGGTATGCGGCTCAATACCGCACCTAAAAGTATCTTCCACCACCCCTCAACTGCGTCAATTTCTTCCTTCTTTTCCCTCGACCCCTTATTCTTTAATACAAGCAGCAAACAAAGTAGACAAAGTGAGCAAGATGAAAACCTAAACAGAATAAACAAACAAGAAAAAATTCTTCGAGATTTACACTTTCCCCCAACAACTGCCGTTCACGCAACCGCCCTCCCAACTTTGGGCAGATAAAAACAGACTTCCGATAACAGAAAGCTTTCTAAGAAGCCCAGAACAGCGCTTCTGCCATGCCGCCGCCACAGAAAGCCCTGAACAGAAGAAGAGAGAGAGAGAAAAAAAAGAAGAAAGAAAAAAAAAAAAGAGAAACAACGGGAATGGTAAGATTGTAAATTGAAAGGATCCATGGGACTTGATTGGCTCTTCCTCGCTCAAATTGGTAATATGTCTTCTCCCCGGAAGAGGGTGACGGGGCGGTTGATGGCATTATTGCATGCAAGGGAACTTGCAGCTTCTTTCTTTCTAGTATCACTTGTCACCGCTGTTTCATCCGTCTTGCCTTGTGCTCCCGAGTGTGTCTGGAACTTGAGCTGCCAAGAATATCCATCTCACGTAACACAGCTGTAGATGAGGCTCTTGTCGCACAAGCAATGCTCCTGTTGTCCGTAATACCTGGTGTATCTCGTGTCATATAAGGTAGGCATGCTGTATCACACCAGCAACGTCTGGATATCCCCCCCCTTTTCCAGGCTACACAACAATTTGTTTTCAGAGGCCTTTCTTCTTAGTGTATCTTGATGTGATCATATTATCGGGCATGGCAAATCTCTAGGTAATCCCTCATTTTCCACTTAAAGTCCTCTTTTCCCTCCTTCTTGCTCCAGTTTATCAAGCCCCAGACCCAATCTATTGCATTTCGCACTCAAAATTTCATGACGAAACACAGCGAGTATAAAGGAGCTGAAAATGGTAGAGTGTGGTAGAGTAAAGCAAATCCTACATCGATATGACAGAATAATAGCTCATGTGCATACACTAGGCATCCGACACAGCCTCGCTCCCTCAAGACCGTGAATTAGCCAAAATTATCATGAATATGTGCTCAGCTCTTTAGTCCAGGAACCCAAAGCTCAGGGGCTCTGGCTCTGATAGAACGACCTCGCTCTCCATCACACCACGTCACTCCCCGTCCGCCTTCTCTGCTTTCGCTCGACTCGAGAGATCCGGTGCTTGTTGCTTGCGCACCGCAGCACCGGCCCGAAAAGGAGAGCAAGTCGCAGAGACACAAGGCCGTCAAGTGAACGTGAGTGATGGCATGCGTGATTTTGCTCTTGCGTTGCTCTGTGATCTCCATGCCATGGAAGAAATGAGTCGGTCGAACCGGACTCGGCAAGAAGATGTATCGTATCTGAACGCGTCTGTGCCAGCGAAAACAAGAAGAGAACGGAAGAGTAAAGCCCCGGCCCGAACAACGAACCCTCAAGAGAGAGAAGATATCTTCCTATATAATGTACATCTTGTATCGTAAATACATCTATATCATCACAACAAACCTATACCGTAGCCCAGCCATTGACGCCCATTTTTTACATTGTACTCGTACACTCTTGCGTGCTGGGTCTGCCCTCTTACTCTTGAGAGCCGTTGACGTTCATCTCGTGGACAGTCCAGGTTCCATCAACCCAGCCCTGCTTTTCTCCCAAAAAGGTTGTGCGTTCCTCTCCTCTCTCGATAGCGTCAACGAGGTACTTTTGTGCCACGTCTCGGACTTGGTCCTTGGTCACGTCCAACAGCTGCTCTCTCTTCCTCTGCTTCATCTCCTCTGTGATGCCGGACAAGAACCTGGCCATGCCTTCTTGGTTAACCGACTTCGGAGCGTCAACTCCCTGGAAGACAGATATCTTGGCTTCCTCCAGGTCGCGATCGCTCCATTGCTTCTCCACTGCCCACCGACCAGCATTGCGCATGATGCTCAGCGTGTTTTGTGGGTTAGGATCGCGATAAGAATAGAATCCAAAGAGGCCGTCCAGAGCCTTTGAATAAGCTCCGCCACCATACGCACCACCCTTCTCTCGGATCTCGTGGTGCAGATGCTTATGCGTCAACAGCTGTGCAAGAATCTGCAACGGCGCACCTTCGGGAGACGTGTAGGACGTTGTGGAGACGGAGAGGCCTCCGTAGTAGACTTGATAAGGCAGAGGGAAGAAGGCCTTGCTATCTTTGGGGAGGGGTGATGGGCTGCTGGTCACCATCCCTGATGCTTCTCGAGGTAGCACCCCGGTAAAGCTCTTCAAGGAGTTCAAGTTCTCTTCCACGTGTTCGGTGCCGCACGTAAGGGCAGTGCGCATCTTGCCGCGAGTCAAGGCAAACTTTTGAATCTTCTTGAGCTTGCCAATGACATCCTCTAGCTGATCGGTTTCCGGCCTGCTCGTCAACGATGTTACCAGTTTGACCTGTGATAAGCCAGCAACCTGCTGCCGTAGCCAAGCGCTGCGGGTCAGGCTCGACTCGGCGTGGCCCATTGCGAATCGATGTCCAGATGAGGCAATATCGTTGACAACTCCGTCAGCCGAAGCTTGCAGCAGCTGTCGGATCCGTAGCGAGGCCTCCGGGCTATCGAAGTCGGTCTCCTGCACCAACTTGCGCAGAATGTCGTACATGACGGGTACGTTCCGATCAAGTGCCATACCAGTAAAGATGATGCCTTCGCTTGACTGTGTAAAGTCTGTTGGCGAAGCCGTGGAATGGTATCCGACGGAAACGCCGCCCGTCTTGAGCTTGATGAGATCCTCGAGCTGCTCCATCGTCATGTCTCTTGTGCCCAGACGCATGATGCTGTCCGTAAACAGAGGAATAAGCTCTCGGAGATCATCGGGCAAGCCTTCCAGTGTGTTGATGGCGCGGAAGTAGGTGAGGCCATTGGTCGGAGCCTCTCGCCATTGGATTGGAATACCATCCGCAACTTCATCTCGCACCACCGTCGGTTCTATTGATCTCGGAATATCCTTGACGTGGACAGTTGGCAGGCAACTCAAGTCTTCAGTATTGGTCTTGTTTTGCTCCACCAGCAGGTCCTGCTCCTGTTTCTCGAACTGCAGGCGAGCAGTCTCCTCGTCTCCAGCCTGCTTCACGGCGTCCTGGATCTTGGAAGATAATCGCGCCTGTTCCTCGGCAATCAAGTCGTCGCCGAAAGTCGCTGAGGGGGCCATAGTGAAAGTCAGGGTGTTGTCGTTGAGCAGGTATTTATCCATCAGCCCTTCCAGATAATCGCCCTCGGCCATCTTGGCCTGGAAAGCAGCAATGGTATCATTCCAGGCCAAGGAGTCGAAGGGATCGGTACCATTGAACCACTTCGGCTTGAGTCTGTTGAGCATTGAATAACCAAAATTGGCCGTCTTATGCTTGAGGGAAAGCTCGAGCTGGTGCAGCGTGCCGTCGATCTTGCCCTGGTCGAAACCTTTGTCCC